ATGTCACAAACAGAACTAGATAGGGAGCCATTTAAATTTATTAGAAATCACTTCTAGTTAAAGCTACTTATTTAAATGATATCTCTCTTTTTTAACCTAAATTTTAGTCATCTACCAGATGCTAATGTCGTACCATCAGGAGAGTAACAAATTGAATTAACACTATCAGAATGACCATCTAATTTGGCTTTTTATTATCCTGTCTTAACATCCCATAAACGGATAGACTTATCCCAACTACCAAATGCTAATGTAGTACCATCAGGAGAGTAACAAATTGAAAAAACATCATCAGAATGACCATCTAATTTGGCTTTTTATTTGCCTACTATAACATTCAATAATTATACAAAATTTCCACTTCTGAAAGCTAATGTACTAGTATTCTGTGAGAAGCATACTGATTTTACTTCTTTATTTACCTTGATTCTAAACTTAATTTTTCCTGTTTAACATCCCATTTTAGAATCGAATTATCATCACTACAAGACGTTAATAATTTACCGTCTGGAGAATAGCATACCAAATTGACACTTCCATGATGACCATCTAATTTAATTAACTCATGTATTTTGATATTCTTCCATTTACAGTTGCACAATTAAGCTTAATTCAAGTTCATTCCACTAATATCTACATTGTCAAATTCTAATCCATTGAATCTGCATCTTACAAAAAATTTCCTCCAACTAAAGAGGTATTTCTAATCCTGAAATTCTCAGAACTTTATTCTCTCAAATCAGCCTTCATCTAAACTAGCAAATGAAGAGAATTTGATCCACATTAAGTATACCTCTCATCGAAAGTAGTCAGATCATCTAAAAATTTTAGGAATTCTATAATCTTCTTATCCCATAATATTTTTCTGATTCGATCCTTTTAAATTCTTAATCTGCCGAGTAATTCTATGTATTAAGCCCAGATATTATTCATAAACTCATGTTTATTTTTTTAGAATTTCATCTTAATTATGAATAAGAGATGCATTAAATAGTTGATTGAGTTTACATACCTATTAAAATGAATGAAAATAATAGCTTTTTTAAAATTAAGATGCCCTCATATTGTGAAGAATATTTGTAGAATATTTATTATGGACTCTTTGCAAATTTCTGATAATAAACCGTAATGATAGGATCAAATGAACTGAACAAATTGAAATACTAATTTTTGACCTTAAATTGAAATCATTATTTGATAATAAAAAGTTAGTAGTTGAAAAACATAAATCCAAAAAATTAGCATAATAAATTAATGTAAAAACTTTAACTTAAAATTTCAGTCATAATATTTTCATACTTATTTTGTTGAATTTCATTTTAAATAAATTATATATTATTGATTCAGGAATAGTTCGACTACAAAAAATCTGAATTAATATCGTATTCATATAGTTTACCTACACTTTCAATAAATTTATTTCCTATAATTTTTCAAAAAAGTCAATTATTTACAATTGAACAAAGCAGGGGTTATGTCTATGGTTGGAAATAAATATTCAACTCTAGAAATAAATTTCCAGATTTTCAGGGTAGTTTACATTTATATTGGATTTAAAATTAATAACTTAGTTTTTACCTATATAAATCTTTGATAGTATTCTTCTAAAAATTTGACAATATTACTGCTGATTAAAGGGTGACATTTTTGTAATTTATACTCACTTAAAATTATTAATATCTTTTAATTTTTCATTTACAGAAATTTATAATATTGGATCAACTATTGAGTAATGAAATTTAATTAAACTTAATATTTTGGTGTAGATAATAGTTGAAATGGCTTTTACTTAATTAATAAAAGATAATTCCACGTATTGGTAAGGGTTTGTATGATTTATGTATGTTAAAACAAGCTGTGTTTTATAAAAGCATATGCTCTTGAAGGAATTAAATTTCACAGTTCCAGTTTTCCTCAATTAAGCATATACTTGAACATCCATCATCCCCAACATTATTTCCAACATCACAAAATTCGTATTTATCATTTAGAATACCATCACCACATAAATTATCAATTAAAAAAGAATTTTCTACTCCTACATCAATAATTGAATTTTAATTTTCCTCCTCAGTAAATTTATTATTATTTTTAATATTGTCTTTTTCACATTTAGCAGTCTCACTATTTAAAATAGTCAAGCTATCACATTTTGTGCACACGTTTCCTTTTCCACAAGTTATGCATCCAAATGAACATTAATATTAACATAAATAACATCCATCATAAGGATATTATTTCCATCTTTACAATCCTCGTATCCTTAAATGATAACACCATCACCACAAAATTGGTGAGCAATATTTATTTTCTAATTTAAGATTAACATTGCATTTTAAACATGAGTGCAAATCAGTACATTGTAAGCAATAAGCCATACATTCATTATTAAAAGTCTCATCCATCTCTTCAGCATTTTCTTCCACTCCTTCTTCTTTTTCTTCCTATTCCTCATCATCATTTATTCCTACTTCTTCTCCTTCCTACTCTTTTACCTCTGGCTCTAGTGAATATATAATTTATTCTTGACAAACATGATAACAATTATTTTTTTACGGATCCCGACATTCTTAACAAATTAAGCAATTTGTTGAGCATTATCTTAAATCTTTGAAGGTTGATATCAAAAGTTAAGCCATTCTATCACAGATTGTTTCTTAAAACGCTAATTTAATCCAAAAAGTTTGCAAATTGTCTAATCATCTGATAATGTGTATGAAGGATTACATTCATACAATTTTAGTTACAAGAATACTTTCATAAATGACATCCATCATAAGGTGTTTAATTTCCGTCATCACCTTATTCATAAAAGGTTGTTTAAAAATCTCCACAAATTGGAATACAAATTTTCAAACTACTTTTATATTCCCAACCATCATAGCAATTCCAGCAATCCCCTTTAATACAATTACTACAACCTTCAACATAATCATAAATATTTGAAAACAACTATCAAAATATATATTATCATCAGTGCAGATATTTTAAAAGTAATTAGATCCTAAAAATAATTAAAAGTCCCTTATTCCAAATTTGCATTTGTATTCAATTCTACAGTTATTTAAACTGACTCACTAGTATGCGTGTATTAATCAATTTTAATATTCTCTTCATCTTGCATAAATCCACAAAATTCTTCACTAACTATAAAAAACAAAAATTAATTTATATCACGAAATAGTCCTTAGAAAAAAATGAAATATTGATTTCTATTAAGCAGTACTATTACGCCATCAATCTTGACAACAACTATTTAAAGGTTTTAATCAAAGATTAACACTTTTAATTAAAAGCTTATGGCAGAATGTTATCAAGTTTGAGGGTTTTGATCAAGTCCTTTCCTGAATTAACATTGGAACATTTCAAATCTAAATAAAATTATCCATTCACCTAAACAACAAACAACCGCCGACGCTAGTTTGTGAGAAGCCATTTCTGACCCAACCTTCAGGGATGCTTATCGATGAAATAGTTTTAGTTATGAATTACTAAAAGTATAAATATTAATCTAAGCATTGATCTTTGTTACATGAATAACATCCTGTTCACACTACTCAATTAATATTTATAATTCAGATACTCCTCAAATTCCTCTTTAAGCTAACATTACAATAAAAACAGTTGTGCTTGAATGATCAATTATCTTGCTTGCAGAAAAATGTTCATCATTTTAACTCGTGCTTTCACATAAGGTCTGAAGGACTAATTATATGTGAATTGTGAATACATGATTCTATGAACTTATTAGTTGTCAATATATATAAAAATATTTGTCATTCCATTAATCAATTCTAATTTATTGATAACTATTAAGAAAAATATTTATAAATAATCAGTACTACAATAATGGTTTTATTAATTAGCTCAAACAAATTCAGATTTATGGCTGCTTTATTTCATCTAAAAAAGGGAATTACATGTTTTAATCTAAATATCCAATTTTCTAAAATATTCAAAAGGATTTCAGGAACTGTATTTTAATACTGAATCCATTGATATATTGACCAACCAAACACAGATCAGAATTGATGTTTAATTCTGAAGAATAAATGAAAATATTCTCTCCACAATTTTCGAAACTTTTTGAATAAATTAAATATTCTTTCGTATAAATATCATAGATATTAATGCACTTTTCAACTAAAAATCAAAGGGCATTTTTTTCAACTAAATTTTATTTAAAGGATTATCCATAATACAATATTTACTTCCATCTCCAAAATCATTGACCCTAGACAGAAATATTGTCTTCCAAGATAAAAATTATATCCAACATAATATTCACTTAAATCAAATATATATTTAAATTATATAAGATTTTAATTTATATCAATGTATATTTTTTTATTAAAAATACAGTTAAGGAAATTCATTTTGTAATTTGATTTGATTTTTCAGATACTCATATTCTATTTCTAGTCTATATTTATATAGTTCAATTAAGTTTATCAATGTTTTTTATCGATTACCAATTAAGAGAAACTATACTTATTTATAGCAATTTCGAACTGTAAAGATTTATTATTGTTTTAATTGATTAGTTTATTTTAAATTAAAATACAAATTTAACCATTAACCTTATTATTAAATAATGAATATTTATCAAAATAACATTTTTAATAAAAAAGAATATAATTGATGATAAGGATGGATAAAAAATTAATTCTTAGCAACTATCACTAATAGTGCTAGAATAGGCCAAATTTTCCTGCTTAAAACAAAGAGTAAACATTTCTATGTAAATATATAGTTAGAAGCCAGAACACTGTTTTAAATTTCTGTTTTTAAAAAGCATAATAAATTAATTAAGAATTTATGGTTAAGAATTATTGTAAATTTAATAAGTTAGTAGAAGTTTATGTTGACAGGAAAATTTGTTTGATATGAAAGCTTTATTGAGATTCATTCATTAATGTTGATTCAATTAGTTTTGATCTATAATTTTATTAATTATGCATCAGAAATTTAATTGTGTGTATCAATTTATCAGAAGAATTAATTGAAATTTAGAAATAAGTGTAGATTCCTTTTAGTAACAAACAGATGAGATAATTTATTCTCAATACATCAGATAATATCAAATGAAAAGCTAGTTATTGAATATTTCAAAAATAGCATTTCAAGGTTGAAATCTCAAAAGATTAAAACATAAACAGAAAATTCCTATCAAATTATTTTGAATTGGATAATTATTAATAAAACTGGTAATAAAAATAATATTAAATGGATTTTAAAAGTGCTATGTATTAACAATTGATTATTGATTGTGAGGGCTTAAAGGGACATAATAATTGTTTTCCTTAATTGTTTTTTGATAAATTCATATTTCTAAATTTAATTATCATTACCTTTTATAATTAATATTAATACCATTAGAAAAAAAGAGTGATTATTTAGTGAAAAGTATCTTATGCGATAATTTTGTGGTTTTTAAGTGCTTTGAAATTTTGAAATTTCCTTAATATATTATTTATGTCAAATCAAGATCTTAATATATTTCCAAATCTCAAAGTTAATGTGCCTTCGTTCCTTCTAAAAATTTATGAGATTTTAGAGGTATGATAAGCAAAAATAATCTTAGAATGATTCATTAACGGGCTTAATATCATGGAACAAAGAAGGAACCTCCTTTATAGTATTCAATCCAAGTGAATTGTCTTCGAAAGTGTTAGCTAACTATTTTAAGCATAAAAACTATCCTAGCTTTCTCAGGTATCATTAAAGTAATGTAGATAACTAAACATGTATAATTTTAAAAAGACCAGAAATTAGTTTGGGTAAAGTGAATTTCGCCACAGATGGTTCAGAAGAGGTCTAAAGTATTAGTTTAATCATAATCTTTCTAGAAGTACGCTGTCGTATATAAGAAGAAGAAATTAGGAAGAGTCAGATCTAAGAATAGAAACAAAACATAGCACTTAAGAACTTGATAATTATAAGAGAGAACAAGAGAGTCTGAAATAAATTGTCAAAGACCTCAAAGAAACTTAAATCAAATTATAGGAAGACTTAAATTTTCAAATTGAGCAGTCTATGGCATTATCTCATTAAAATTAGAACACATTATAAGTAAATTAATTAGATTATTTAGGCAATAAATTAAACCTAATTGTAATTCAATCAAAAGTATGATTAAGTGATTCTCATGTTAAACAATTCAATTAACAATATGCCCACTTTAGGTATTCAAATATTTAAATTTAAGTCTATAACTTTAAAGAAATAATTAAATATTGTTAAGAAGAGACAAATTAAAACTTTTGCCTTTAGAACCATACTCCATCAACTAGGACTTAGCATGCTTAATACAATTAAATGAATTATTACCCACAGCGACAGTATTCTTGCAATAATCCAAACTTATTTTAACTTTATTATTATCAAAACGATCCAAAATAATTCCTATACAAAAAGAATAGTCCCCTTGCTTTAACAGCCTCCACCCAGAATAATTACTTATGTATGAATTAGCAATGTTCAAGCTCCCTAACATAATTATTCACTTTAATCCAGTTAGCAAAATTCTCCCTATAGAATTTAGAATATACAGATTTCCCCGTATTATTACGATTCAAGGAATATAGATTAAGTAAATTCGATTTAAATTTTATTCTAGTACAGTTTTAACTAATAAGTATGATACCTATTTTATGTTTGTGTATTTCTCTATATAAATAATAAATTGTATATAATATTATGTAAAATGAAGGTAGGATTTGCTATGGACTATCGATGTCAACATAGCAAATAGAAAGGAATCTCTTCTAAAGTGTGGTATAATTTTATGTATTTAAGACTTCTAGAATTGAATAATTGATAAATACTATTTAATTTAATACTATTAAAATAATTCATTACATTCCCATATCGTCATCATCATCTCCTTCTCCACCATCTTAATTAATTCCATATTCATCTTCTCCATCTTCATTTTCAGCTTCATCTATATAATCCGCTTGTTGGTTTCCTACAACTTTAGGCTAAATAAATTATCTGATGAAATACTTCAATTTTGACTTTCATCTATCCTTAATACTTTTTCATAACATTTTCAATTTCAGTCAAAGCATCCTTCATAATCTTTACTCCGTCCCTTGAGATTGTAGTTGTTCTACCAGTGTAAGATGGAGATGCTTTTATTTCAAACTAATTTTAAATTATAGAATACTGATAGTTTGCATTCTTCAGTGGATTTCATTGTCCCAGCGATTAGAGCTTCCTTTATAATAAGACTTCCGGCGTAATCATGACTTATTAAGTCAAATTCAGTTTTGATAGTAACTGGTTCTGGTTTTAATCTTCTCTCTATTTCTTCCATTAGTTTAACTTAAATCTATTCTGATAGATTTAGCTTTGACAAATTCTTTTAATCTGATAAAGCATTTTTAAATATTTAAAGAACTGAAACATTTTATTTATTGTCTTATAATGGCCATACAATAGTTTTATATAATTCCTGAATATTGATATTGCATTTCTCAGCGATAGCTCTCATAATTGAATGAATCATTTTTCCATCTGCAAACTTTTGTAATGACATAAGCTCTTCATCCTTGGCCACCTTCTTCTTAGATAGATCAATGTATCCTTAATCTTCGTCAACTCTCAAAACTCTAACAACTTGAATTTTTCCTATTTTTAAAGCTTTTTGAATTCCTCCCTTTAATGCTCTTGTTGTTTCATTAGGTGGAATCATGCCTCTTATTCTATCATATTCCAATAATTCGACGTATGATGCATTTTCTTAAACTTCCACTACCTCTACAACAACTAAATCATTTTCTTTGGGATACTAGTTCTCATAAAATCTGCATCTGAGATTAATTCCTTCATCTATGACAGGTTTAATTTCTTGGATCATTAAATAAATTTTATATAATATTATTTTTCAATTTTCTTCTTTGAGGTCGGTATTTTTATTTTTCTTATTACCACTGCCTTTCAAATTAGAATAAAAAGTAAAAAGTCTTTGATTTTTATTTCATTGGTCATTTAGAGCACTTCTATACCCCTCTCTAACTTATTCATTCAAATACTGCATGCTCATAACAATTTAAGCTTTATCAAAATCCAATTTAAATGCAAAGAATTGAATCATTTTTTGTGTTATTCGTCTTAGAATGTTTTTGATATGCCCATTAATCAACAATATGCAATATAATGGTTCGCTCAAATAAGAATGACACATAAATCTTTAAAAGCCAATCATCTGTACCTTGAAATAACTCAGCCTTTTACCTGAGTTCGTAAACTCAAAGAATATTAACACATTAAGGGATCTTTTCTTATATTCCTTTGATCTCAAAATCTTGACAACTCGGCATCTATAAATACAATTTTATATCAAGAGTTTATCACAAGTTCAACTATATAGTCTTAGAACTACTTTTGCATTAACTGTTAATCTAATCTATCATTTGATAAATTAAGTTTTTGAGACAAATTTCAATATTTCTTTAATAAATACTATTAACATATACATGATATTTTATTTGCCAATTTGTTAATCAAATGTATGAAATTGTAATTTACATTTATCATCTAATTATAAATAGATAGATTCCAATCCATTCTAAAAGAAAGCTAATATAGGTGTAATGATATTTAGAAAATTAACATTTTTTTTAAAATTTGGACTCATAATATTGATTGGTTGATAAATAAAGTGGAAAATACTAAACTAGATTATCAGTATTGTAAATCTCTATAACGATTTAATTTACTCTATAAAGGATTAGTGATTATAAATGGATTTTTAAAGATCCAATTACATTTTCAACTTCTGGAGACCTGCTTTTTTCGACTATTTCCAATTAATTGTTTTCGCTGCCAAGTTATTATACATGAAATATTATACTCGTCTTAAATGGTAGCCCAATTAAAGTGATTGTGTTATATATTCCGATTATGTAATATATTTTAATTACTATTTCAAATAATGTCTTAAAATAAAAGTAAATAATCCATGCTAAATTATAGTTATTATGCTGGGAGATTGTGGAGTAGGCAAAACAACTATCTTGAACAAGTAAGAAGACCTACTTAATTATAAGTTTTTTGGATATCAATGCAAAAACAGAGACAACAATTGGAGTATAGCATCATTCATTCACAAGAAATTATGTGAAGTTTTCAATATGGGATACAGCAGGATAGGAGAAGTATAGATCCATAGTGTCAAGGTTTTTATTATCTTAATTCTACTAAAGCCATTATAAACGAGCAAAGGCTGCTATTTTGGTTTACGATTGTTCAAGCGAATCATCATTATTACATATTGATAAATGGATTGAAGAACTTGTCTTCTAAGCTGGTGCAAATGTTAAAATTGCATTAATAGGGGTAATTGGATTTAAATTTCAATTTTGGTTAGAATAAAACAGACCTCTAAAATTTCGATATAAATGAGCATACTTAAAAATTAACTGAATAATATGAGATCTCCTATCAAATTTAAACTAATCATAAGGATCCTGAATTCAAAGACAAGATGAATTAGTTATTGGACTAAATTAGCATAGGTATAGAATCAATTTTATTTTTATATTTGGGATTGATACCACCAATTTTGGAGCCTGATGATCAAGTGAATGTGATTGAATTGAATCACAAAGAGGCTAAACCAATTGAAGTTTAGGTGAATAATAGTGAATAAGAAGTAAAAACCTGTGAATGTTGAGTTAATTGATAAATAAATAATACATACATTTTTCTAATTTCTATACATGAATAAATTTATTTCAAAAATACTTAAACCCAACTCTTCTTAGATTTTCATATGTGCATAAAGAAAAAATATTTACAATAACACTTCTTATCACAGTTACCTAGAATCCTTTGTAGAATGCCAAAGCACCTCCCTCAGAATATATTTACTTGATGATACTAGTAGTGCTTAAATATCAATGCAATCTTTACTTACCTTTCATTTAATACTTGATATCTAGTCTTAACAATGTCAATGGGATAACTGATACTCCAAAAGCTAGCAGCTGCTGACATGCTGGCCATTAAGATTCCAAATTATGATGCTTCTGTTCTATCTCTTCCTTGAGGAGTAAAGTATTATAAGGTCTTAGCATGAGATACAAAATATAATCCACAGCCAATTGAATCTCTCATTAATTATAATCTGAGTCCTCTAACAGTTAATTATTTGTAGTTTACTTATAAATGTGAAAAAAGCCTTAAGTTTTCAATATCTAATACAATTTATGAATTGGACCGTCAGTCTACTCCATTTTATTTATTTTTGTTTTTTGGGATAAAATTTTGCCATATTCTAATGGACATGCAAATATATTGCTAGCAATACCCTATTTAATGTAATTGTATAATACTGCCATACTTCCGGCTAAAAATGTTTGTTAAAATGGTAAATAGCTATGTTCACTCAAATTATCCATTCTAGCAAACCACTTTCTCATATGTTCATAAGTAGGAAAATATATTGATCCAGCGCAAACAGAATTTAGAAGCTGTATTGATACCCCTATGCAAATGTATAAAATCTACCTCTGTACAAAGCCTTCACACCTTCTTCTCTGATAATTTGAATTCCTGCTTTTATCATGCTTTGCTTTTTGTGTTATATTTGAATTCTGGTTTTGATAAAATCCAATGGATATCCAATCAAGGTATGAATGCAGCCTATTCGATTAGATTGAGTGATTACTTGAGAGAGTGCCTGAAACAAAATTAATGATGAAATATTTCATGTATAATATTTTTTAGATTAATGTGACTTATAGAATCAAGAAATAGAGTTTTTCTTTTTAATGAAGAGAGTGTAAGTTTAAAGTCGTTATTCTAATTGTTTAGAAGCCAAATGATGTTCCCAATTGATGCTATCTACTTAAGTGGATTGATTTTATAAAAAGCCAGTTCTTAATTGATTGTAAAATTATTCTAAGACTTCTTATTAAGCCTTGATGTCTATGGCTATAAGATCGGGAGATTTGAGTTGATTACAAAATTACTTGGCACATTCCTTTAACAAGGCAATGTATTCAAAGAATGGATGAATGATTTCCACCTTCTCTACATCAGGCTACTTAATTTTAAACATCGATTATATATAATTTTTCCTCCAGCTAAAATAGTTGTCATTCCACCAATGTTCCTATTTCTTCATCAATGTGTTCACAGCCAATAATACTTCAATTGAAACCTAAATTTAGCGTGTTAGATACATACTTAGACCAGCTAAGCCTGAAAGTAATGGAACAACTCAACAGCATACTCATTAAAATCTACTTATAACTCTTAAACTCTCATTGATACTGAAATTAGTTATTTAAGTAAATATATCAATTGCATGGCTGCATCTGTCTCTGGAATAAAGTTTCGTATTAGAACAATTGATTTCGTGTTTAGAATGCATTTGACTTCATTAACTACAATCCAAGTTTTGCCTTCATTGACTATTCTATTCTTGTTTATATGTTTAGATAGAAAGGCTGACAAATCAGGTTAATTTAATTGTTCCAAACTGATCTAATCAAAAAAATGGATTTAATCTGTAAGTCTAGGAAATTAAGTAGCTAGATTAATTTAGTTTATTTAATTCGCAAAGTTCTTATTTTGCTTCTACGATTAACAGGTTCCCATTATTACAAATAATTGCAAAAAATCAGAGTTTATAATATTATGATTATGTTCAAATAGCATCAATTAATAGTAGAATAAATGATAATATTTTATAAATAGAAATCACTTTTATTGATTATGAGCCCACTTTCTAGCAAATAGGAACGGATCATTTTGATGTTTGACATTTTCTTACAAAATATCAATTAAAACTTCGTAATCAGGATTAGACTCCTTTAAAATGATTTGACTCATCAGACTAACTAAGTACATGCTAAGTAGTTTCCCCTAATCTTCCAATTACGTATTAAAAAATATAAGAAATGTGTTATCCATTGTGAAATTCAAAACATGTTAGACTTTTTCAAAGTAGGAGTTCAATTAATTAATCCAAACATTCAATTAATCTTTATATTATTTTGGAGCAAAAGAATAGAATGCTTTGGCTTTGATTGCCAACAATTTTCTAAATAGAAAATTACATTTTTATTTTTGTTCATTTTGCATAGTCATATTTTTGATAACGTTTTCTAGAAACCAACAAAAATTATATGTTGGTAGTATGATAGCAGGCAATTAAGTTAATTAAGGTTAAAACTTTTATCTCTATTATTGCTGTATTACTCCTTAAGTTGAAAATGAACACTCAGTGGATATCTATCCTATTTGTTCTTAATTTTCATTTTAAGTTTTTAAACATATTTTTGGGAGATCCTCTTAAGTAGCAAAATCTGATACAGAATTTACTTTGCAATCAGTTTTTGAAAATATCTTCATTGAATCAAATTTCTTCTGATCAAATGTTAAAGCTTTATTATGAGATTGAACATGCTTTTAGTATTTCTGTCTTTAGCTATCTAAAGTTTGTGGTTTTGGAGTTGTGAGAGGAGAATTGAGGCTGGATTATACGAATTAATAGTTAAGTTTCTACAAAGGAGATTAGACTCTTGGCGATTTAGTATCGCTTTGGCATTGATCTTACTTCAGTATTTGGATAATTTAAGTTATATTTAATCTGTCTTAAGGATTTATTTAAAGCATTCCAAATAACAACGTCTTCATTATAGATTAATATTTAAATTCCTGTTTCTGACACTTCTTCAATATATCTTCGTGGAATGTTTTTATGTCTTGTTTATAAGGAGGAATGCAATTAAACAACATTTCGTAGAGCATGATTCCCAAAGCCCAGATGTCACTTGAATCAGAATATTAATTGGTTTATGAAATTTCTGGTGCCATATACATGGGGGTACCAACATTAAATCGCTTTATCACACTTTCAATTTAATCTTCAATTAAGGCAAACCCAAAATCAGCTAATTTATAGATACCGTCTTTAATTAGTATATTGGCTGGCTTAATATCTCTGTGGATGATTTCTAGAATGAAATATTAATATACTTTTTTCATGCAAGGCCAATATGCCTTTTGAAACCTATAATAAAATAGATAACACTTTTTCAGTTGTTAATTCAGTTTTTTTCATTTACTATTCCAGACTTCCTTCGTTACACAATTCGCTAACAATGTAAGTGTTGTTAGCGCTCTAACTTATTTCGTAAACTCGCAATAAATGTGGGTGATCTATTCTCAGCAAAATAGCGATTTCATTTTTTAATAGAGATTTTTATATAGGGGATGTGTATGTTTGGGAACTAATTACCTTTATGGCAACAACTTGGTTGGTTTTGATGTGTTATCCCTTATAGACTTTGGATGAGTATCCGGAGCCTATTTCTTGAGAGAATTCGAAAATGTATTCTCCTATTTACTTTTTTATAAATTCCTTTTAATTGCTCATTTGTTCACTTATATTGGAGGAGCAAGATTTTAAAATAATTTTTATTATTCAAAATTAAGGAATAAATCGTAGAAGCAAGTTAAGAAAAATAAAATATCGTATTAAATCAATTATTTTGCTATTAACAAATCTTTAAAACATAAGCAGTATTATGAAATTGTTTATAATATCTAGTTCTTATTAATGGGTAATCGTTATGTTTGTAGCATTATACATTCTAGTAAAATATAAAAAACAGCTTAATTATTATAATGTTTTAATTAATTTACTTTAGTAATTGAATTGATATGAAAAATGGAATTACTCAAAAACTCCTAAGTATAATGTGATTTATTTTACCTTTTATGATCCTTCACTTCAAACAACTTCAAATATTAATTTGATGTTTATTAACAGATTAAACTAAGAATTTAAGAATTTTTCCATTATTTTTAATTATTATTTATTATGATTGTTTATCATTAAAACTAATCTCAAATCTAAATGTTGTTGACAATTATAAACTATCATTATGGATATTTATATTGAATAATTTAAATATCTTTTACCATTTTATGGGAGCGTGCTCTAGCAATCCTAAACGAAAATATGCTTCAAAAAGAGGTAGTTAGAGTACCTTTAACAAAACACAAGAAGTTTCTACAATAAAATCGAACAAAAGTCTTCAGAAACAAAGAACAAATTTTAAAGTTGCTCCCAATATCTTTATATCATTGAAAAGTGGGAGCATTCTAACCTATTATAAAGTATAATCAATCTTAGGGGAAGGTAGTTATTGAATTAATAATTGTAGGAACCTATGGAAGAGTGAGCTTGGTAATACAAAAATCGACTTAGATACTTCGGGCAATGAAATAGATCGCGAAGGATAAAATACTTGTAAGTTAAAGGGATAAAATGATATAAGAAGTAAACATTTTAAAAAATCTTGACCATCCAAACATAGTTAATATTTATGAGCTCTATCAAGATGAACATCAATATTATTTGATCACTGAGTAATGTTTTACATTAACAAAGGTATTTAAGTGGTGGAGAACTATTTTCTAGAGTTTAATAAAGAAATAATTTTAATGAGAAGGTTGCTGCCAATTATATGAAACAAATTTTAAGTGCAGTAAATTATTGTCACCAAAGAAATATTGTTCATAGGTAATAAATGAGTCTATATTAAGAGATTTGAAACCTGAAAATATCTTATTTGATTCCAAGACTTCTGACGACTGTCTTAAGATTATTGATTTCGGGACAGCCAAATAGTTGGAACAAAATTCTTAATTAAAATAAAAAATAGGAACTCCTTATTTCATTGCTCCTGAGGTTATTGATCAGAATTATAACAACAAATGCGATATTTGGTCATGTGGCGTCATTCTTTATACTCTTATGTCAGGCAAGGCTCCTTTTAATGGTGCCAGTATTAATGACTTATATAAGAACATTAAAGCAGGACAAGTCGATTTTAATGGTATTAATATGTATTTATTCATAATTAGGTGATGAATGGAAGGACGTGTCAGAATAAGCAAAGAGTTTTATCTTAAAAATGCTGACAGTAGATCCAGCGAAAAGAATTTCAGCTGAATTGGGATTGAAAGATCCATGGATAGTTAGCAATTAGAGAATTGATAAAATCAATCCTAAAAATCTTTAAAATCTTGAATCTTTTCATGTAATATTTGATTTATTTTATATTTTCAGAATAAAAGTAAACTTAGTTCTGCTATCTTACAATTAATCTCAACCTAAATTATGAATTCGAAAGAAAAAAAAGAATTAATAGAAGGATTCAAAGCAATTGACAAAAATGGCGATGGAAAGTTAAGTAAAGAAGAACTTACCTAATGTAATTGAATTCTTTTAAATTAGGTTATATGAATTTATACTAAGATGAAGTAAAATGTTCATAAATAGTGGATAAAATATTTCGAACTGTGGATCTTGATCATTCAGGAACGATTGATTATACTGGTAATTTTTGAAATCATTATTGTTTTAGAATTTATCATTGGTTATACAGAAATGCAAAACCTCATGGCTAAAGAGAAACTGGAAACAGCATTTAAATTATTTGATAAGGATGGAAATGGCATCATAACTAAACAAGAACTTAAAGAAATTTTAGGTGGATTAAACTTGGAAGATAATTAATGGGAAAATGTTTTTATGGAATTAGACACAAATGGTGACGGTGAAGTTTCTTTTTAAGAGTTTACATCGCTTTTATTAAGAGATACCAAATAAAATTGAAAGGATAAAATTTTGAATTCATATTTATTATAATTTTTAATCTAATACCCTAAATACTCTTTATTATTGTCCTTTTATAAAGCAATTATTAATAAAGTAAAAAATTCTTTGAAGGAATTGTTAAATGGAAACATTTGATGAAATTAATAGGAATCTAGTACTCTTAATTCTAACAATTAAAAAATAGTCATTTCTAATCAAAATATGAGCAAATCGAAAATCACTTTATTATGAGCTGATTTTTAGAAGAAAATTAATTTATGACAACTAAAATTAAGTTGAACAGCTATTAACAATTTATTAATAAATATGAGTCAGAGCTGATTGTTATTCTCTTTAAAGATTCGAAAATCATTATTATATTACATAAGTATTGATTATAGTTTTAATTTATTAACGAAATAATATATTTTAAATTTTCAAACAGTCAACAAAGAATGTCTAAATAACCTAAATAAGTATGCATTCATTTTCATTCTTAGAGTCTTTATGAAGCATTTAGTAAGCAACTTAAGCCTTAGATGAGTACAACCCTGTCAAACCTCAAACCAGTTGTAAATGAGCGTCCAGCTACAGCTAAACCACTTCAAAATTTATCAAATGCTCCAGTTCGAACTCAAGAAGATTAGACTAAAAAAACAGTTGGCAGATCTCCCTAAAGAACAACATTCGAAAGACCTACTGCTGAAAATAAACCCATGGTATCCGAAATAGATGAAAGACCAATACCAAAAGTATTGTAGAAAGGAAAGTCACCATAACCGACCTAATAATAACCAAATCCAAATGAGATGATAAGAATATAAGATTAACGATAATTTGATGATCGACCACTTCCAACAAGCAAGCCATCCCTGGATTCATAGTTATAAATAAATCAGAATAAGCAATTCCAAAATGCAAAGTAAGCCAGTACCACATAGCCCACATAATCTCAACAATACTTTAAAGCTTAACCGAATATTTAATAAACCGCTAATCAATAATAATAAAATGTGGTTAATAATAAACAATAACCTTCTGCTCAATAGTAACAATAAACTCGATTATCCCTTTAAAATACTTAAACCTAGAGGCCATAAGCTTAATCAAATCAATAATAATCACAGCCATAACAACCCTAAACAGTTAAATCATAAGCACAGTTAAAATAACCACAATATGAAGACTAGAAATAACAATAAGAATAGTTCCAAAGATAATAAAAAAGTCAAGAATAATAATAATAACAATAAAGATAATACTAACAATATTAATAAGCTTAGTAGTAACAAAGAACCGCACCTTAAGCTCCATAATAAGTGTAATTCTAAAATACATAATATTCTTAATATTAATAATATTAAGAATATTAATAATAACCTGTTTAAAACAAATAATAAAATGTGAAACAACCCATAAATAGCTAATAAGATCCACGAGGATAATAGTAGTAATAATAATAACAACAAAGACCATCTTAATAGTAACAATAATAATATTCATAATTCTAATAGCAATAATAATAATAACAATAGTAAATCCAAGAATAACCAATTAAACCAAGGTAATAATAGCCCTAATATTAATAACAATCATAACCGTAATACTAATAATAGATGCAATAACCCTAACAATAAATACAATAACCAATTTAATAAAAGGCATAAATGCCTCCTATGGAAGAGGCAGGAGAGGAGAAATTGTATGAATGTCCTGAAGGTTGTGGCAGATCTTTTAACAAGAAAGCACTAGAAAAGCATGCAAAAGTACTTTTGATATTAAATTTAGGTTTGTTAAAAAGTATTCTAATAAAAAAGAAAAGTGTTTGACTCTTAGCAATAAAGATAGTTAGATGAAGAAGAAGAAGGATATAGACCTCCTCCCCCTCCTTAAAAGAAGTAGTAATAACAATAACAATAATAACAACAATAAAAATAAGCTTAGAAACAAAAGGAATCTAAGGGTGATAAGCCTAAATGGAAAGCCTAAAGTGATGCTTTTAGAGCTATCATTAAGTAAGGAAAAGGCGAGTAGTTAACAAAGGAGGAATAAGCATCATTGAAGAATGCTATGGATGCTACTTAAGATTTAGTTTAATGCAAATTTTGCAACAGAAAGTTCAATTCAGAAACAGCCAAAAAGCATATAGCATTTTGTGAGACTAAAGCCAAATAGGCAGTAACTTAAAAGAAAAAGAAATGAGCTATTAAATAGAAATTTATTGAATTATATTTATACTATTTATTATCAATTGCTCATTCTTCACATATGGATAGGTTTGAAATGAGCACTCATGCAGGCTTCCTTTAAAGCTTCACTTAAGGTTGGATGTGCATGGCAAGTTCTGGCAAGATCTTCAGAAGCAGCGCCATATTCAATACCAAGAACAGCTTCAGCAATCATTTCTCCAGCATTTGGTCCCTAAACTTAGAATAAAAGAATACCACAATATGAACACCCAACAATTTATCTGTTTTTTTGTCTGTCAACACCTTGATGAAACCTTCAATTTCATCGTTGGCCTTGGCTCTTGAGTTAGCCAAGAATGGGAAAGATCCTTTGGCATATTAAACTCCAGCCTTCTTTAATTCTTCCTCTGTTTTTCCAACAGTGGCTACTTCTGGATTAGTGTAGATGACTCCTGGGATGGCATCGTAATTAACATGTCCAACTTTTCCAGTGAGTATTTCAGCAACTGCAATGCCTTCCTCTTCTGCCTTATGTGCAAGCATGGGACCTTCAACAACATCTCCAATAGCGTAGACTCCATCTACTCCTGTTGTAAAATTATGACCGATTTAAATTCTGCCTCTATTATCTAATTTCACACCAATAGACTAAATTAGGGATAATCAATACTTCAGCATTCAATCCTTAAGTGTATGGACGTCTGCCTGTGCTTACTAAGACGTGATCAGCTGTTAATGTGATTTTGTCACCTCCTTTGACTGGTTCAATAACGACTTCAGCAGCATTTCCAAGATTTTTTCCACCTAAGACTTTGTGTCCAATTAAGAATTTGATTCCTTATTTAGTTAATATTTTTTAGAATGCTTTTGACACTTCAAGATCGATAGCTCCACAAATGTTGTCTAAGTATTCGACGACTGTAACTTCTGTTCCCAATCTTTGATATACAGAGGCCATTTCAACACCAATGACACCTCCTCCGATGACTACCAATTTTTTAGGAATTTGTTGAAGAGCTAATGCTCCAGTGCTTGATATGATTACTTTCTCATCGAATTCTAAGCCTGGGAAAGGAGTGGGTTCACTACCTGTGGCAATGAGTGTATTTTTTGTTGTAATTGTCTCTTTTTTTCCATCATTGAGATCGATGGCGATTTCATTCTTAGATGTAAATTTACCCCATCCTTTATAATAGGAAACCTTGTTTTTGGCAAATAGACCTTCAATTCCTTTTGTAAGTGATCCAACTATATCACCTTTCTTCTTCTATACTTATGCCCAATCAACTCCGAGATTATCGACTTTGATTCCCAATCCTTTGAAGTTTTTGTGAGCATCTTCATATTTATGACTTATATTCAGAAGTGCTTTGGATGGAATGCAACCTACATTCAAGCAAGTACCTCCAAGAGTGCCTCTCTTTTCAACACAAGCAGTCTTTAAGCCCAATTGAGCAGCTTTGATGGCAGCAACATATCCACCTGGACCACCACCAATGACTACTAAATCGAAGGGTTGGCTTGAGAATGAGGATCTCTAGAAATGAGTGAATTAGTTGGTTATTAAATATCTTGTCTTAAACATAATTTATTTATCATTAGTCTTTCAATACAAATTAAATAAAAATGACGCTAAATAAGATTAATAAAATAAATCAATTTATTACATGACTTCATTTGAGATGCAAGAATAATACTCTTTATAGGATTCCCTATTGTCCGATGTATCTTCAATGTCAATCGAGTAAAGATCAAGAAGCCGCACTTTAAATAAAACAGTGAAGTGGAAACTTGAATAATTTCATGAAAAGAATGTGATGCAAGAAGAATAAGAAAAGATTTAGCGAGTCCTTAAAATCTATGATGATAATCTTAATGATGAACATGGCCAAAGTGATAGCAATTTTTTTGAAGAATACTTATCTTGGCTTCCTGTCATTCTGCCAAAACGAGTTTGGCCTTGGAAGATATTTGTAGCCATTACTACACTCTTCGTCTTTTTCGAAGTGCCAATCTATGTTATGTATGGCGAAGAATTTTGGAAGGTATTAAATTTATATAATCTAAGGAACTCATAAATCCAGCAGGACGATATACTTTATTTTATGGAATCTTTATAATACTTTTAACAGACATGCTTCTTGATTTTGTAACATCATACTATAAACATGGAAATCTTGTATTGGATAAAAGAAAGATAGCCATGCACTATTTTTATGGTTATTTTGTTTTTGATTGCGTTGCTGTAGACATTTATTTTTTAATCCTAGTTATTTTCCTGTGTTGTTAGATTAGCAGTTGATACTGATCATCTTAGATTCATCTTCTTCATGTTCTATTTCAAATTGCCTTCTCTTCTTAGAATTGACCATCAAATTGCAGAATTGATATTACTCCATAAAAGATTAAGAACATTCTATCAAATCACAAAAATGCTCATATTTATGTTCTTCTGCTTCAACTTTTATTGTTGCATTTGGTATGTGTTAGGCATCTATGGTGACAATATTCATATAAACACATGGCTAAACGTACCAGGTAATTTCGGAGTGATCAAAGACAAATCAATTCATGAAATTTACTTTTATTCTTTCTATTTCAGTTTGAACGTGCTCTCTACCACCATGGGTTTTGGTGATATTGTAAAACTATTATTAATCTATATGTTAGTCTCCCATGAACATCTACGAATGTTCGTTTGCTCTCTTTGGAGTCATGTTTGCTGTCGTTGTATTTGCTTTGAATATCAATAACTTCTAAAAGATGATGGAAGAATACAACTCGTATTACATGCAACGATTCAAATAAAAAGTATATCAAATCTTGAATGTTAGGTGTCTATCAATAAATTTATGGAATAAAAAAATGTGCCTTCCGAATTGAGGGAACGTATAAGGTAATACATCAATGAACATTGGGCTGAGGAAGGAAGCAGAGACTAGGAAAGTGAACAATAAGTATTTGAGATTCTAGCACCTGAATTAAAATAGGAATTGATGTATCAATCTTTAGGATAGTTTCTCTAAAGAACTATGTTTGCTAATCATTTCACAAAGCCTTTTCTCAAAGAATTAGCATAGAAAATTAGAGAACAATCTTTTTCATAAGGAGATGAGATTATTGGTGTTGGATCTACAGAACAAACTGATGATTTAAGCATATTTTACATTGTGGGAGGTTCAGTTATTGTAAAACCAGGAAATAGTGAAATCATTAAAAAAAAATTAGGACTGTATAGCTATTTTGGAGAGTGGTCATTCTTTACAGGTTAATATTATCATTTATGTTAATTTTAGGTTTTCCAAGAACTGGTACCGTAAATGCTAAAGAATACACATAAGTTTATGCAATCACAAGAGCTGACTTTTTAGAAACACTCAAGAAATTCCCTGAAGATTTTGAAATGTATTGTCAAATAAGGGATAAGTTACTATTCACCAAAGAATACAACCTAGTAGAATAGCAATGTTACACTTGTGGTAGTTCAGAACATTATGCTGATTAATGTCCAAAGACTCATTACATACCTTTGGTCCAGGAATTAATTGAAGAATCTACAGTGTTGGACCTTAAATAGGATAGAGTGAAAATTTAGAGATTTGATAGGAAGCAATGGGCAACCAGAGCCAACGCAACGACTTTAATCAAGGGGTTAAGCAATAACAAATTGAAAAAGAAGGCTAATCTCATGCTCAAAACGCAGAGAGCTCTGAAGAAAAATACAATTAAAATTGATAAACCCTTGGTTCCTCAATGGCAAGTCAAAGAATTTAAGAGTTTAGATGAAGAATAGGCAGCAAATCCAATGGCGGATGAAATGACAGAGAGTTAGAATTTGAATGTACAACCGAATGATAATGAGATACCTTAACGATAATAGTAGAGTTAATTAAAAAGCTTTGCAATTCAAACTTTGACTCAATCTGCTATGTAGCAATCAGCTTTGTTAAGTTCAAAAATCATGGAAAATCCAAATCAATCTTAAGAATAAAAACGAGAGAATGTGATGGCTGAGTATCAAAAGATAGTGTAGCCAACAATCAAGACTGGAGTGGAATAATTTGATGCACCTGCTAATTATAAGAATTATTATAGAAAATACAACAGCAATAATTACTAGGAATTTAAAAATGTTTAGATAATTTAAAAGGATAAAATATAGAATATGAGATAATCGATAATGTTCAAATGATATTTAAATAAATTATTGAATAATATTCATTTATAAATTGATGTGTCAATCCTTAGTAACATCTCTTTTGGTAAAGCAAGGGATTCCATTCTTAATTGGATATTTTATGCCAATACTTGTAACATAGAATTGTCCCTATCGTACTAATACCTCTTTAGTAATTGGGCAAATGAATTTCACTAAATTATTATTCATTAAATTATTTATAATATCAGAGTCTTTTTATCTATTTCTTATAAAAAAGTTCAAAAAATACACTTGCTCCAAATCCTCCTCCTAACGGACCACCAACATAAACCCATAAGAAATCCATTCTTTAGCGATCTCCTGTCTAAAATGATTAAAATAATTATAAGGAAACTGCCATGCCTGGGTTTAGGCATCCTAATTAAACATACATATATTTCATACCTCCTGAATGAAATGTAAATTCTCTCGAAAAGTACAATGCCAAAGCAACTAAGACATAAGTAGTCATAGGTTATCCTCCTGGGGTTAAAGTGGTTTCTGGATCTGTTTAGATGAGTATGAATAGAATGAAGGTAAATGTTCCAAATGCTTCTCCGCTTACATCCGATAATATCCATGAGTAATCAGTACTCTTCACTTATGGGCTGTCTACTTCATTCAAAATTAGATAGCAACAACAAGCTCCGCACAACGCTCCTGAGAATTGAGCCAACCAATATATCACTGCTTAAGCAAAGTTTATTCTTCTTGACAAAAGCATTGCTAATGTAACAGCAGGGTTTACATGTGCTCCTGAAAAAGGAGCAGCCAAACAAACTGATGCGAAGAAAAACAAAGCTAAAAATTCATCTGAACCTTATGAACATATGATTCTAAATGATATTCATTTATACCCATATGCAAATAATGCCATTCCAAAGAATTCAAATAAAAATATTCTCATTTCATCTCTTGATTTTCCTGCTGCTGGTATGATTTATGTTTTGCCCTTCGGTTGGCTTACAACGGCATTTTCCTCCATATTAATTAATTAAATTTATTTATATATAAATAATTTATGATTCCAACCAATTTGTATGTATGGATATACATACTCTTGGTTTTGGAAACTCAATTTGAGTATGATGTTATCAATTAATCAAGTTATAAGAGATTGTTTAATTGTAGTATTTATAGATTTAGGGATCACTATCGTAAACATCAATTAATAATTTTATGATTCTAATATTTATTTATATTGGATTAGTAATTACTAAAGAATTAGGTGCCCTGCTTGAAACTGTGAAAAACAATGAATACAGCATGTCTATCTTAAAGCAAATGAAATAGTACTTGAATGAGAAAAAATGTAATCATACCCAAAAACAGTATTAGCTCCTTATGAAATTCTTGTGTATATAAATGAAGAGGAAGATAAATTAGTTTCAGAGATTATTGATGATATGAACAACTATTAATAAGAATAATTAATAAGTAACTGGTTCTGTTGATTTAGGTTCATAAAAAAAGTAAGAATTAAAATACCAGATGATGCTTACTAAGTTTACTTCAGCATTGCAAGCAGATGAATTACTATTGTTATCGAATGAAGCCAAATTATCAGAAGATATCAGAATGCAAAGAGTGGATCTACTCCTAGAACTGGGACAAGTAATCCCACAATTAGAACAATTGCTTAAAGATGAAGTATTGCACATATCATTAACAACAAGTTAACAGCATTTGATTTAGAAAACAGTGAACTTGCCTTATTTCTTGAGAGTTTCAATGAGTTCATTCCTTCAAGTCCTCAAAAGTTGAATGGATAGAAACAGCATTTAAAGGAGAACCCTGAAGCCATTCTCAAAGAATTCATAACTACAAATACTGATGACTCACCTTTTAACTTACTTATAAGTATAGGCTAATATAATTAATTGCAAGGTTAAATTTAATAAAGTCAGGGCAATGGAAATATAAGTGATGCAGTATCCAAAAGCAGAGATCTAGTCAATGAAATACAAAAGTCACTACAATCAACGATTAAATCCAAAAAGGATTTGATTGAAAATGTTAAGCAAAGTCTCACTTAAGACAATGAATAATGGAAACTAGATGTTTTGTATTACTTTAATAATAGATTGCATCTATTGAACCAATAGCTAAGATTACTAAAGAGAAGCTAAACTAGTTGTAAAAGCAAAAAGATGAATTGTAAGTGATGTTGAAGCATTAATAGACTGAATTTAATGAGTTGTAAGAGAACATCGATAATAATTACGTAAGATTTATGTTATAATAAAGACATCCTATTCATCAAAGAGATTGCAAGATATGAATAATCTAAATATCATAAGAATGATTAAGTAGTTCTATTCTGAACATTTAGATGTTCTAGAAGATTTTATGAAATCTAAAATGCAATGAATGAACATTATATTGTTATATATAAAAGAGTTACCTTAATAAATTGTGTATAATTAAATCCCAATAAGTGAACATATTTAATCATGTCTCTGGAATTTAAACCAACCTCATATTTTTCCAAGAATTATTTTTTTTTATTCATTTAAAAAGTTATAATTAAATGAATCTATTTTATAACATAAAATAGCTATAATATCATATAGTAGATCTTAATTAGACTGAAGTAGTTTTTAAAAACGGTTTTGATTTTATAATAATTGTATGATATATGCTATTTATATTAAGATTAATACTTTAGGTGACTAGATTCGATTACAATCTTTATTAGATTAGTGTAATGATTTATAAATCGATTTACGGAAATACCTTCATAAGTCTTTAAGGAGAGTTATATACAATTTGATGATTTTAATATAAAACTGTGTTAATTGATGAACCAAATTCTATTTAGGATTTTAATTGAAATTTACATATATAGGCTATTAGGGGCTACTATAACTTAAGGTTTTATTACATTAGACGTACATTTCCATTGATAGTACATAATAATTTTATCCTTCATTCTCCAAATTAATTGAAAAAACATAATTTCATTTAATCTTAAAAGGTTAATAGGATTAAATTTTTCGATATCAGATTTGGTTACGAACAATTGTCATTCTACTGAATTCAATTAAATTAGGCCGCTTGTGATTATAGCTTATTATTTATAGTGTGTATATAAAGTAGATACAATGAATCAAATTAAAAGGATTATAGATTGAGATATGATCATTTCATTAGAATGTCTGAAATAGTTTGAGAATAAATCATTTTCCTTATTTTTTATGAACTTGGATATTTGCAGGCTTATAAAAATAAAGATGAAATTGATAATTTATACTGAGAAGGATTTCAAACATACTTGAGATATAGATTATGATCAAAATCTAACTTTGAATAATTTAAATTAATATGAATATCTATTATATACTCTTAGGGTATCAATAAATGTAATACGATTATATCAATAGCATTAGTATTTGATCATTTTATACTATTTTAATAATGGTAACGCTATTATTTCGATGCAATTGGGATTTCTTCATTTGCATATATATTACATTTCATGAATTTAAAAGCTGTAATACGAGATAGTATAAAAAACAATTTAATATTAAATTAAATGGATAATAGACAGGGGATTGAGATGGAGGATGAGTTTTTAGCATTGTAAAGTCCTTAGCCCTTGTTTTAAAAGATTGATTGCTTTGTAACTTTGGGGTAATACGATTTGGATGAGGATGAAAATGAAAACTTTCCTCAACATATTCAGATAGAGCAGCCAGAAATTAAAAACTTTAGGCTTCATAAATTTTTTAATGCGGAGCCTGAAGTCAATTAATTTGTTCAGAAGCAACAAGAGGTTCAACATGAGCCAAGAATGAGACCTCAACGCAAGATGTCTCAGAGTTTGCCCTCCTTTATGGAAGAAATAGACACACTAATTTCTCAGGCTATCGAGAGGTAAAATGTATTCTTGGAATAATAAAAATATATTGTAAACAATAATGGTTATTCAATTTAGGATGCTTTAAATAACATTGACAATTTTACTTTTTTGGAGCAATCTCTATCTCAACCCCAAGTTTTCAAATCCTTCTATTCCCAATACATCCGAACTATCAATAAGTTAAAATTGTACAGATAATAAAAACGGTATGTATTGTTTACAACCATAATATTAGATTAGATGTTAAACAATTTATGGCATTTGTTTGCTCCTTAGGGATTGAGTTCATCTAAGAGACCTTCAATTTAATTCACAAAGCTGATAGCTCATGGTGTTTTGAATTGCTCAAACTAGAAGGTCTCACTCAATAAATGCAAGTAGAAAATAAATAGCAATCACAATAAGATTGCAAATTATAGAAAACCCAATTCTAACAACAAGCTTATTAATAGAAGTAACATTAAGTAGACATTAACAAAGAGTAGTATAAGGCATAATCGATATAATCAGTTGAATAAGAATAGCATGCCGTCAATTAATAGAGACAATAATAAAGTGCTTTAAGCATTGTAAACGAAGCTATTGAGAAGAAAGGAAGAAAGACTTGGTCAAATAAGGAAATGGAAACCTTGCAAAACTTCATAAATACTTACTAAAATAGTTCAATTACCAATCAATAAATCTAAGAGTTGTCAAAGTAATTGGGTAGAACTTGGTATTCTGTACAATCGAAAATACAAAAGTTAAAAAAGAATGTCTAAGATCAATTGAGTGATGTGAGAAGTTAGAGTATGAAGGATGATCCCTCAAAGGAATAATTGAAGATGTAAAGAATCAGCACTAAATATGATTATACTGTGGAAGACATGATTAAGATAACCTTGCAACAGTTGGAAGGCAGATGTGGTACCAAATAGAAGGTTATTGAATCTATTAATCAAAACTTCTTCAATGGATAATTATCCGAAGATTCGGCTTGTTTGAGATCAATCTCAATAACTCTCTCCAATAATCGAAGCCAATTTATTCGGAAAATAAAGGGGTACTTTGGTCTAAATGAGAATTATTAAGATAGAGGTGAGGATGACAATAAAATGAGGAATAAATTAGTATGGATTCTACAAAATCTACCAGAAAAAAGGGGGACTCTATAACAAATAGTTGCATCTTACACTGAAAACTCATTTTTAGATGAAGCTAACAATAAGAAATTATAAAAATAGATAAGCTAGACCTTGAGACTCAGCAATCGATTTGATAAAAGAAATGCTAAAACAATATACAAAATACAAGAATGAATTGAATAAATGTTTTTGTGCATATGACTTAGTTACGATATTTGAGTAATTTTACGTTATTATTATATTAATCTACCAGAATTCAATCTTTGTCCTTCTCTTCATTTAATAACAATTAAAAATATATATGAATTTCAGTGTATATAAGTTAGGACTCTAATAATATTAATATTTAATGTATATGAATATTATAATAATTAATATTACTATTGTTGAGCCCTCTAATTATAACTCTTTTATTTAATAATAAAATAACATATTAATCTTAAATGTAAGAATTAGAATTATCATAAATTTCACCTAGGTAATAGAGTTATATCATGGTAAATTAGTGTAAGATATAAATATGTCGTACATTCGGTTTAGGATTATGAATTAAATGAAATCTTTAATTATGATTGATATACAATGAATATATCATAATCCGTAAGGGTTATCGGGTACATAGGGAGGAGGTTACTTTGCTTATTGATATTAATTTGGTTAGGGTTGCATTCCTATAGGGTTCTCTGGTTCTTAAGGGGGATATTAAAATTAGGGCATCTGTTGATTGAGTTACTACTATTAAGCATCGTTAATATGTTGACCTAAGAAATTAGTGTTGGCAAGTCCTTAGATAAATTTAGATTAGAATCCAGCTTATTGGGGGGGGTATCCTTATTATTACTATTAATAATTAGGAGGAGGGTAAATTTATTGTTATTATGGATAGGATGATTATTATTGGTTAGGATACTAACTTAATTATTATGATGGATAAGGTGGTTATTATGGTGGGTATATTTATTAAGGTTAAGTATATGGTGGAGGTGGTTGTTAAAATTGCTGTGGAGGAGGTGGTTATTAATATTGCGATGGAGGAGGTGGTTATTAATATTACTGTGGAGGTGGTATGTTGGTAAATGATGATTATTAAGGGATTTAAGGTACTGATTATTACTATTATGGCTATTAATTGGGTTGCATAATCTACTATTATAAACCGTACTACTATGAATATTGATTGATATCAAATTAGCCTAGATTAATTACTAAATAGAATAGGTGATAAATATTACAATTTTTGGGTCCAGGCTTTCTACCAACCAGGAGCATGTAATCAACCAATTGATCTGGCAATTCTTGTAAGACATTTTTGGCTAAGAGTTCTGGATTATTTTTAAATTAATTGAATGGTACAAATTAGACCAAATCTCTTTAGGTTCTTCTTCCAAAGGAATCGTGTAGATTGCCATCATCATCGTCCAAGATTGACATATTGGTGAAGTCTGCATCTCCAACTCCAACAATTATAATGGATAATGGAAGATGAGAGGATGCTACGATGGAATCAATAGTTTGCTATAAAGTAGATTTAGATATTGGTATGTACCTTCATATCATGGATTTCTCCATCAGTTAAAATAAACAATACAAAGTATGTATTAGTGCCCATGTCTTTACAAGTCTATGCTATTCTCATGGATTCTTAGATGATCGGATTGAAATAGGTGGGACCATCAAATTGGACATTCCTCACAGCATAGTTATAGGCTTGCATAATTCCATCCATCTGCAATACTTCTGGATCTTGAGGATTTCCATTTAAAGGGAAGCAATGCAGAGTTTAAGGAGTGTTCAAATTGTGGAGTCTTGGTTTACAGCCAAAGCCAAAGATGGGTACTTTTTTGTCGTGATCATAGTTCAATAGGATCTCTCCCACAGATAATAGTGCTTATTGATACTAGTTCATTCTATGATATTGATCATCAATATAATGAAGTGAACTGGGATTTTTGGGAGATTGATTGGAGGCTGTGAAATCAATGGCAGCAATTAAATTGATTTATGTTCCACTCTACAAATAATCTAAGAAACTAGGTTTTTCAATCAATTTAAACTAGAATTTAGTGTGATCATGATTACCTCATTGAAACAAATGGAACCGGATAGCTTTTTATTTTTATCAGATAACATTTTTTTAAACATATGCTTTCCTTATAATTCATCTACTGAAAATTCAGTAGAACAAACATGCTCATGATTTCCAGAACTTCTGTAATCCCAAACTTCAATTTTGATAGGCATAAAATAATCTCCATTGCATAATTTCTAAGATTGTATGTCCACTCTTTTCCAGAATGGTTTTAGAGTGGATTTGAGAGGTTCACTCTCATAAACTAAGAGTTATTAATTAGTATCCTTTCTAATTCGATAGAGTCTGAAAAAAGGTGACGTGGAATGCCAAGGTAAAAATCTTGTGTTTGGTATGTTATCAGCACCTAAATTGAATGTAATAATTAGATTTTACTTATTTACATGATGATTTTATCATTTATCATTCTAACCTAATCTGCTCTGACTACAAGCACTCCTGTTTTCTTGTGTCCATTGCTTAAATTTAACATTAATAATTGATCTCGAGCTCCTGCTATATTGGCTAGTGTAGTTTCGGCACTTCCAATAAACTAATTATCTAATATAAGTATCTACATCAAATTTTCCATTTCCATCATCGTCATTGCATACAAATTTAAGTGGCTATTAGCATTCGAAGTAGTATTCAATTATAAAGGTTTTGGCAAAGTTTGGATTCAAGTTGTCTTAAATGATTTCTGTTCTTCCCACTTCTGACCATTGGTTATTTCTTTTCACATACATTATCACGTAGGGATCGCTTTTTGAAAAGGTGTCCATATTTGCCAATCCACGACAACTGATGAACAATTCCAATTTCTATTGGGATTCCATAATGCTTGCACTTCTTCCATATAAGTCATTCATTATTAAATATTATGTGTAATTATTATTAATATTATTACATAACACAAACACAAGTTTATTAAATTTATCAAAGTATATCACACTCAAAAAGCTAAATCAAAGGGATTATTATTAAATTTATATTTTATGTTAAAAAAGTACTCTTCATTAGCCTAGATGCAACAAGAGAGTGCCAGATCTGATAGGTAGTATCCAGTTTTGAATAAGATTTCTGTACGCTTATCGCAACAATGTCTATGATCTAACACATTTTGTAGATGATCACCCTGGAGGAAGGTTCTCTCTCTAAACCTTCAAGGGCAAAGACTTAGAAAATGTACGCCCATTCATTCTTAACCCAGATTCTATTTAATGCATCCATACACAGACACTCACCCCAAGTGCTCTCCTCCCTAGAGCAATATAAATGTGGTGTAATTGAAGTCAAAACTCCTCAAGACAATAAACCGAAACCCCAAGCAGTCTAGACAGCCAAAGCCAACCCTCCCTAAAAGAAAGAGCAAGTCAGCAAAATCTAATTGACAGACGACAAGACCAATCGATCAAATGTCACATCATAATCCAAAATCAGTATTTAATAAAACAGCAATTTACTGTCTCCTGACTCAAATCAAATCAAGAAATCCAACTTAAAGCAAACCTCAAAAACTAAACCTACCAACAAGGCTGAAAGCATTATCGCAGAATCAACTAAAACTATTAAGTCTAAATCCGATTTAAATGTTTTAAATCACTAAAAGTTTTAAGACACAAACCAAGGTTCATCCAGCTAAATTTCCATTGTAACAAATCCCAAAATTTCATTGCTATCACCACAGATAATCCACGAAGAAGATGAATCTCAGCCCTCCCCATTAAACAATGCTGATAAATATGAATGCGGACTCATACCAGAAGATATTATCAACCTAAAAGTGCCCATCCTATATTACAAACTTACTGGCTTTCTTAATCATAAAAATCCCCTCTAAAATTGATAAATGTTTTTCTATATGTAATATAAATAGTAGATGAATCTTAAATTCCATCAAGTTTTTCCATAACTTTAGGTTGCGATAACAGATGATGTAACCATAGGATTCAATTTATTTAACTAATTATGATGATTAAATAACACATAAAATAAACAATTCATTTAAATAAGTGGAATAATATAGCATCGCATTGGAGTAAATCCTATACAATAGGTTTGTATTGTTAACAATGAACTCTCTATTACAAAATTTAACGAAGTAAATGAACAAATTCTAAATATAATAATTTAAATGAAATACATGCATCTGATTTTGAATTTATTAGCTCAATCATGTTCTGTTCTCTAATCATATGGAAATTAGTATGGAGTGAATTGATCTGCTGATTTATTGAAAATTGAACATTTCCATTAATTTTGAATTTAGTTGATAGGATCTTTAGAATTGCCCAACGAATACATGTGTCGTCAATTTTAGACTCAAAATGTTATAAGGTTTATGCTAAGTTGCTTAATGAGCTGAATCCAGATTGAGAAATATTTTAAGTATTTTAATTTGTCGTAATCATTGATAACAATTATTCTACGGTCAATCTAGTATTGGGATTTGGATCAAGCATCCCATTAAGTAATGGAATGAATATTGACTTAGGCATTATTAGCATAGGATTGTTGACATAATTTTGGATAATTTTCTTTAACTCAGATACTTTGTCATGGTAAAAGGGAACATTCCCATAAATGAGTTCATACATAGTAATTCCGACTGACCAAACATCCGACTAGAAGCTGTACATATCGTTGAGTAAAGATTCCGGGGCCATGTAGAGTGGCGTACCAAATGATGATTTTTATAACTCCAAAGAATTTATATTAACACTAAAGCCAAAATCGGCAAGTTTGGGTATGCAGTCGTGCATCATGATATTTGGAGGTTTGATGTCTCTGTGTATTATATCTAATGATTTTGGATGATAATTACTCTTGGTTTTCAGTTCCTTCAGTGCCTACAGTAATTGATGGAAAATTCTTAACAACTATTAATCTGATCGATTCTTTACGAATCTCAATTCTCCTTCATTACAGTGTTCAGTTATGATATATTGATTGTTTGGAGTGTAAATGTAATTGATATACTATAAGATGTAAGGCGATTTGAGTTTCTTCAAGGATTCAACTTCATTACTCAGCATCTGTCTTGAGAAATTCGAGTTCAACCTTGAATTCTCTATAACCTAATCATATTGTGATGCTCTCAATTACTTTGATTGCAACTTCCTAGCCAGACCTTCTGTCCTGGCCTTTAAACACAGAACTGTATTCTCCTTAGCCCAGACAGTCTTCTAATCGATATTCGAAATCGTTTATTATTTTTTTGGGAGACTATTTACTTTATGATGGAGTATTTTTTGGTGACAGCATATTTTCTTATATTAAAGTTTCAAATTTTTTATTATTAAACTTTTTGGAATTAGATTTTAATTAAAAATGAGTCAACCTCATGGATCTTCCATCGTAAGCAAAGACAATCCAAATCAAGCTCCCAGCCAAAATACATCCAATGTATTTACAGATTTATTGTTCTCAACCTTTTACACTGTCATTGGATATGTTTGTCTAGATGTCGTATTTGGTATCAGTTTGCATTACATTGCACAACACAACGATCGTTACTCAGTGGCTGGACTAGGATTTGCTTATACAATAGTAAATGTGTTGCTAATTCCAATGGCCTTTGGTAATTCATCATCTAAAGTGAAATAGGAACCAATCAATCATTGAATGTGCATTCTGCTCAGGCCCTGGGAGCAAACAAACCCAAGCTGGCTCAAACATATTTTACATTAACCACCCTCATACATTTACTGTACTTCATCCCCTTCTCAGGTATGTCCTAATCACACATTTTTCATAGTTATTCTCATATTGATCAAACCAATCATAGCATTAACAATTAATGAAGAAGACAGACAAGCTACTTCTGATGCCTCCTAACTCTATTTGTATTACTTGCTCCCCTCAACTCTCTTTGCCATTCTTTATGAATGCATCAAAAGTTTCTTAATTTCAAATAAAGTATAGTGAGACCTTTTTAAACTAGATCTTTGCTGTCTTCATGTACATCCAACTGTTTACAGCTCTCATCCATATTTTCTGGTGTGAATTATTCATAACCTATCTAAACGTAGGTGGAGGAGTTCCAGGAGCGGGTTTAGCCATTATCTGCACCGAAGCCCTCAATCTAATACTTTGTATCTTGGTAATCCTTTGTACTAAATATCGAAAAAAAGTATTCTCCAATTACAGATTCAAATTTTCATTAAAGAGACAGAAGAAGATCTTTAAAAGCTTTTTGAAGGAGTCTTTCCCTATTATAGCACATATCTATGCTGACTTTTTCGTATTCTTTCTCTTGAGCTTCATCGCTGTTGGATTCGGGTCTGATGAATTGTATGCCTAAATGGCTCTGTCAAACACATCAACATTTTATTACAGATTTCCGATGTCCTTATCTTTGGCCTTGATGACTTTTGTGGGCAATGAAATGGGTTCCCAGAATCTCAAAAGAGCTAAACGCTACTCCTTAGTTGGTACGGTTTTATTTGTTGGATTCACAACCATCTTTATGGTTACATTGACTTTCATCAAGGAGCAATGGGTTGACTTTTATTCTGCAGGAAGATAAGAGATCGATGATATAATGTTGGAGGTATACCCTATTTTTGTATTTGGCTTTTTTATTATTGATGGTTTACAAGGGACTTTGACTGGGATTCTAAAAGGAATTGACAGGAAAGACTTTGTGACATATTCTACTCTATTAGTGTACTATTTAATTGGAATACCGTTGTTTCTATATTTTGCCTGCGATTTTGGTCTAGGTCTGAAGGTTTATGGCATATGGCTATCCTTTAGTTTAGTAAACGCACTTTTGGCTGTTTTGTATATCATTTTGACGTTTACCACAAACTGGGACAAAATGAGTTAACAAATTTGCTTAAGGATTGAGAAATAACATGCGATGTAAAATCTGCATGATTCTTTGGATAAGGTTTAGATAGACAAGGATACGAAAGAAAAGAAGAGCAAGAAGAAGATCAAATAAACTAAAGTAAGGATATAATTATAAAAATTTAGAACAACAATAATAAATAAAATTAATATGAATAAGCTTCATCCTAAAATAATTATTAAAGGTTGATAGCAAATCAAGTTAGATTAAGAGGATCAGATAATGAAGGGCTGTAGTATAGTCTCTAGGAAACAGAACCAATAAAGCGACAAAAAATAGTAATTGTTGATCAATTGACAAGTCTTTCTTGATCATAGTGTAATATTGATGATAATTAACTCATTTAATATTATTATCTTGAATTAATATATAGGTTGTACTCTCTTCTCTTATTACATACTGAACCGTAAGATGATGTCATAAAATTTTCGAGTCATTAATAACAAAAGGCAAGAATTTAAAATTTATTTGTATCTGATTGTGTTTTATATAAAATAGGTATCATAATATGTTAAATATCTTATAATTATTATCATAGTCATTAACACACTCTTTATCCCCTCTTTACGGAGTTTGAAAATCTAATTGTTTTCCCAAAAAGCGTTTATTTGCTTTATATTACTAAAGCAACTTAATTATACTTTTCCTTTGTTGTTCTCAAATGTCCAAATAAAATATCTTTATTAAAACTTCGATTGCTACTGGAGTAGCAAAGTTTTGGTGGTGGAGAGGGACTTTTTTGTTCTGATAGTGCTGATTTTTATTCAATTTCGACATCACAGAATGTAATTTTTTTGATTTTTTTATTATTTTTTGTTTTCTGTATGATTGGAGTAATGCATTATGTGGTTGATTATTTGGAGAAGGTTTAAGATTATTTTGTATTTTTAGAATTACACAGTCCCATTAATTTAAAGAAATTAATTGAAGTTTAATTGAAAATTTATATCCATTTAATAATTCAATTTTTTAATCTCTATCCAGAACTGTAATTTATACAATTTTTTATTTTTGCATTAGCTTCAGAAACAATATAAAACACAAATACATTCACAGTACTACCAAGACAAACTACATTACCCCTTTCTAGAGTTGCTAGAGTAAAAAAATAATATTATTATTTTTATGAAATTCCATTATAAACATTTTATATATATATTACTCTATCATTATTGTTTGAAACTAATCTCGTAATCTTGGAACCCATTCTTCTTGGCTTCATCTAAATACTTGTACAGCAGGGGTCTTGAAACATTGTTGATGTATAAAGTGGTCAAATATGTATACATGAATGTAACACTTGAAGCGACCAGCAATCCTAAATATAAATGCTTATAATGGTTAAGATGTTCAAATGTGTTAGTGTAATATGGTTTGAAAACATATTTTAAAAGCAAATGAAATCCACCGACCGCTCCTATTAATGTCCCTCCTAAACCAAAGGCAAAGTAGGCAGAATATTTTGAGATTCTGAATTAGTCATCTTCTTCCAAATGGACATACTGCTTGACTGAATTAAATTTATAAAATATTTTTGATTCATATGGGTGATCTATGAAGTTGTTGCCATAAGGATTCAGTGGGTGATTTTCACTCATAAATGGTGTTTGTGACCGAAGAGCATTATTGTTATTATTTTTAATCATAATAAATATATTAATAAATGATAAGGAATCGATGAAATTAACTGATCTCATGATTCTATTTCTTCATGTAAAAGTAATGTTAAATGAGTATCTGAAGTGATCTCATACTCCTGTAACTTTGCGTCGTCATCTAACAATGTTTTTTCAAGAAATAATGAAGATCTCTCTGATTCAATACCACATTTTGATTTCACCTCCTCTATTTTCATATTGGGTTTAGCTTTAATGTAATACATATTGTTATTTTGGTCTTGTATTGTTAGCAACAATAGTTTTCGTTCTTTGCGAGATCCACACAGCAAACAAAAAAAGGTTCCTAAAACACTGAGCATTAAGAAATTATAATTAATATGAAACGACTCATATAAACGTTTAAAATCAACTCACAAGAATTATTATAGATGGAACAAATCACAACTACCTCGATATCATGTTTAATAGCATATAATAAAACATTTCTATTAATTGATTCACTACAATTGTGTAAACCCATCTTAATAAATATATATTGAAGAACACTAACTCTGTCTAGTACTTATTTATTCTATGACATTATTTTAAAATGATTATTATGAGTGTTTGGATATATTATAAACAATCAGAGTTATTTCTTAATGGTTTATAGTTTCTTCTATTTCTATTTATCTTTTTACACATGTCTTAATTGTTTCTTTGATTTTTTGAGTTCATGCTCGATTTCCTTTTTTCTAAAGACATCCTACTATTAAATTAGTCTCTTACTTCATAGGCATCTTGCTTGGTAGCTTCAATGATAGGGGGTATTATGGAATCTCTTTTTTTCAATTTTCTCAAAGTCCAATCCTTTTTATTTTCATCCCAAACCATTCGACTATTAAATTTAAATTCTGGACAATATACTTTTTTTTCTTTTTTGCAAACTTACTATCCTTTACTTTCTAGATGTAAGTTTGTTATCTTGGCAAAATAATATTTTCTTTGTCATAGGGAAGATCTGTTTCCTATTAACCTTCAATCAATCTTTGGGAGACATATTTGAGCTACTCTGACACTTTATCGGCAATGATGTCAAAATCGTATTGTTCCACTGTGTCCAAAGCTGTTAAGGTAAGCTTCGGTTTATCAAATAGGATGTTAATATTTGAGGTCATTTTAGGACTTAAATAAATAATAAATAAAATGAATATAAAGTTAATTTTCATATTTTTAGTGTTACTTGCACAAGGAGCTTTTGGTATAAAAATATAATAGCAAAAGGTGTTGTAACCAAGGTGACAGAATGCTAGGCTAAATGTGATAAATAAGTGAATGGATGCATCTACTCATGTGCTTAAACATAGTTGCGATAATCGTTAGTGACTCAAGAAAGATGTTAAAAACTATGTGCAGGAGTAAATAAGGAATGCAAAAATACAAAATGCTACTTAGATCCTTGATTAGTTATTTTACATATTTTAAAAAACGTATTATATATATTCTCTAACCCCTTTTATCTATTTTTATTAATTATTTCAATGACCTAGGATGACTATACCAATCATGTTGAAGAAGTTCTAATCAGAATCATTCTGATTACCAACACTCTGAGTGCTGTAGGTGCAACTTTGATGATCCTGACGTATTTCAAGTATGGATTGTTAAATTAATAGATTTAAAGAACTGCAAACATTTGCATTCCGAATAGTACTCTATCTTAATGTCTCTGATGTAATCTTGGCCTTATCAAATATGCTATTGGTAACTGAAGATTTCAATAATGAGAACCCTATATTATGTCTAATTTAAGCGTATCTCATTAATGCATCCTAATTGTCATCAATAATGTACAGAGTCAAATTTATAAAGATGGACTGCCATCATAGCATTTATTTTATATTAGTCATGTATCAAGAATCAAAACGAGTAGGCATTGAATGTTTGCGGCTACTTGTTCTTTGGATTTTGTATCCCATTTTCTATTTCAATCTATCCATTCTTCACTCATGACTATGGTTTTGCTGGTATCAGTTGTTGGATCAAAGAAGATGTAATTAATTCTTAACAACCTTAGATTACCAATCCCGAGAGAAGCACTATCATTAGATATATCAATTTCTATATTCCATTGATTTTGATCATCCTCTATAACTCAGGTGTATACATATATATCATATGCAAATTATATGGAATATCACAATAATAAACCAAATTTATCTATAAAATGGTATCCTACCCATTGATATTGATAATATGTTGGATATTTACAGCATTCAATAGAACCTATGAAGAGATCGCATAATAATAACATATATGGTTGCTCTACCTCTCAAAGGCCCTATCCGGATTGATGGGTTTTTTCAATTACTTAGGTTATGGATTCACTCCTTAAGTAAGGGATTCTTGTTCCCTTTATTGCTGCTAAAAGAACACAAAGACCTTTTCAGTTGAGGTTGAAATGAAGCATGAACAAAATAACGAAAATAATCAAAATACTGAGGAAGTAGACTCAAGAAATTCGGTAAACTCACAAAGAGACAGCGTCTAAGGAGAATTAAGTTTTATAGCTGAATTGTATTGATTCGATATGTTTATATATGTATAATATTTTCACTTAGCATCCAAGTCCTTGTTTCTTTTAGTTCTGACATTTATTTTGGGTCCCAAGGAAGTTCCATCAATAAAAAAGGGGAATTCATCAACATCTAAATCCTCAATGTACACTTGATCCAATTTGTCTTGATATTTCTAATCAATCAAACCTGTTGATCTGAGTACTATTGGAATAAAAGGTTTATTGGCGAATAATTATTTATAATCATCATTGTAGAAGAGGGGTTTAAGAGTTTTATGAATTTCATTTTTTGTGATTATCTTTCTGATTGTAATTTCATTCCAGAATGGATTTTATAAAAATTCAGCATAGTCTTCAATTACAATGTCTCCAAATCGATTGTATAGCACATAAACATTTCTGTTGTCTCTAAAGATTATTCCTAGGGAATCATAATGAGGATAAGGTTTAGTAAATTGAGAATATTGACATTTAATTATATCGCTTACTGAAATACACTCCATGCATTCGAATTTCATAAACACCAAATCGCCAGAGTCCAATCTATCCAATACAATTTGATCTGCCCTGAATCCGTAGCTTAAACCAAAGTACTAATTTTGAGGACGAGTGTTGTCTTTGAACTCTACTTCGTTCTCCTTTTTAATTTACAATTCCCTTCTATTTTGATATGCCGTGTAATGCAAATAGCCATAGCCAGTTATACCAAATATTCCAGATGTCAATAGAAATGGTTTTATATTATTTTTAATAAAATTCATTATTGAATTCATTTATATCATCCATATTTCTATTTAAATTCTCCTGCCAATCCCAATCTTTATTAAATGAAATGCTTTTCTCCCTCTAGGAAACGTGTTTAGAATACTATCTATTGAAATGTTTAAATAAAAACATTACATCTTTGGTTTTCCCGAAATAAACACCATCCAATTAAGCACGGAGATAGCTCTCCACATCTTCAACTAAGGTGCCTATTTTCATAATGTGGAACAACTCTAAATCCTTATTACCTGCTGGAGCCTCAAAAGATTCTTCCTTCTAAAAAATATCAATTTTCATGAATACCTATTTGGTCAATGTGCCTGTTATATTGAATTTGCCAACATCTTGATTTTAGATGATATTCATTTCCAAAACAACCGATGTAGTTATCTTGTAAGTCCACTTAGATTTCCCATCTGTCTTAATATCAATCACATTAATTGAACTCCAAGACCCATCCTCAATTCCCTTAGTTTTTTCTACATTTTTCCTTATCAACCAAGCTGTTGCAAATCCACCGTCTTCTTTATCCCAAAAGTAACATGAAGATAATCCTCCTTCATAATATCTTTACATATATTAAATAAGTACAATCTCCTGTATTCATCGAAGACAGCATTGGCTTTGAGTTCTAATTTACGTAATGCTTCAGATGGATAAACTGCATCATCAATAGGGGGATAATATGAATTTGTAACGTGAGATCTAAATGAATCTCCATCTCTATTGAATTCAGACTATATAAATTGATTCCCTTTCTCATCTTATCCAATATCTAATTTTTCATCATTCTCATTACCTAATGGTTTATCTATTTTCTAGTATAACTCTTCAGCATAATCTGGAATCAGCGAGGCAAGTGCTGCGGCATTCTTCTAGATCTGAGTTGGAGGCAACCTTTTAAGGATGTTCAAGCAAGCGAGGATTTTTTCTTTCGATTCCATTATTAATTAATAATCATTATAATTGTGATTTATATACAACTAATAAAGCTAGCGAGGCTGCCAAGGTCATCCCGTAGTGAGCCATCAGACAAGTAATGAATCCATACTTTTCTCGGATATGCTCGAAAGATCCTCCAATTGACATGAAATATGTTGAAAACCCTATAGCGAATTCCCAATCTGATTTAAATATCTTCAATAACATTATGAAATGGAACAAAGTGTAGAATATGTGAATTAAGGACCTGTAGTTCTCACTCTCCTTATAGGTTTTCATCAAAAACAACCGCCTTACTTAATATCAATTCATTACCAATACCATTCCTCCAAAAATGGATTGCATATTATCAATACCAACATAAACGCTCCAATATACGCAGGGTGTTCCAACAGAGGAATCTTCAAATAATCCATGATCTCTTCTTCCCAATAATATGTGAAAATTAACGATAATAAAACCATTCCAAATGCACTTCTAAAGAGGGAAAGCCCTCTCTTTATCTATTCCTATCTTCCTTCCAATTCATTTATGAGATATGCTATAATCTATTAATCTAAGTACCCCTCAATTCCCCCTCTTTGCTTAAAAATTTTATATAAATAGCAGGTATCACAACATAGAAAAATTACAAAACACACAAAGTAGTCAATGCCTCATCTATATAAAACAGCCCTAATCCTGTAATCAACGAGGGTATTATTAAACACATGAAAAGATACGAATGCTACTTAAAATTCAAACCATAAAGACCTCCTAACATCTTATGGGATTAAATTAAGTAAATTAATATTTATATTATATGAAACCAATAATTATGAAGGCCTTCGATAAAAAGTATAAGGTTAAAGCTGGTATTTCAATCATTGGCAATACTGAGCAATGTAATATTCAAGTTCCCTTGCCTGAATGCTTTAAATTAAACTTAGATTCAAATATTTTATGGATTCAGCCGATCATAAACATTCATAGAATTAATGGCCAAGGAGATGCTCAATTATTACGGATAGATAAGGAATATGAATTAGACTTGACAACAGGTCAAAAGCATATCATTGTTCAAGAACAAACCTTAACGTTTGAATATGCGAAACCCAAAACAATCAAAATTAATCTCATCAAACAAATCAAACCAAATCTAACTATTTTCGAACCATCAATCAACAAGAAGATTTAAAATGAATCAAATGTCTAGCCCCTCACAAATTCCTAGAAATCCAAAAGCTAACCTAAACATTATTTATTAGTTTAAAATTATGTATAAATCATCATTTATCATTAGATTAAATAATTGAATGGAGAATACAGAATTAAATTTTCTAACTGTTCAGTTTCTAACGATGACCTCTTTAAATTATTAAAAATGGGCATTTATGTTGATATAGAATAATATAACATTTTGGTTATGGAAACATTCAAGAGAACTTTCAATCTCCTTTTAGCAATCAATGAAGGGAAAATGATAGTCAATTCTTAGTGGATTAAAGATTGTCTCTCTACAATGTAAATTTAGAATCCCTATCTTTACGTTTTGAAAACAAATAATTTAAGTATTTTGAATTCCATTGAAACTTCATTGTCATAATCTATTTTTCTAAATAAATAGTTTAACTTGAGCCATGATTTGAAATCAAATCTTAAAAATGAAGAAATTATTTAATTAATAGAGGCAGGAGGAGGATCCATCGGTAATGGAGAAAATTCAATTAAAATCGTAAACAATGGTGAAGTCGGAGGACTGGAAATCGAGCAACTTTTATAAAGGATCTTGTTTTAAAGAGTTTGATTAAACTTATTATAATTTAATATTTTTATCATACATTAAAAGTTTTGGATTTATACTCCTAATCAAAATAAAATAGAGGAATCTATCTTGAAATCTAAATTTATTAAATTGAAAATATATAAAGTGAGTATCTTATATGGTTATGATCATTAGATATGCATCAGAAAGAAATCATGCATAGAGATTTAAAATTAGAAAATATTTTATTTAAATAATTAAATTATTTAATTTATCAAAATAATAACACAATTATTCAGTTGTAGTGGCATATTTTGGTTTAGCTAAATTTATACATTTATTTTTATAACTTGGATTCAGAGATATTGTAGCAAATTAGGTTTTATTATTATATTTTTACCTATGATTGAATCAATTTATTTGAACAACTGTAAACGAACCTGTTTATTAATAATGCAGATGTGGAACACCAGCATTGTTGCCTGAGAAATCATCAAAATGAAAGGTCACTATAGTTCAGTTTGTGATATCTAAAGTTTTGGGCTCGTATTTAACTTATTATTAACAGGTAAATCACCGTTTCCTGGTTAGATTTATGCAACAATTGCTAAATAAATAGAGATAATGCTATTGATCTTGCGAGTAGAACGCTTGAAAAAAGGAATAACTTCTTATTAGTGTTTCAATCATCCATTTATATAACTAATTAATCGATGCTTTGAGACAATTAAAATGATTTTATAGATGAAGGAGAAGAAAGTGAAATATGTTCAAGATGAATGCATAAAATGAGGTTTATTTATTTTCTTTATTAAAGATCTGCAAAATTTGATGCCTTCAGAAGGAATTAATTATTTAAATCTCCATATCTTCTCCTGGAGTTTTAGCAAAAACAACTAAAAAATAAAAAAACATTGATTCTTAGAACTCATTTTAAATGAATTCACCTATATTTACTGGAAAATTGATAGTTTTTATTCTATCTAAAATATTGGGTTTCAATAAATCCAATAATAAACTACTTTTCAAGCTTTGCCTATTATTAAACCATTTTGATTTAAATTGTAAATATTAATAATTAATAATAACAAGAACAAGAACAAGAACAAGAACTATCCCCCAATAAATGTGATATAAGATAACCCATTATTGAAATATACCAATAAAAAGGAATATTTCAATATCTTTAAATCTAATTTATTTTTATTCGAATATTTTCATAATTGTAATTAGTTCAATTATTGCTTTTCACTTGTCAAAATTCAAGAATGGAATATTACATTGTTTGAATGAGTTCGAATTTATTATTCATAATTAATTAATTAAAGTTAATTGAAATTACATCTATATTTGTTATTTAGGTTTTCACAATATTAAAAACGCCGATCATCAATTTCTTTTGTGTTTTTATTTTATTTCATCTCTTGTTTTATCTGTTTTTCTTTTCAATCTTATTTGTTTTTATTATAGGATAAAATTATTAAATGTAATCAATTAGAAATTTCATACAAAATAGAGTTTGTTCTGCAAGATGAAAACTTTATAAAATCATAAGCTAAACATTAAAAAATTTGTGTAAGAGAATTAATGATTTCGGAACAGTAAAATGAATAACTAGTAAAAATAGTTTCTTAATGTTTCTTTCTTTTCACTAATTACTTGAATTCGATTATATCTATTCATTAATTATGCTAATTTGTTGAAGATGTTTAGAGATCTACTTTATGAGAAATTCTGTCTATTACTTGTTAAACACAAAAAACAAATTTTTATAAGATTAAATGCATAAATTTAAAAACCTTTTCTGAATTTAATCTAGAATTATATTCTTTAGATATTTTTATAAGGATGATAAATTAAATAAACATAAATTTATTATTTATTACATTCACCGTTTTCTATTCTTAGAGAGTTCTTCCTTAAGTTTTAATTATAGCCAAATGTGCCACTTAAATATTAGGAAGAAAAATACTTGATGAAACGGTAAATTGCGATTTTTTGCTTCTTAATAGAAGTTTTTTAATTTAATTTCTGCAGCAGCCATAGGATCGTCGCTACTTAAAGCAACAGCTTAAGCAGTCTAATTCATAAATTTAAAATACAAGTATGAAGTATTATTAATACTAATCTATTTGATTAGGTTTTTAAGAGATAGAATTTGAAGGAGACCTAGTTGGCGTCATCCTGTCTATATCACTCATAATATCATCATATTTCTTCCTCAAATTATTTAATTCTTCACTTTTGTTAATTTAATCTTGGAGCATCTAATTATACTAATCACTACCATAATACAAGTAAAAATTACTTTAAAGCATTAAAATCTTATTCTCTTCTATGTAATGCTTCCTAAATTCGATTAATTTTATTTTAATAATCTTTTTTCAATAAATCCATTTCTTATTCTTGCTACTTAGTAATATCATTTATATTAACTGAAGAAGACTTTTAATATCCTTCAATTTTTTCATTTAGCCCTGAAATATTTAATATTAGACTTTCTATTAATAACTTATTTTTTGCCTAATTTTCTTAACTTTCTTTTAATTATTATTCTAGTTTAGTAATTTACTCTGTAGAAGATGAAAATTTCAACTAAACTTCCTTCAAATTATTAATTATTTATTCTACTTAACGATTAAGAATATTTATTTGCATCATTAATTTAGTTCTATTAAAATATATAAAAAATTTACTTCAATTTATCTAGGTCATCATAATTATCTTCAATTTAACTTTCTGTTTCTTCTTAACTAAGTATTTTTAATCCTTCAGATTACTTAATTAAAAGTATTAATATTTCTTAGATGAAATTTCTAAAATTAAATAATTCTATACTTTTGCATTTCTTTAAATACACTGTCGCTATTAATTATTTCGGACAACTCGTTTATTTTTTCTAAGTATTTGAATTATTCATTTCTCAATTCCAAAATCTATTATTCTAATATTTTTAATTTTTCATTCTACGTTGAGATATTGACATCAAATTCTATTTTTTGTCCTTATAATTTTTCAATTAATTCAAATTTATTTTCAGAAAGATCTATATTTTCAGAATTTCTATGTTGTGATTTTATATAATTTTCAAGCTACACTTTAAATTGAGTGTCTTATGTGGTTCTTAAATTTTATTCATCAAAAAGTTTTTGTTGCTACAAAACAACTTCCTCTTTAGTAGTTTTTAAATCTTATTCTAGCTGTTCTATTTCATATGTTTTTAATGTTAAAGTCTATCTAATCTCTTAAAGACCCTTGTTAATTTCTTCCATTTCTTCGTCTTTTCTTTAAATGGTTTCTTCGAAAGTCTTTGTTAATTCTTAAAAGTAAAGCTTCTCTTCAGTCAATTATTCAATTTATTATTTTAAGTTTTAGGTTTCTACACTTTAATCTTGTTCTTTTTCTGAAATTTTAGAAATTTGATTTTTTAAATTTTACACTTCTAACTTACTTTCTGTTAATTACTAAGAATAAATATTCTACTAAGCATGAGCCTCTTTAACGAGCTAATATTATTCGGCTAAATGAATTTCAAGTTGGAGCTTCTCTTTTTGTATTTACTCAAATAAAATTCTCAAATCTTCTAAATCTTACAAACTTTTATTTTGTTGTTATTCAAACTTTTGATATTAGAGCTTAATAGAATTAATATCTTAATCCTTTAAAGTAAGTTAATTTTTTAGCTACTAAATCATATTAGAGTCTTCCTTAGAAATTGTTTAAACTCTAATTAATTCTTAATCAAGTTCATTGTTTAACTTTTGTAAGGCTTAACAGCTGATAGATAATTAATCGAGAGTTGAATTTAAATTTTGAATTGTTTATTAGTCTTCTTAGAATTGCTTTAAAGATTTTGATTGTTATGATGTAGCCTCTAATGAAATATTTTGAATAATTGATTCTAACACAATTATTTATAATTATTCTTGGATGTACTATTAAGTATTATGTTAATTTGATAATCTTTAAGCAAGTATAAGTTGTTAAATAGCCGAATTAAGTTCTTAATTTTAACTTTCATAATGCACAAGGTATTTATTCAGTTCATGTATTTAATCTGAAAATTAATTAAGCTCTTTTTAATGTTTTTCTTCTTTTTTATGCTATTCTTGTAACAATTCTTGATACAATATGTGAGCTTCTGAATTAGAAGCAGTCAAGGAAAGTTAAAGTTATTAATATTATTCTTTAAGAGATTACAATTCAGTTTGGGTCTCCTGAAAGCTTTTCTCGCTCACTAAGAGCTTTTCCTTGAGAGAATTGACTTAATGCTCTTATTCTTTCTTTGTCACTTCCAACTCGAGTATCAACTTTTAACTTTCTTTTTACTTCTCTTCTTCTAGTAAATTTATTTTTTGCTTATTCTCTTCATTCTAATTAATTAATTGTTCGATCTTCTTATTTAATTATTCATTATATTAATTCAATTGAGTCTCATTCATTTCTAACTTGTTAATCGTAGTTTTCAACTCGTTGTTTTCTTCGATTGTTTGATTTTTATCTTTTTCAACACGATTGTATTTTAATTACAAGTCTTCAATTTATTTGTGAGCTTCTGAATTGGAAGCAGTCAAGGAAAGTTAAAGTTATTTATATTATTCTTTAAGAGATTACAATTCAGTTTGGGTCTCCTGAGAGCTTTTCTCGCTCACTGAGAGCTTTTCCTTGAGAGAGTTGACTTAATGCTCTTATTCTTTCTTTGTCACTTCCAACTCGAGTATCAACTTTTAACTTTCTTTTTACTTCTCTTCTTCTAGTAAATGTATTTTTTGCTAATTCTCTTCATTCTAATTAATTAATTGTTCAATCTTCTTATTTAATTCTTCATTTTATTGATTCATTTGAGTCTCATTCATTTTTAACTCTTTAATCAAAGTTTTCAGCTAATTATTTTCTTCGATTGTTTGATTTTTATCTTATTCAATACGATTGTACTTTACTAAATTTTCTTCTTTTTATTTTTCTACATCTATTTTGTAATTTTCTAATTCAATCTACTTTTTAAAATATTTTTCTTTTTCTATTTCTAATTCTGCTTAAATTTAATTATCTCTTTATTCAATTTATCTATTTTCGTTCTCTAATTTTGCACATTTCTATTCAANTTCATTTCTAACTTGTTAATCGTAGTTTTCAACTCGTTGTTTTCTTCGATTGTTTGATTTTTATCTTTTTCAACACGATTGTATTTTAATTACAAGTCTTCAATTTATTTGTGAGCTTCTGAATTGGAAGCAGTCAAGGAAAGTTAAAGTTATTTATATTATTCTTTAAGAGATTACAATTCAGTTTGGGTCTCCTGAGAGCTTTTCTCGCTCACTAAGAGCTTTTCCTTGAGAGAGTTGACTTAATGCTCTTATTCTTTCTTTGTCACTTCCAACTCGAGTATCAACTTTTAACTTTCTTTTTACTTCTCTTCTTCTAGTAAATGTATTTTTTGCTAATTCTCTTCATTCTAATTAATTAATTGTTCAATCTTCTTATTTAATTCTTCATTTTATTGATTCATTTGAGTCTCATTCATTTTTAACTCTTTAATCAAAGTTTTCAGCTAATTATTTTCTTCGATTGTTTGATTTTTATCTTATTCAATACGATTGTATTTTAATTACAAGTCTTCAATCAAGTTGTGAGCTTCTGAATTAGAAGCAGTCAAGGAAAGTTAAAGTTATTAATATTATTCTTTAAGAGATTACAATTCAGTTTGGGTCTCCTGAAAGCTTTTCTCGCTCACTAAGAGCTTTTCCTTGAGAGAATTGACTTAATGCTCTTATTCTTTCTTTGTCACTTCCAACTCGAGTATCAACTTTTAACTTTCTTTTTACTTCTCTTCTTCTAGTAAATTTATTTTTTGCTTATTCTCTTCATTCTAATTAATTAATTGTTCGATCTTCTTATTTAATTATTCATTATATTAATTCAATTGAGTCTCATTCATTTCTAACTTGTTAATCGTAGTTTTCAACTCGTTGTTTTCTTCGATTGTTTGATTTTTATCTTTTTCAACACGATTGTATTTTAATTACAAGTCTTCAATTTATTTGTGAGCTTCTGAATTGGAAGCAGTCAAGGAAAGTTAAAGTTATTTATATTATTCTTTAAGAGATTACAATTCAGTTTGGGTCTCCTGAGAGCTTTTCTCGCTCACTAAGAGCTTTTCCTTGAGAGAGTTGACTTAATGCTCTTATTCTTTCTTTGTCACTTCCAACTCGAGTATCAACTTTTAACTTTCTTTTTACTTCTCTTCTTCTAGTAAATGTATTTTTTGCTAATTCTCTTCATTCTAATTAATTAATTGTTCAATCTTCTTATTTAATTCTTCATTTTATTGATTCATTTGAGTCTCATTCATTTTTAACTCTTTAATCAAAGTTTTCAGCTAATTATTTTCTTCGATTGTTTGATTTTTATCTTATTCAATACGATTGTATTTTAATTACAAGTCTTCAATCAAGTTGTGAGCTTCTGAATTAGAAGCAGTCAAGGAAAGTTAAAGTTATTAATATTATTCTTTAAGAGATTACAATTCAGTTTGGGTCTCCTGAAAGCTTTTCTCGCTCACTAAGAGCTTTTCCTTGAGAGAATTGACTTAATGCTCTTATTCTTTCTTTGTCACTTCCAACTCGAGTATCAACTTTTAACTTTCTTTTTACTTCTCTTCTTCTAGTAAATTTATTTTTTGCTTATTCTCTTCATTCTAATTAATTAATTGTTCGATCTTCTTATTTAATTATTCATTATATTAATTCAATTGAGTCTCATTCATTTCTAACTTGTTAATCGTAGTTTTCAACTCGTTGTTTTCTTCGATTGTTTGATTTTTATCTTTTTCAACACGATTGTATTTTAATTACAAGTCTTCAATTTATTTGTGAGCTTCTGAATTGGAAGCAGTCAAGGAAAGTTAAAGTTATTTATATTATTCTTTAAGAGATTACAATTCAGTTTGGGTCTCCTGAGAGCTTTTCTCGCTCACTAAGAGCTTTTCCTTGAGAGAGTTGACTTAATGCTCTTATTCTTTCTTTGTCACTTCCAACTCGAGTATCAACTTTTAACTTTCTTTTTACTTCTCTTCTTCTAGTAAATGTATTTTTTGCTAATTCTCTTCATTCTAATTAATTAATTGTTCAATCTTCTTATTTAATTCTTCATTTTATTGATTCATTTGAGTCTCATTCATTTTTAACTCTTTAATCAAAGTTTTCAGCTAATTATTTTCTTCGATTGTTTGATTTTTATCTTATTCAATACGATTGTACTTTACTAAATTTTCTTCTTTTTATTTTTCTACATCTATTTTGTAATTTTCTAATTCAATCTACTTTTTAAAATATTTTTCTTTTTCTATTTCTAATTCTGCTTAAATTTAATTATCTCTTTATTCAATTTATCTATTTTCGTTCTCTAATTTTGCACATTTCTATTCAATATCTGAATAATTTTTCATTACAGCTTACAAGGTTTATTCCATTTTCGAATTAATTTCGTTAACACTATTAAATTCTGACTCTTATTATTCCTTTTATTTTAAAAGTAAGTCATATTAATTTTACAATTTATTATTTCTATCAGTTAAACTTTTAATATCATTATCACTCTTTATTTTAGCCATTTTATAATCTGTTGTTAGATGTTAAATCTCTATTAAGGCCTGATCTAATTTTAATTATTTATTTTCATTTCTGTCATTTAATCTATCTATTTCTTGTTTATATATTTTGGCTTAATCATCCATTAATTTACTCTATTGAATATTTTTTTCATTAAGATTTTTGATATCCTTAAACTATTAATCCACAGTTTCTTACAAATTATAAACTTTTTCATTCATAAGACTCAATTGTTCTTCACTCTTAAGAACCTTTATTTTATACTAATCCAATAACTTTAACTATTCAATCATTTCAATTTTCTCTTTACTATTTTAATTTTCAAGCTCTCTATTTTTAAAATTCAACAAATCAATATTTTTTTTTTGTTCATCAATTTCTAGTTTAAATTTTTAATTCTCTTCTTAAATTTTTTTCAATTATAATTCATATTCATTTACTTAAAGTAGTGTTTTTTATAAAATATCTGAAGTGTTCTACTCTGACATAAGAGCACTCTTTAAACTTTGATCTAGCTTTTCTTTCAGTTTTTTTTTAAAAATTTCAGTTTATTCAATAGGGATATCCTTTTTTTTAAAGACACTTGCATTACTTCTTGCTCTTGTAAAAATCAAATCAGCATCAGAGATATTTAGAATTTAATTGAGGTTTATTTAATAAAGTTACTAATCATATTGTTTTTACACTAAATTATTTTATATATTTACTTTATCTATGCACAGTTTCTGCAGATTCATGGTCCCTCAATAATGCATCCATTTTGTCTTCCTCTTTCAGATTTTCTGATAAAATCTATTTATAATAAGCGATTACATAAACGTAGTTCATAATATTCATTTCGATATTAGTTTAATTCCTTTAGTTATAATGCTTGTTATTAATTCTCATTTTATAAAAATTTAATCTTAATCATAAAATCTTCACTCTATTTCTTTAATTGATCTTATTCTAATAATTTTTCTTGCTTATAAGAATCTTCTAAAGCATTTTTCTCTAAAAGTATTATTCAAGTTTACCTTCTGTCAAATTTGTAACTTTCTTCTCCAACTAGTTTGATCTTAGATTCATCTTTTTTAAATTTGTTTCTAATTATCTAATTTTTGTGTCTTAATTTGAAATCATTTCTTTGTTTTAAATCAATTCTTTTTCCATTTCTGCCTTTTATTTTTCTAATTCTTCAATTTTTATTTTTAAAGTATTCAGCTCTTTTTAAATGTTTTTTTTCTCGTTCTTTTCCTATTTCAAAGTTTTTCCACTGTTTTATTAATTATCATCTTCAGATTCACTTTCAGACTCAGGAATATTATTGATTTATTTTTGGATTTATTCTAATTTTGGTTAATTCAAAAACCCACTTTATCGTCTTAATTTCTATATTGTTTCATGATTGTTATTATTGGTAGAATAAGTACTATTCTTTCGAGTTGACTTATGAGGAGAATTGTGAGTAAAGTTGTTATTTATGCCAATTTAAGTAGATGTAATAATTTCTGATTGTTATTTCTTGAATAATTCCTCATATTATTTAGACAATTTTTCTTTTTCTCTTTAATTATCTTAACTAAATAAATTGATTACTTTTTAATTGCAATTCTAAAATTTCAATTTTATCTTCATAATCCTTTTATTTCATCTCGTATTATCTCAATAAATTAAATGAGGCTATGGCTTCGCTTTTAAATCTGCTGTTATTTTCTTCAAGCTGTTGTACTTTAGTTTAGAGACTCTATAATTACTCTTTTTGTTCTTGAGATTTAATTTCATGAGCCTATTAAATAAAATTGGAATAAATTACTTAATGATTTTGGCTTATTCTCCCTTCATTTTATTTCATTTAAAAAATTTCAGATTTCTTTTGTTGTAACTAATTTTCTAATTCTTATATCTAGTCAAGAAATTGCTAATTTTTTTCTTAATTTTCCTCATTCAAAGTCTAGGATTTAAATATCAAATTACTTATAATTGTTCTATTTAATATTGATTTTATTATATTTCTTATTTCAAAACCAAAAGACTATGTTCACCTTAAATTTTCAGATCTTCATAATCAGCCNCAAATCAGCATCAGAGATATTTAGAATTTAATTGAGGTTTATTTAATAGAGTTACTAATCATATTGTTTTTACACTAAATTATTTTATATATTTACTTTATCTATGCGCAGTTTCTGCAGATTCATGGTCCCTCAATAATGCATCCATTTTGTCTTCCTCTTTCAGATTTTCTGATAAAATCTATTTATAATAAGCGATTACATAAACGTAGTTCATAATATTCATTTCGATATTAGTTTAATTCCTTTAGTTATAATGCTTGTTATTAATTCTCATTTTATAAAAATTTAATCTTAATCATAAAATCTTCACTCTATTTCTTTAATTGATCTTATTCTAATAATTTTTCTTGCTTATAAGAATCTTCTAAAGCATTTTTCTCTAAAAGTATTATTCAAGTTTACCTTCTGTCAAATTTGTAACTTTCTTCTCCAACTAGTTTGATCTTAGATTCATCTTTTTTAAATTTGTTTCTAATTATCTAATTTTTGTGTCTTAATTTGAAATCATTTCTTTGTTTTAAATCAATTCTTTTTCCATTTCTGCCTTTTATTTTTCTAATTCTTCAATTTTTATTTTTAAAGTATTCAGCTCTTTTTAAATGTTTTTTTTCTCGTTCTTTTCCTATTTCAAAGTTTTTCCACTGTTTTATTAATTATCATCTTCAGATTCACTTTCAGACTCAGGAATATTATTGATTTATTTTTGGATTTATTCTAATTTTGGTTAATTCAAAAACCCACTTTATCGTCTTAATTTCTATATTGTTTCATGATTGTTATTATTGGTAGAATAAGTACTATTCTTTCGAGTTGACTTATGAGGAGAATTGTGAGTAAAGTTGTTATTTATGCCAATTTAAGTAGATGTAATAATTTCTGATTGTTATTTCTTGAATAATTCCTCATATTATTTAGACAATTTTTCTTTTTCTCTTTAATTATCTTAACTAAATAAATTGATTACTTTTTAATTGCAATTCTAAAATTTCAATTTTATCTTCATAATCCTTTTATTTCATCTCGTATTATCTCAATAAATTAAATGAGGCTATGGCTTCGCTTTTAAATCTGCTGTTATTTTCTTCAAGCTGTTGTACTTTAGTTTAGAGACTCTATAATTACTCTTTTTGTTCTTGAGATTTAATTTCATGAGCCTATTAAATAAAATTGGAATAAATTACTTAATGATTTTGGCTTATTCTCCCTTCATTTTATTTCATTTAAAAAATTTCAGATTTCTTTTGTTGTAACTAATTTTCTAATTCTTATATCTAGTCAAGAAATTGCTAATTTTTTTCTTAATTTTCCTCATTCAAAGTCTAGGATTTAAATATCAAATTACTTATAATTGTTCTATTTAATATTGATTTTATTATATTTCTTATTTCAAAACCAAAAGACTATGTTCACCTTAAATTTTCAGATCTTCATAATCAGCAAGAATTTTTTGCTATTTATTAAAAATATAATCTAAATTTGTCATATCCAAATACTTAGTAAATCAAACATTGTCTTCATCATCTCTTCTTTATCTCTAATAGATTTTATTAACTATTCATCCACTAAATGATACGTGTAATTAAATACATTTTATTCCCAAAAGTTGAGAATCATTTTAATAATTATCAAAGAAAGATTTTGAACAGTCTTCACTTAACTTTGCAATAAAGTAATTGATATCATCATTGCTAAAATCTTCCATAAAATTAAAGAATTTTATTAATGAATGAATAAAGTAAATAACATAAAAACATTTAATAAGAAAAGATTTTCAAGATATTAGGAATTAAATCACAATACCTTTAATTTACTAAATTTCACATTTTGAAATATGAGATTTTTCAAATCATTGAGTCATAATATTGAAAGGAAGTGTAAATTAATCAAAAAGTTTCTTTGTTATTAAAAGATTTTAGTTTCATGAATTATATTTAGAAATAATACATTTGACTCGCAAAAATTTCATTAATGACACTGCTTACTTCCTCCATAATCGATACTCTCCAATGTTATTATAATTTATTTATAAAAATAATTTTTTTTTTATATTTATGACAACAAAAGGAAGTTACTATAATTTCAGCGAGTCCTTTCAGAAGAAAATAATAAATACATGTTCCTAAAGAGAGTCAATAAAGTCAGATTTTCTTTGGATTAAATTGTGAAAATTTCATTTGAGATTAAGACTCTCGAGATTAGATAATTATACTGATTATACTAATAAATGTGCAGTTTGTATCACGATTTTTGAATGGAAGTCAACAATGTTTTAACACAAAATCATACCTTAAGCTTCCAGTATTTAAAGATATTTAATAGGCGAAGAATTAATACAGTTTTTTATTATAATCATGTACTTCTATATAGGATATGAAGAACTATCAATTAATTTCATATATTGATAAAGTAAAGCTTATTTTAATATCCTAATAATTTCATTTATTTCATTTTATTGTTTAATTGCTTGAAAACAACAATGTATAGTGATATTTTGCCTGTTAATCAGCAAATGTTAAATCAAGATAAAATGATTAATATTGTATAATTTGGCAGAATTAACGAGTTATCATTTGATTGACATAAAGATAATATAAATGTTACAGTAAAAAAAAATCATAATTTTTATTTCTTCTTTATGAGGGGCTAATTATAGTATTACAGTTATTATTGACGAGTAAAGCAAAGTTACTTTTTAAAAGACTTTTTTTTATTGATTTCTTAGAAAATTTTGATAATAATAAGTTTATAATAGATTTCTTGGTAATTATATGAAATTTGTGTTATACAAATTTTCTCCTAGCTTGAACAGTGAATAACTTTTTGATGAAGTTAAATATATTCAAAATAAATTGTTAATAATGTTATATAAAACTTAAAGTCACAAATAAAAAGTCAATTAAATTAGGCACTTTTATATGATTTAATACATTTATTTAATATGAAATATTTTTTCTGATCACCTAACCCATCACAAAATACTTTTTGAGGCTCGTTTGAAGTCAATCTTTAGGGCCATCCTTTGTCAAATTTAACTATTCACTTATTAATCATTCATAAAGCTAGTCAGATATTCAAAAATTCCATAAAGTAAAACCATCCTTCATACAAATCCAAAATGAATTTTTGTTTACATATTAAAATTAATTGGAAATTTATGTAATATAATTGCTGTATAACCCTTTAATATTTTATTAAATTTATAAATTTTTCTATTTTTTATATTGATGTATTTTTAAAGTTTATGAATTCTCGATTAGCAGCATTAATATTTGAAAAACTCATTGAAGTTGTTAAGAAGGCACTTGGTAATATTATTAAAATTGTTAAGTAAGTGAATTTGCTTTTGTTTAATAATACTCTGATTTTTTTCTCATGATGATAAAAATTTATGAATTCATTTAAATTTAAAAGAGGGGTCTCGGCCAACATTCACTTTGAGTTGCAAAAATTCAATTGTATATTGCTATAGCATTTTTCTTATAAATTATTTAATTTATATTTTTTTTGTACTTTTACATATATTGCTTATATTGCATTATCTGATTTATAAGCATGTAACTCAAATTTATCGCAGCAAATTTTTTCAAGATTTTTACTAAATTAAACGAGGAATGTCATATTTTTGTTTTCATTCTTATTTTAACAATGTTTTGAAATATTCCCCAATTAGCCCATAACTTTTCAATATAGCCAGAAATAATGCTTGGGTAATTGAACATAAAGGCCCATCATTTTTGAAGAAAAATTTGGTATTAAAATTATAGGTTGGCTAAGGAATTTCAATTCTAAGGGCTAAATATCTCTAAAAGTGAGTATCCAGATTCATTGAGCAATAATAAAAGCAAATTTATTAAATATTTTTTGTAAATTTTCATATAAACGCAATGTCATTCATTTTTTAGTGATTTAAACAACTTGGGTTTATAATAATCGCTTACTTAGTTGCGTTGATTTTAAATTTCAAACTCAAATCTCTTTAGAAAGAAGATTTGAATTTGCAAATAATTTCCACTCTTCTAATTTTAAATTAAAAAATAGTCCACATTGATGAATATAACTTTGGGAGAAACTTAAAAGCCGGCCTATGCTGGCAAAAAAAGAATATTTATTCATTGCTGTAAATGTAATCGAAATCCTCAAAAAGTATATGTGTAATTGGTGCCATCTGTTGTGATGAATTTATTGCTTATAAATGTGTTATCAGAAATGTAAATATATAGGTATTTGGAAAATTTTAAATGAACTTTTAAAGCTGCTTTAGCAAAATAATTAAGAAAATAATTTTTGCTAGGTGCAGGATAATGCCTCCATCCACCAAACACAATAAATTCAGCTTCAAATATCTTTTATTAATTATTTATCTCCCCCCCCCATGTAGCCCTTAGCTTAGCTGCATCGAAATGCTGTGGAGAAATGCTAAGCGATAGCTGTCTAAAATGCATATTGCAACTATTGCCTAGAATTTTATCATACATATGTTGCACTTAACTCTATTAAAACAACTCAAGTTCAAAACATCTACACTTCAAACGTAAAATTAGTTTGCTTATTAATAACATAATTCTGATGCTATTATAATCAACTTAAATTTATTATAAAGTTTTAATAATAAATGAACAAAAAGTCATCGATTCTTTCGAATAGCTATGTTGTAGCAACTACAGATTTTAAGTCTGAGATTCTTTAATACTTTCAAGCAAATTGAATGATTGTGGTGCAGTTCGATAGCCAAATAATCCTTACAGAATTGCAATGATATTTGTGAAGGCTTTAAAATTTCAGGAACTATCTTGGATGAACTATTTAAATAAATTTATATCAGTATGAATATGCTGCACCTGTTGATTATCTTTATCGAAAAAAAGTGGTAACTTTGGAAGGTTTTCATTGAGGGCAAAAACTTATATTTTTGACAAACTATATAACCCAATATGTTAAATCCAAAACAACGCTTTAAGAATTATTCTGGTTTGGCATATAATTCAGCTAATTCAATTCAAATTGCATCTAGTGTGATTGCATTCTAGAGTAGCAGTTTGAAATACTTGCAATTTAACAACAATAAAATAAATTTAATATATTAAATCTAATATTAAATAAAATGAGTGATATATAGATTGATTAATTTAAACTAGAAATAGTTGGGAGAATATCGACCTGAAAAGCATTTTCAAAACCCTCCCCCCGTCAGAAATTGAAATCCATCTTAAATATTAAAATAATAAATAAATCCAAAATAATTTCTGTTTTACAAATTTATACATAGAAATTATGCTCTAAGACATTTAGGCTATTTGAAGCCAAAAAAGTGTGTAAGATACATATTAAATGAAAAATAAGATAAATCATACAAGTATTTAAACCTGGAAAAATAAAGTTAGAAAAAGAAAATTAAGTAATTAAATATATCAATAAATCTGTCATTAGTTTTGTAACAATAAGATTTATTGCAATTTTTTTTTAAATTAAAGCAATTTTTAATTGAATAATTCAAACAAATTCAGTATTTTTCTTCTAGTGAATGTATTTTATACTTCTCTTCTTCTTGTAAATTTATTTTTTACTAATTCTCTTCATTCTAATTAATTAATTGCGCGATCTTCTTATTAAATTATTCATTTTATTAATTCAATTGAGTCTCATTCATTTCTAACTTGTCAATCGTAGTTTTCAACTCGTTGTTTTCTTCGATTGTTTGATTTTTATCTTATTCAATACGATTGTACTTTACTAAATTTTCTTCTTTTTATTTTTCTACATCTATTTTGTAACTTTCTAATTCAATCTACTTTTTAAAATATTTTTCTTTTTCTATTTCTAATTCTGCTTAAATTTAATTATCTCTTTATTCAATTTATCTATTTTCGTTCTCTAAATTTGCACATTTCTATTCAAAATCTGAATAATTTTCAATTACAGCTTACAAGGTTTATTCCATTTTAGAATTAATATCGTTAATACTATTAAATTCTGACTCTTATTGTTCCTTATATTTTAAAAGTAAGTCATATTAATTTTACAATTTAGTATTTCTATCAGTTAAGCTTTTAATATCATTATCACTCTTTATTTTAGCTATTTTATAATCTGTTGTTAGATGTTAAATCTCTATTAAGGCCTGATCTAATTTTAATTACTGATTTTCATTTCTGTCATTTAATCTATCTATTTCTTGTTTATACATTTTGGCTTAGTCATCCATTAATTTACTCTATTTAATATTTTTTTCATTGAGATATTTGATATACTTTAACTATTAATCCAAAGTGTTATACAAACTATTTATTTTTTGATTCATTTCAATTTTCTCTTTACTATTTTAATTTTCAAGCTCTCTATTTTTAAAATTCAACAAATCAATGTTTTTTTTTTGTTCATCAATTTCTAGTTTAAATTTTTAATTCTCTTCTTAAATTTTTTTCAATTATAATTCATATTCATTTAATTAAAGTAGTGTCTTTTATAAAATATCTGAAGTGTTCTACTCTGACATAAGAGCACTCTTTAAACTTTGATCTAGCTTTTCTTTCAGTTTTTTTTTAAAAATATCAGTTTATTCAATAGGGATATCCTTTTTTTTAAAGACACTTGCATTACTTCTTGCTCTTGTAAAAATCAAATCAGCATCAGAGATATTTAGAATTTAATTGAGGTTTATTTAATAGAGTTACTAATCATATTGTTTTTACACTAAATTATTTTATATATTTACTTTATCTATGCGCAGTTTCTGCAGATTCATGGTCCCTCAGGAATGCATCCATTTTGTCTTCCTCTTTCAGATTTTCTGATAAAATCTATTTATAATAAGCGATTACATAAACGTAGTTCATAATATTCATTTCGATATTAGTTTAATTCCTTTAGTTATAATGCTTGTTATTAATTCTCATTTTATAAAAATTTAATCTTAATCATAAAATCTTCACTCTATTTCTTTAATTGATCTTATTCTAATAATTTTTCTTGCTTATAAGAATCTTCTAAAGCATTTTTCTCTAAAAGTATTATTCAAGTTTACCTTCTGTCAAATTTGTAACTTTCTTCTCCAACTAGTTTGATCTTAGATTCATCTTTTTTAAATTTGTTTCTAATTATCTAATTTTTGTGTCTTAATTTGAAATCATTTCTTTGTTTTAAATCAATTCTTTTTCCATTTCTGCCTTTTATTTTTCTAATTCTTCAATTTTTATTTTTAAAGTATTCAGCTCTTTTTAAATGTTTTTTTTTTCGTTCTTTTCCTATTTCAAAGTTTTTCCACTGTTTTATTAATTATCATCTTCAGATTCACTTTCAGACTCAGGAAAATTATTGATTTTTTTTTGGATTTATTCTAATTTTGGTTAATTCAAAAACCCACTTTATCGTCTTAATTTCTATATTGTTTCATGATTGTTATTATTGGTAGAATAAGTACTATTCTTTCGAGTTGACTTATGAGGAGAATTGTGAGTAAAGTTGTTATTTATGCCAATTTAAGTAGATGTAATAATTTCTGATTGTTATTTCTTGAATAATTCCTCATATTATTTAGACAATTTTTCTTTTTCTCTTTAATTATCTTAACTAAATAAATTGATTACTTTTTAATTGCAATTCTAAAATTTCAATTTTATCTTCATAATCCTTTTATTTCATCTCGTATTATCTCAATAAATTAAATGAGGCTATGGCTTCGCTTTTAAATCTGCTGTTATTTTCTTCAAGCTGTTGTACTTTAGTTTAGAGACTCTATAATTACTCTTTTTGNGAGCACTCTTTAAACTTTGATCTAGCTTTTCTTTCAGTTTTTTTTTAAAAATATCAGTTTATTCAATAGGGATATCCTTTTTTTTAAAGACACTTGCATTACTTCTTGCTCTTGTAAAAATCAAATCAGCATCAGAGATATTTAGAATTTAATTGAGGTTTATTTAATAGAGTTACTAATCATATTGTTTTTACACTAAATTATTTTATATATTTACTTTATCTATGCGCAGTTTCTGCAGATTCATGGTCCCTCAATAATGCATCCATTTTGTCTTCCTCTTTCAGATTTTCTGATAAAATCTATTTATAATAAGCGATTACATAAACGTAGTTCATAATATTCATTTCGATATTAGTTTAATTCCTTTAGTTATAATGCTTGTTATTAATTCTCATTTTATAAAAATTTAATCTTAATCATAAAATCTTCACTCTATTTCTTTAATTGATCTTATTCTAATAATTTTTCTTGCTTATAAGAATCTTCTAAAGCATTTTTCTCTAAAAGTATTATTCAAGTTTACCTTCTGTCAAATTTGTAACTTTCTTCTCCAACTAGTTTGATCTTAGATTCATCTTTTTTAAATTTGTTTCTAATTATCTAATTTTTGTGTCTTAATTTGAAATCATTTCTTTGTTTTAAATCAATTCTTTTTCCATTTCTGCCTTTTATTTTTCTAATTCTTCAATTTTTATTTTTAAAGTATTCAGCTCTTTTTAAATGTTTTTTTTTTCGTTCTTTTCCTATTTCAAAGTTTTTCCACTGTTTTATTAATTATCATCATCAGATTCGCTTTCAGACTCAGGAAAATTATTGATTTTTTTTTAGATTTATTCTAATTTTGGTTAATTCTAATAACCGCCTTGTCCCTTTAACTTTTTTATCGTTTGATGATTGTTTCTATTGGTAGAATAAGTACAATTCTTTTGAATTGATTTTTGAGGAGAGTTGTTATTTATGCCAATTTAAGTAGATGTAATAATTTCTGATTGTTATTTCTTGAATAATTCCTCATATTATTTAGACAATTTTTCTTTTTCTCTTTAATTATCTTAACTAAATAAATTGATTACTTTTTAATTGCAATTCTAAAATTTCAATTTTATCTTCATAATCCTTTTATTTCATCTCGTATTATCTCAATAAATTAAATGAGGCTATGGCTTCGCTTTTAAATCTGCTGTTATTTTCTTCAAGCTGTTGTACTTTAGTTTAGAGACTCTATAATTACTCTTTTTGTTCTTGTGGTTTGATTTCATGAGACTTTTAAATAAATTGGAATAAATTACTTAATGATTTTGGCTTATTCTCCCTTCATTTTATTTCATTTAAAAAATTTCAGATTTCTTTTGTTGTAACTAATTTTTTAATTCTTATATCTAGTCAAGAAATTGCTAATTTTTTTCTTAATTTTCCTCATTCAAAGTCTAGGATTTAAATATCAAATTACTTATAATTGTTCTATTTAATATTGATTTTATTATATTTCTTATTTCAAAACCAAAAGACTATGTTCACCTTAAATTTTCAGATCTTCATAATCAGCCAGAACTTTTTGCTATTTATTAAAAATATAATCTAAATTTGTCATATCCAAATACTTAGAAAATCAAACATTGTCTTCATCATCTCTTCTTTATCTCTAATAGATTTTATTATCTATTCATCCACTAAATGATACGTGTAATTAAATACATTTTATTCCCAAAAGTTAGGAATCATTTTAATAATTATCAAAGAAAGATTTTGAACAGTCTTCACTTAACTTTGCAATAAAGTAATTGATATCATCATTGCTAAAATCTTCCATAAAATTTATAATGAATAAACTAAATAATATAAAAACATTTAATAAAGAAAGGTTGATTTCATAATTAATCACACCCTAAATTTACTAATTTGCAGGAAATGGAATATGAATTTGCAGAACATTTAGTTTTAATTAATAGAGAGGGGGTATATTTCAATAAATGCTCCATAGTAATCAGTAGAAAATTTAATTAGGAAAATTGTTTAATGAGACTAATACTGCTTGCTTCTCTTTGAGCCTGTCATAAGGTTCGATAGAAAATAGAATTACTAAAACTGGTGTGGCTTCAGGAAAGTTATATGATTAATTGTTTGTTTTATTCAAAATTGCAGAATGGTGTGAAATCTTGAAAAGTTAGAGAAGTGGCACTTTAAAAATCACAAATCTTCATAGCATTAAACATTATCCCCAATAATTGAATTTGTAGGGATAACAGAATCTGGTTTGCAAAAGTTTATCTAAAAGAAATTTATCAATTTCAAGATGAATCAAGTTTTTACTTTCTAAAGTTGTAGTGATATGAAAAATTAGGAGTAAGTCAGAATTTATTGTGATGAAATTAGCAATTTGAATGGGCATTTATAAAAGAAAAAAATAAGTTGTAAAAAGGTTGAGGTGTTTTTCTTCCTCAAAATAGTAGTTTAAAATTATTAATAGATTGGATTTATTCTTCTTTTGATTAAGTTAAATAGTAATTTTATTAATGCAAAAGGAAGCACAAATATTTTATAGAGCAGTTCGAAAATAGTAATCACTATGTTAAAATATTTAATTCAAAATTAAATCACGCCTTAATAGAAGAGGTTTCTTTTGAATGTCCATCCATATTTTATAAGCGGAAAAAAAAAATAAAGAAAATATACAACCTTTGAAAGTGTTGCCAACTGTAAAGTGATAATTATTAATAAAAATTATTGAATATTTTTCATCATGTAACATAAGAGTCTGAATGACTAAAAAGTAAAATTTAATATCAATATATAAAAATGTTTGAAAAATCTTCTTTAATATAAATATTTTATATGGGAACCTGTGCTTCTTAGAAATAGAAAAAATCAAGAAATAATGGGGAATTATAATAAGTAGTAGCTCAAGTTAGACTATCATAAGACTGCAGTGTAATCTTGAAGCAGAGAGCAAGTTAATCGTCATATTTAAATCCTTTTAAAAATCCAATTCTCAGTCGAAGATTAAAAGAAATACCTCCCTCGCCTAATCCATAGACTCAACCAGAATGATATGGTCATTTTACTATGAATTGATTTATTAGCCTTATATGTTGAACATAATTTCACAAATTTCAAGTTATGTAATTCGCATTAACTCTGTGAGAATTTATGATTTTTAGTCTTTCCCACTCATTTTGGAGAATCATATAAAATAAAACACTTATATTTTTTTTCAATTAACTACTAGAATAAGGAAGAATGTTATATTTATAATAATCAACAAAGCCAAGAAATCCAAAAATCTCAAATAAACATAATTGAGAACTCAGAATCTTATTCCAAATAAATAATATAAATATAATCAAATTTAAATAGATTATCAAGAGAGGAGTCCGCTCCAATAAAATTGATATTTACTGAATTTTAAATTGGCTCATGAGATTAAGTACTTTTTCTAAAATATATATAAGAATAAGGGAAAATAATTTATGAATTATTATAGAAACGGTTCATTATGAAGAATTCTTAATTTTGAAATTCAGTGTTACCTTCCCATCACTTTAATCTATAAATTAAAGTTGTAAAATTAGTTTAAAGTAAGTAGACAGCATTCATTTAATTTTACTTTTTGAGCTATAAAAATTTGACTATTTTTATAAAATAGTACTGCAAATTAACCTCTATTGAAGAGATTTTCTTTACAGTTATTAGTTTGATCTTATTTTTAAAGTTAGAGTTAGTTTAATGAATTGGATTAACTTAAGAATTGCGTTTATTTGGTGTTTCTTTCAAATATTTTTTTTCGTTAAGGTTCAATTAAAATATTAAATAAAGTTTAAATGGGAATTTGCGTGAGTAACATGAAATATAGAAAAGATAATCAATAAAAAGAAGGGGAACTTGGTTAAATGGTAAACAAATTGAGAACTTCTCCTTGTCCAGAAGAAATTTTGAAAAAGAGAATTTCCATAGATACTCCTTACAATGCATACAGAAATCCAATTTTAAATAGAAGATTAAGAGGTAGTGTCACCATAACCACCTCATCATGAAAATAAGTTTTTATTTATAGAGTTATTTTTCTTAATATTCTAACTAAACACTAAAGAGCTGAATTAGAATTCTAAGAAATCTATTTCCTCTTCTATTTATAGCAATTCAATATATATATAACTTCAATTTTATTTTTCTTCTCTATCTCATCTACTTTACAGAGGAGAACTGGCTAAAAATTCTGTAGACTTAAATTTTTCTGAACAATGAAGAAAATTTGGTTTGAGCAGTAGTTCACTAAAATTTTTGTTTTCGGTTTGAGGACAGCGATTATAAAAAGAACTATTCATCTAAACAATAACTAAAAGAAATCCTGTTTTAAGAATTTAATGAAACACTTTTAAATTAACTAAATGTCACTTTTTGTTCAATTTTTACATTTATAAAGGAGTTAGATCAATTTTGGATTGCTTATTTAGTGATAATATTAAACTAAATCTAACAACAGAGAGAAGGTATTTACCAGTTAGTTGTCTGATAATAATGGTAATTTATAATTTAAGGGGGTCATACCAATACCTTATAGATCACAAAATTTAACATATTTTCCGATTTATAAATTTAATTAGAAATTTAAAGACCGAATACAAAGGCATTCTACATTCTGAAAATAAGAACAAATATACAATTAACCTAAATATCTGTTAACACTTTAAGAGGTAGCATAGTCAAAGTCAACAATTTTTAAAAGAATTTTAATTACTTTTATTAGAGCATCCTATATTCTTTTTAAATCTCTACGCATGCTATTGTTATATTTAAGACTAGTGAAAATTTATTAGAATATTTTGGTCAAATACCCTTCATTTCCTAGAAGTACGTTAGGGAAGTCATTATATTGACTATTGAGTATTATAAATATTTGTTCTTCAAAAAATTTATAACTTTATGGAATGTAATGTTTCTTTAAATACCTCCTAAAGGTTTATAAAAATGCAAGATCAAAGTGATTATTCATAGATAAATACAGGTTCCTTAAAATAATCTTACATTGAATACGATTCCATTTTCTATAACATTAATATAAGATTTGTCAACAAATTTTTCAACATAATAAAGTTTTTAAATTTTATGCGTGATAAAAAACCATAAATGGTACTACTTGGCCAAAAACAAAAATGTAATATAAACTCTTAATCTCTTCAATATATATATATTAATTTATTTCTTGTATCCTCCTTCAGATTTGCTTAAGTTGTAGTTTTTTTGTGTAAAACTTTAATTTTTACAATTTATGATCCCTAATTTTTATCTTAGTTGAATGAAAGCCTCACTTAATTGAAATATGATTGAAGAAATAAGATCCTGTTTCTTACTACCCAATAATCCTGAATTAATCTCCAATTTTTGTGATTGAGATGTTTCAACAATTAAGAAACTTCCAGAATTTCATTCAAAATCATGCTTTAAGAAATTCTATTTTTTCCCTTTTACATCATTGTTATTTTTGCCTCTTAATTTTATCTTTTAAACAAATAAATTTAATTTTTGAAGATTTTGATTCAGAAATACACTTGTTTTAATTATAGAATTATCACTGCAAAATTTTTGTACTTGTAATCAACCATTTAAAGTATTGCTCTTTTGCTAAATCAAATCATTATAAATTAAGATATTTTGCAAAGTGAAGGAATTTAATTAATTTCTATAACATAAACTTTATTGTAGATTTTGATATTGATTTATACTTTTAAAAATAAATAATTATTAATTTATCATTAATTGAGCTCTTTCAGATGTTTCAAATATTCTTATATTTATACACATTTATTTAAATGCTCAACTGGTATGATAGATAAAGTTTCTAGATTTTTTTATGCTTCGAAATAAAAATTACCTAAAATGGGGATCCAAATCAAAAAGTATGTAAACACAGCAATGATGCAAAATATCATGAATAATAAGGTCAATTAAAATGCCAGAAAGGAAAAATAGCTATTTAACTAATTTAATAACTCTTTCATCAATTATAAATGACATATCCTTATGAAAACCTTTTGCATTTATCTATTATAATTGCTTTCTCTAGTATTTAAAATGTTGTAAGTGTAGTTTTTCTTATGATTTGAGCTGAGATTGTAGGTTAAATTTGAATATATTGCGTTTGGGTCATAATAATAGTATTCTTACACCATTTTGCAGGCATTTTCAAAAAAACTTGAAATAGCAACTGCTAATCCATCCTTTAGAATTTTTTCATTAAATGACAAGCAGGATTCATTTGTAACAGATTAATCGTTTTCTATAATAATTGTGCATGGACTTAAAATATAAATTTCATTGAACAGTTGAATATACTCTGCAGATAAAATTTGTTCATTTTTTTGATTCAAAACATGTAATTCAGCATCCAAGGATTAAATTTCATCAATTACATAATTCATCTTATCTATAGAATTTAATTCATTCATAATCATGGCATTGGAATCATATAGCATCTCCTTTATAGAGTTATCAATCAAACGATATTATGATGGAATATAAGATGTAATATTAACAAGTGGAATCAGTAAGTTTGATTATGAGATAATGGTCTAAAATTTAATAATTATTATTTACTGTAGAACTAAAGTACAAATAACAAAAGTAGGAGTAAAATAACAGCGAAACAAAAATCATTCGAATTTAAATCTTATTTTCACTTTCTGATGAGAATTTAGATTTTCTCTTCTTACTTTTTTTGGTTAATTCTTCAAGTTCATGTTCTTCTTAATTTTCATTCTAATCTAAATCAAATTAATCCACCTACATATATTAAAAATATACATCATCATCATCAGTTGTTTGAAGCATCTATAGGAAATTTCGAATTTTACTAACAATCTATTTTAAAGAATGCTCCTTAATTTCTAAAAAGGCCTAAATTATATTCCTCAAGTAAGATTAATGAGAATGAAGGTATAATTAGCAAAAGAAAAATATTAAAAGCACACAGGAGGATGAAAGAATAAAAAATACATCTTCAAATTTATTTAAATCATCTAATTAACTGTAAATATTTGAAAAGTAGTAGTTTTAAGATACATATTCATATTTTGCAATAGAGTTGAATGTATTATGAATGAAGTAATGAAAATCTTCATTAGTGTCAACGAATTTTGATAATTCGCTATTATTTAATGTTATAGCTCTAGCTATTAATTACTGTACTGCTTAGGAGTAAGTAAAATTCTGATAACTATTATCTAAAGAGAACATTTAAATTTAGGGTGTTTCGAATTCAGAAATGTATGTTTGATAATTCTTGTTAATTGTTAAATCTGAGGAAGTTAGAAGATTGTTTGATTCAAGAAGCAGATTCAATTCATTTTTTAACTCCAAAAAGTTTATATTAATAAATTCTTTTCCTATCTTTTGATATTCTAATACTTCAATATTTAAATTGCAACCTCTCAAATCCTAGAGGTTCGACTGAATCTTCAAGAGAGAAGAAAAGCATTAGTTATTTGCAGCACCTAGCTCAACTGCATTTTTAAATTTGATAAAAGTGACATATAAGGTTGAATAAATTATACATGATATTGCAAATAAAGCCAGTATTAAAATGTTATTTAAGAGAACTAATCTTCTCAAAAAAGTAGGATAGGATATGTTTTGCAGGTATAAACTAAAATCATTTTAAGTATTGATTTAATTAGATAAATGCTTATCAATTATAATTTCTGCCTTAGAATGCTCTGTATTTTCCCTAAAATTCTCATCATCTTCCTCTTCTTCCTTTGGCTCTATTATCTCTTAAATATGTCCTTAAAACAACCTTAACGTTTTAATATCAAATCCATAAGACATTTAATTTTGATCTTAACTCATAGAGGAGTTCTGTTTCTTACTTTATTATCTTGGTTAAAATATTGTTTTCTATTTAGGCGCTACATAAATTTCATTATCTTCTTTGATAGAATCCTATAATGAACTGGCATTTCCACCTAAATTTAAGATAAAGTATTACAAATGAAGGCACGTTATTCAATAGAATATGTAAATTGTTTTGTTGTTTATTTTGTTTTCAAAATAGGAGAATTATTTACTGGCTTATGATCAATTTATTCCACTTTTAAATAGTATCCAAATATTTATTATTTTTCTGCTTTTTTGATATATAAATTGTTTTCTGATATCTCAAATAATTACACCATAAAATCCAATTTATTTTCTCTTGTCTTCTTCATTTCCTTCAGGATTCATGCTTTTTAATTTCGATTTGTGATGCTCATACACAATTTTATTCATTTTATTGAAATAGATTTCTTTATTAGATAATAAATTTGGAAATAGCTACTCTATATTTAATTATCTTAATTAAAGTTTACGAATATCCAATTTCAAAATTGAGATGCATGAAGATGATATATTCTCAATTTTCCCATCTCCATTAAAAATAATATAGGCATAATTGCGATAATTAAACTCTGTTGTCAGTCTCAAGAATTGAAAAACTCCTTTTTCTGTCTAAAGAATGGAACTGGCACTTTGAGCTAAGATGACATATTAAGCCTTAGTTTTGAAAAATTAATATCTCTGTGGTAAGACCGATAATTATACTTATGAATCTGAGGCAAAATATTTCTGCACAACATATTGGTGTAGCTTTGAATAGCTTATAATATTATGCAATTTACTTAGTTTAGAGTAATTGACAGATTGAATGTCCTATTATATCGGTTCTAGAAAATCCGAGCAAAGAACAAGTAGCTTAATTGATATTCTTTACAATAGAATTTAAATTGTTATTGCTAAATAGTTCCAACACTATTACAGGTTATGAATATGAACTCAAATCTTATTAACCTAATAAATGATTCTAATCCAAGAATTTAAATTAGTAATTGATTTCATCACTTTGATAATTTATATTGATTGAAGAAAACTTCATATTATCTCCTATATAGAAGACATAATCACTGAATTTGCTTATGAGTTTTTTAGTAGAATAATTATATGTGTTTGTTTTTTACATTAGAGTAATTTATTTTCTGATCTATTCAATTGATCCTAGGACTTTTCTTCCAAGAACTGATAAGATGGTTAAATTTGGAATTTCCTCTAATAGTTAATTCCAGAATTACAGCATTTGATAAGAGCCTTCTAAAATCCTTTATTTAAGCTGATTTTATTGAAATTAGATATTTCGATCAATTGAAACTGAATATTCAATTGTATTAACACCAAACGAATTCTTCAAGAATGAGTCTTCTAAAGTTTTTTTCATTGAAAAAATCTAAAACTATTATCCAAAATCAGGATTTAATTATTCTGCTTTTTCTAATTCATGTAAAGCTTTTTATCCATCTGCCAATTGATCATAAAGGAAATAGCTGTAATGTATTCTGAGGTCAATGCTTTAAGGATATTTAGTTATTCCATTTTAATATAGTTAGTTTATAAGTTCCTTAAAAATTAATCTTTCATCGGTATATTTTGAATTTTCTTAAAATTTCATAGCCAAATTTTTATTAATCTTAATAGCACAATTTGCTTGTAAACAAGTTGACTCGTGCATCTCCAAAAACCCTAATATTTAAATCTCCTTAGATTGATCTTTTTCATATGAATCTGCTAATTCTACTAAGTATTCACAATCTTTTACAATATTTTCTGTTGACTGATATCTTGCTAAATTAATTTTTATGAGATCAATTTACTGATTTTGTCTTCCTTACAAAATCACAATTGTCATTGGACAAGTGATTAACCAACCTAACATAGAATTTTATACAATCAAATGATCAAATAGGAAAGCCATTAACTACATTAAGTTGGTATGGAATACTAATCCACTTATTGATATCCAAATTTTTTAAACAGTTTAGTTATAAAAAGGATTTTTGTAGTACATTCTGTAGAAGAATACAAAACTTGTAATATTTTAAATAGCTATTACACAAATAGAGTATTTCGGTAGTTAAAATAAAAAATATGATGCCATCGAAAATATTATATAAATAAATATGTATGAATACGAAATACTTTCTCTTTATGAAAATGTATTTTTCTTATTGTTTCTTAATTCGATGAAAAGTTGGCTGCAGATTATAACAACAAATATAAAAAGCAGAAGTGATATAATCACAAAAATTGCATGATAATAATAGTCCCCTACCCAGCATTCTTAATCAATAAGATATACCATTTTTAGAATCCCATTTTAATCAGGTTAGCAGAGTAAATACTAGATATTATAACATATATAAATTTTACTCCAAAAAGTATTCTTAAAATTTCAGCAAATCCAATACTCATTATAAATTGCATTGATTTAGCAAGAAATAAAATAATAACTTTTTGATTATATAGACTTTTCTAAATTGTTAATAAGATGATAAGCAATGTTGTAAGCAGTATAATACTAATCATAAAGTACATGACCATTAAATATAAAGATGTGCTTTAATTAATCAGCATTCTTAGTATTGTAAAATATGATAGAAATTCTTATATATACGATGAGAGTTTGTGATTATACCAAGCATATTTTATCTATGATTGAAACGGAAAATAAAGCAATTACAAAAACTAGACTGCAGCTAGTATAATGCTAATCTACAGGGATTAATTATTTTGACAAATCATTTGGTAAACAATACTAAGGAAAAAGTAAATAATTACTTAAAAAACGACTATTTGTACTTTCCTGCAAATGTTTATAAGATTTCTAAGTTGCTTGCCATATATTTATTCGAATAATTTATAATTTAAAATGTCTTTTAAGATGAAAATAATAATTTATATCAGTGCAATATAACTATAAAAATATATTAAAGATCCTTAAATAATAAATGAGATTAATCCCGTTAATTATGATAACTCTGTAAAATCGTCAAAATGTGAGTCTGAAATTAACTCGTTGAGACAAATTCACATAAAATTGTATGGCTAAATTATATGTAGTAGTTAATGTTTATGTTAATTACTCATACAATAAGAAGTGAGGACCCATAAGAATTATAGTAAAAAATGTCGTATTGTTAAGAGAGTAAAGATTCTTAGTAATTCAAGTGAGTTTCCTTAAAACAAATATTCTTTCATTACTAAATTTGTTTAAGAAAAAAAATCTAATTTTTTTTAATTCTTTCATTGCCCTCATATTAGGATTCAATTATAATATTTATTTATTATTTATTATTTGAAAATAAAAAAAATATGAAGACTACGCGAATTGAACGCGCGACCCCTGGACCTGGAATCCAACGCTCTACCCCTGAGCTAAGCCTTCAATGATAATAGATAATTTAATAATTTATTAATAAATCTCATTTCTTTTATACAACAGCTTTAATTGACTCTGCCAAATATCTAACATTTTTGGATGTGATTCCAGCCTATTAATTCATTAATATAAAATAATACCATTGACATTCTTCCAGATCTGAGCAAATACACGTGATATTGCTTTGTCAATAAATCGCATTACTCTGGAGTGAGACCAGTAAATGTGAAGAAACCTGTTTGTCTGGTGATGTGATCCCAATTTCCTGGGACTTTAAGATTGTCTAATTCTTATTTGAGAAGAGTTCTCATTTTAATAATTCTTCCAGTGACAGTCTTCAATTCTTCAACCCAGGCATTGAAGTTCTTCTCATCAGTTAATATTTTAGCTGCAATTCTAGCACCAATGGCAGGTGGATTAGAACAAATGGTTCTAATGACAATTTTGAGATTGCTTAAAACTCTTGCAGAGATGTCTTTGTTGGATGTAACAATGTGTACAGCTCCTACTCTTTCATTGTATAATCCCATATTTTTGGAGAATGATTGAGCAACAATCATTTAGAATCCAAGTTCTGCAAATTTGCGAACAGCAAAAACATCCTTTTCAATGCATCCACTTGCAAATCCTTAATAAGCACAATCAAAGAATGGAACTAATCTTCTTTTCTTGCAAACATCTGCAATTTAGAGCCATTCAGCTTCTGTTGGATCAACACCAGTTGGGTTGTGAGCACAAACGTGTAATAAGACAATTGATCCCATTCTGGCTTGTGATAAGCATTCAATAGTTCCTGCACAATTGAAACCTTTGGTTTTTGGGTCAAAATATGGATATTCAAATTGATTCAAACCAGCTCTTTCGATGACTTGATTGTGATTGCTCCAAGTAGGTTTGGACACGTAGACATCACCTGGAATGTGTCTTTTAACAAATTCAAAACCAACTCTGAGTGCTCCTGTTCCTCCCAAACATTGAGCTGTGACAATTTATCCAGAGGCAATCAAAGGACTGTTTTATCCGAACATGAGCTTTTGACATCCCTTATTGAAATCAGCCAAACCTTCGATTGGTAAATATTCCTAGAATATTAATAGATCATACTTTGTTCAATGTTGGATCGTTAACTACTTCTCTTTCTAATTTCTTGATGATTTCAAAGACGTAGGGTTTCTCTTCATCTGTACGATAAGCACCGACTCCCAAATCGATTTTGGTATTGGATGTGTCTGCCTTGTATGCATTGGCAATACCAAAAATAGGATCAGGAGGGGCTTGAACGATGTGGAAGAAGATGTCGTCAGAGGTTGGGTTGAACTGATTCTAGAGCAACTAGAGCTTTTACATTAAATAATTAGGATACAAATTACGATTACCTTCATAAAGTACAAAAATTATACGCATCATTAGAATAATATGCGTAACATAATAAAAAACTATTTTTAATTCTAATTATAATACGTGTTTACTTTTGATTCGAGGAAGAATAATGATGATTATGTTTTATTTTATGATATTTCATGATACTCAATATTTGTAATCAGCCACAAACAAGGATTCGTTGGATGCTCCACCTTGGCCACCTTGATATTTTCCTATTTTTATCATATTTATTAAGGTACCTAATTAAGCTTCGCTGTTAGCCTTAGCTCTGGTCAATAATGCTTATTAAGCGGCTTCCCAATTTTCTTATTTTCCAGCCCATGTCTTAACTGCAGTGTTTTGGAGTGCTCTGCCATAAGAGAAAGTCAAAGCCCATGGTTTTCTGACTGTGGTCAATTAATTCATAGCATTCAAATTCAAAGAAGCTTCCTCCTCAGATTGTCCGCCTGAAAGGAACTAAACACTATAAATGGATATCAATTACTGTGACTCCGACAAGAGCAGGTGGAACTGTTCTGCTCAAGGCCAAAGCTGTTCTGTATCCAATTTCTTATGGTGTGACTTTGCTTCTGTCTGCATTGGTTGATCCTGGGGTAACCATATTGGGTTTAAGGAGACATCCCTCTAAGAAGATGTTGTTTTCATTCAATGCCTTGAATACGGCAGCCAAAACTTTTTCTGTGACCTTTTAGCTGACTTCGATTGAGTGATCTCCGTCGGCCAAGATTTCTGGTTCGACTATTGGGACAAGACCATTTTCTTAGCAGATAGCTGCATATCTGGCCAATCCCCATGCATTTTCTTGGATGGCTTATTGTGATGGTAAGCCATTGCCAATTTTCAAGACTGCTCTCCATTTGGCAAATCTGCAACCAAGTTTGTAGTGTTCAGCAGCCATACTAGCCAAGGAGTCTAATCCAAGAGTTGCTGATTCATCTTGTGTTCCTGGAAGTACACCCAAACCCTTATCGACTTTGATTCCTGCCACAATGCCTTTCTCCTAAAGCAATTAGACGAAGTTCTTTCCATCCTTGGTAGCGTGTTTAACCTATGGAAAGTAATTAATAATATGTAATACGGTCTCGGAGAAGAGGATGACACCACTAATGTAATTTTCAACTCCTGGAGCGGTGAATAACAATTCTCTGTAGGCTCTTCTGTTCTCTTCGTTGTTTTCAACGTTAATAGTGACGAACTTCTTTCCGATTGTTCCTTAAGACTAAACTTTAAATTTAATTTGGTACTTCATCAGCTGCCAAGATTCCTTTTCCTGGAGTACAAATCTTTTAAGCTGTTTCGGCTAATTCCTTTCTGTAGTCTGGCTTCTATTACATTAAGATATTTAAAATGAATTTAATTTATCAAATTTTTTTAGAATCTAAAGCTTATGACTTGAGCTTTTTCAGATTTAATTTTATTTTTATAAAATTCTATATATTTAATAATTATATTTGCTTGTTTTTCATACAATTATTATTGATATATAATTTTGTCTCTCTTTATTAATCATCAATTATTTTCATCATGTTCATTATTAGGCTTAATATAGTTAATCTCATAGAATTCTTGATCCCGCTCCACATCCTCCTACTTTTAATTCGTCGTTTGAAGAGGCTCAAACTCGCTTCTCCCCTCAGACAAGTGATTGTTCTTCTTGTAGTCCTGACTCAAAATTAAGGCATCGTCAATAGTCAGGATATCATATTTGGTGTTCAATGTATTGCAATGCCGTAGATTCAGAGTCTTTAGTTAGTTTTTAATACCTTCTGAAATTTAATAGGAGTCGCCATTTTCAGACAATTGAATGGGAACCTTAATGCCGACGTGGTGGAACCTCTCAATTTCATTCCTTCGCTTGAAAGACATCAAAATGAATTAAAATCGAGACATCTCATAGAGTAGATTCTTGTAGTTAAGTTTACAAGCCATTTAGGAATGTATTTGTTTCTGGAATGCCAAATAACTAGGAATCTCTACTTATACTCCTTGGAATTTGACTGAAACCACCTTACCCCAAAGATTCTTAATGATCTTAAATTATTTAAATTCAGGATAGTATTATCTCATTATATCATCCAAAATTGATTGTCTCATTTGTGTAAGATTGAGTAAAGTGATCACATATTTTACTGAAAACAAAATACTGACTATTGATCCAATTGCTGCAAATACCTCACTAATTGAAGGGTACCCAATCTAAACTGTATGATATTGTTGTTAAAACAAAATCACAAAAGCTCCATATGTGTCTGACATATAATATTGGTCACAAAATTCCTTCATGGCATATTGTGGATAATTAAGCGAGTTCGAAATGTAATTCTGTTCTTCTACTCCAGTGGAAAATAGAAAAGCCTTATCTATTTAATAGTGATTCATTTGGTAATGCAAAGTAATGGATGAGCACATCTCAGCATTTGAGTGAATATAAAATGGGTATGTTCTATAAAATGATTATGGTTCAAATGTTGATGGGTTAATAGTTGTAAATTCTATCTCAGTGTAGAGGGTATTGCCCATTTAACTGAAATAGGATTGCTTCACTTCTTCAGATGCACATTAATAATCTGCAATAAGGTATTCATCTTTGCAGAGTGTAAACAAGATCATATATTATTTGTCTTTGCTCATTTGAAAATTGATGTCCAGATTTTAATCTTTAGTGATATTACTTATTAGAGGTTACCAGTTCAACCCATCGTCAAGATCTAAGATCAATGGCAGCACAACGATTTCATCACTTTTGAATGGATTTATTGAGGATTTTCCATTAATATCATTTGCGATGACTTGTATATGATTATTTAAAAATCCAAACTGTGAATCATCTGTAAAGTTATTAATATCTTCTGTGACTTTGGGCAACAAAGAATAACTCCACCACAAATACAAATAGTATATGCAATAACTCAGACTTAAGACTCCAATTATCAGCGAAATTATCCCACCAAGAACACTGGAATGATTATAGGTTAATCCGTCTGAAATTGCTGGAGTGTAGGTAACACTAAAGAAATCCACATTCCTTAACTAATTAGAAATTTTTTTCATATTTAATTAGAATAGTATATTAAATCACTTGTTCGTTAATATGTTAATGATGATTAGCAGATCATATTTAAAAATTTATAAATAGATATACCAATGTACATATTCTTAATCCAAAAATTGGAGGAAAAGAAAATAAAAAACATCCTTCTCGAAAAAGCTAAATATCTTTAATAATTATAATATTGGGTATTAAAGTTGAATTTCCATTAAAATATAAAATTCAGAGAATTAAGTATCAAAAAAGAACAATTGGCTATAATTTTACTAGAGTTCAGTTTCTAAAAATTTAGTTTATGTGCAAACGTCATTGTATCATTAAAGTAGACTTTTTGAATCAAGCAACATAATTTGTATATTAATAAAAATACACAATTAGCTATTGACACTCTCCTAATCTACTTATGCAAATGTGTGTTTATTAAATAAAAATGATCAAAATGATGATAAAATTTCCATCAATATTGAGCATTTAATCTCATTTAATATATTTAGTTGCATTTTTATATGATTTCTAATACATTTACGAATTTCAACATTAATGATAGGAATAATTGATTGATTAGTATATATTAAATAATAAGGATAATTTTTCAAGGTATATAATATTGTCCCGATTTAAATGATGTTGAGATTCCAAGGTTGAAAGGACTGGATTATTAAATAGTTTTGTGTCATTAGTACAATTGCTCATTAATGGAGACTGAAAATATTTAGAATATGCAGGACTTCATTCCCACTTTCAAAATTATTTTCTCAATGATTATTTATATGAAGCGGATTGACAATTGAAATAAATGTTTTATATATATATTCCTGTAAACTGAATCATTGGATCTTATTTAATTCAAAAGGTCTGCTATCTTGTTATTAATGTTTCTTTTATTTATTATTCTTCCTACTCATCAATTGATTTCCCAAAGGAGATTAAAGCTTTAATATATATTCAATTAATTCTTACATCATCTGTAATAACCAAATCTGCTTAATATTCGCCATCATCTTGAACTTATTATTCTAAAATAATAATTGAATTATATTACATCCTGAATTTGGAGCTCCTCTTAATAATATAATTATGGCCTCTGCCAACTCAAGTTCAGTGTTACTCTTTGGATACTGTTTCAAAAGGTCGTAGATCCCTTGATGTTCCTGCAAAATAAACTCTGAGATTATATTTTTATAATACATTTTAATGTGCATTTCTCTAATTGTGTGATCATTTTCAATCTATTCATCTCATTAATAAGATAAAGCAATTTTGCTGATGGCTATTCAAAGTGGTCCATATTAATAATAAATTATTTATATAAATATTTAAAATAATATTATTTGAATAAAAATTCTATAATTAAATAATCAATATGCGAGTGAAATACCTCAGAATATGATTGAATGATCTAAATAATAAATTATATTAAAAGCACCCCCAAAAGAAAATTTATTTTTATTATTTGATTCAAAAACATCATAAAAACAAAAATTGTAGGTTATTTTCCTATAGAAATTGAAAGATACTAAAAATATGTAGATAACTTTAAAATAATTAAAGTATTTTTATATGTCATTTTTAGTCAAATCCTTACATATTAATATTGATTTTTTTGAAGATATTTTATTATTTTAGAATTTAGTTCTAGATTAATGGGGAGGTACTCAAAATCACTTTAACAGAAATTTAAAGAATTTGATATATATAGATTATACAGGTTTTAAATTAAAAGGTAGTTAATCAGCTAAAACTTATTGACTGTTTCTTACATACCTTAAATCGTACTCCAAAATTTAATAATTAAATGGTTATCAAAGATAAAAAGGATTGATATTATTTTGCAAATAGCGAGATAAGGATATGCTTAAAAAGCTGGAAATTAACGAATCAATATCTAGTAAAATACTCAATTATGCTAATTGAACAATATCATTAATTGTCTACAGATAAATTTTAATTAAACTTAATATAAAAATGTAAACTTATGAATTTTAGTTGAATAATAAAAGGAATCTTGAAAGAGAAGAACTCTTTATATTAGCCATTGTTGAAAGGGTTCTGGCTGGTTACTAACAGTCAATATCGTATGTAGATCAAGCTTAATTTTGTGAACTTTTATCGAGGAAATAAAAGGAAAAGAAGACTATTTCACCATTGCATTTGCAGATCTTAGGAATAATAAAGCGAAATTTAATGAAGAACTAACCACCAATCAAAGAATAGAAAGTGAACTATGAAGTTAAAAGGATGCTTTCTTAATCAATAGATTCAAGAAAAAACTATCTTTGCTTATCTCGCAAAATGAATCGAAACTGTAAAGCTAAGTAGATCTCTAAAGTAGATTCTCAACAATAATTGGGGAAGGATGAAAAATAAACATTAGATTAGAAAAGTAACCAAGAAGGGTAGAGGTTGTTTACGAATGGAAGTTATCATTAAAACGATTCAACAACTTCAAGAGTTATTATTAATTCATTTTAGTTAAATAGTCGTATTAAAACATAAGCTGATGATGAGTTAAAAGAAATGTAAATTTAAAAACAGTTGGGTAGTACTTAAAAGAATTTTAAGAATAGAAATCAAAAACCCATTATTAATATAGTAACTTAATATGGGAAGATAGAAAAATAAGAGAATTACACAAAATTATAGGAAAGAAATTATCAAACAAGTTTCAATGATTAATCAACCAAAGTAAATTAAAATAATGAAAATTCTGTTTTTAAGTATAACTAATCACTTTTGGAACCATAATTAAACAAAAATAATGTAGACATAATAAGTGACTAATCCAAAACTGATAATAATACATTTAATGGAAGAGGAGATTCAATTAATCCATAATATTCTTAAAGCAATTCTAAAAATCAATAGTAAAAACTTCAAATGGGGAATGATTCAGGTAGGATAGATTTAAAAGATAAATAGTAGTAATATAACAATAACAATGATGATGATTTAAGTTCTTAAAGAATACAACTGACTTTGAGTGATGGATTGAAACAAATTACTTATGGTACTCATACGGAATTATCATTTTTGGATACAGATCCTAAATAAATCAAGCAGACTATTCAAAGTGCAAAATATTTAGATAATAATTAAGAGTAATAATTATAACACAACAATTTAGATAACAATAGGTAATCATAATAATTAGAATATATAAATTAAATAGATCTATAGAACAATAACCTAATAACTCCAAAGACTGATGAAATTAAACAACACAATAATTTTCTATCACCTCCTTAGTCATCCAGAACATTGTAGTCAGGGAAATCAACTAAGACAAAATTGAGAACTTTACAATCAAATGAATTAAAAATAGAAGATTTATAACAACGTTAATAAATTTCAATCTCAAGGGAGGAGTCTTAAATCTCCTTATTAGATTAATCCTTGAATAAATAGCTTTCTTTACACACTCATTTAATTTCTAACAGACCTGCAACTACCAATGTAGAGACGAAAAAATAGTTGGATTATCCATAATTTTAAACTCATGGCAATCTTGATTAATAACAATCCATGTAGTTTATTCAATAAGTCAGTATGACATCAATTATGCATAATGATGAACACTATTCTAACTTAAACTAATAAATGAGTATATAAGTAAATTAATGTGAACCTGCATAAGATAATGTAATAATTGAAGAATCCATTGAATGCTCTCCTATTTATAAAATTAAAAACGTATAAAGTATTACACCTTCATTTAATAATACAAAATCAGAGGACCATTCATAATAAAGTTCAAATTAAATTCAAAGTTAATAAAAATAATAGATTTAACCTTCAATTCAAGCATCTCATTCTCAATAAACCAGCCAATTTTTAATGAATCAAGCTTAATAGAGAATATAGAATCCAATTCATAATACATAAAATAGTGTAAAAAACAATAATAAATTAACAACAAAATAAAAGTATCAAGTAAGAGAGTAATAATAGTAACAAAGATCAGATGATAGTTAGCCAGAAAGTAAATTAACAATAGAATCGTCTTAAGGGGAGAAATCAAGTAGATCCAAACCAGTTAAAAATACATCGCAACTCAAGTTGCATGTTGCAGCAGCAGCCAGTCTGACTTCCACAACTAAGAAATCCTCCAATTAAAACTCTCCTCATGATGTATGACTACTTACTATTAAATTAGCCAGCAAAAGTTGAATAACAGGAGAAGGAAAGATCAAAATATATGGAATATTAGAAATAAATAGAAAAAATGAAATATGAAAGAGAATTGATGGAGCAATACTAAATCCCTGATGATATGCCATTGTCTGAAAAGTGTGCGATTATTGAAGAATTGATTAAGCAACTAGAATCAATTGCTGATCAGGATGTAAAATATTAGATAATGCTATGTATTACAATTAATAATATTTTAATAGACAAACAGAGATAGGAATAATTAAAACATGTAGCAAAACAAGATATTGGTTTTAATCGATATTTTGAAAATTGTTACGAAGAATTAAAGCATCTTTCGGAATAAAAATTGAAAACATTGGGAAGAGATGATTTAAATAAAGTTTCAAATTTGAAATTTGAAAATTAAGTTTAAACATCTTTTCCAATTTAACAACAAGCATTTTTCTAATAGGAAATTAATACTCCAGTTCAGAAGAACTTGAAATTAATCAGCAAATTGGATCCTGTTGAAATAGAAAACTAATTGAATAGAATCAAAGAATTCAAGTAGGAAACTGAAATTTTAAAATTGTTTTAATCTTTCAATTCCCAGTATAATAAAGAAGTAATATAGCTTATAAATTGAAGGTTAATTAATGTGATCTTGACTATCCGACAGAAAAGGATAGGTAATATACTATGGAGTATCAGAGAGGATTATTACCTAAGGCCACTCAAAAGAGAAAATAAAATAACAAATAGGACAAGAAGTTAAGGTTGAATACACAGAAAATAGATCCTAAAACATTGGATATGATGTTAGTAGCTAACGAGAAAATAAAATCAGTTGGCTAATATTTATTATGATTAAAGACTATTCTCCATATTTAATGTAACAATATTATTGAGACAAATCATATAATAAGTTGATTTCTGATCTAGTTCTATTGTCATATATAGTGCTTTACTAGAGATTATATTGATAAATTGTAAGTTGTATATTTATTCATATCTTTCAGAAATTAAAATGAGAAATTTGAAATATCTTGTTGTTCCTTTCCTTTGTAAGTCTTCTTTGCTTTAATTATCTACTTACAATCGAGAAGAATCCTATACAAAGGTCTATAGTAATTAGAAATAATACAAGATTGAGTATGAATATAAATAATATTCAAAAGGCCAGAAACAATAGTCTTTAGTGGTAATTCTAATACAAAATTGGCAAGCGAAGTGGCAAAGTGTTTAGGTATATCACTTGGGAAGGTGCTGCTCGAGAGGTTTGCAGATGGGGAATGCAACATTTAAGTTATGTTTCTTTGATGTTTAGGTTTTAGAGAATGTAAGAGGAAGAAATGCATTTATTATTCAATCAACATGTCCTCCTGTAAATGAAAATCTGATTGAATTGTTTTTGTTTATAAGTGCTTTAAGAAGAGCATCTGTAAAAACCATTACAGTCATCATTCCGTATTATGGATATTCGAGACAAGATCACAAATTAGCAAAAACTGAGTCTATTGCAGCTGCAGATATTGCAAAGATCTTGGAGCAAACTGGAATAGATCACCTGGTTTCAATTGATCTTCATCGAGGATAACTCTAAGGTGCTTTTTCAACTAGTGTCCCAGTGGATAATCTTTCACCATACATTACACTCATTTATGAGCTTAATAATCACCCTTTAAAATTAAACCCACCAAACGAATTGACTTTAGTTTCTCCTGATTTTAATGGTGTATCAAGAGTGAAGAAAGTGTAAGACGAATTAAGAGTAGCGTTCCCCAATATCAAGACGAGTAAGAATTTATTGTTAATTATAGAATTGGCTATGATATATAAATCTAAACATCCAGTTAGTGAAACTGAAATAAGTCTAGTCGGAGATGTTAATGGAAAAAATTGTTTGATCGTCGATGATATTATAGATTCAGGAAGGACACTAAAAAACGCTGCGGATATCTTAAAAAGGGAAGGGGCAAAATAAGTAATGGCTTATGGAACACATCCAGTTTTTTCCGGAAAAGCAGCCCTTAATTTAGGAATTTCAAATTTATCCAAGATTTATGTTACTGATACCATACAAATAAAAGAATTAGATAAATAAATTTTACATGAAAAATTGAGCGTTTTAAGTGTGGCTCCATTATTAGCAGAAACTATATACAGACTTTAAAAGAAAGAGAGTTTACATGAGCTATTGGGTGCGCATAATTTATGAGTTTAAAATTCAATTTGATTGTTAATCTAAGCATTTTAACAGTTCTGATTTGGCATTCTCTAGAAGTTACTTCACTTCATTAACAGACTTATCTGTGTTGAATCTCTGGATACACACAATCCCTTGGTTTAAAGCTTTAAGTAAGAGTTATGCTTGATTCATCTGCATCTCAATACTGTCTTGTTACTTCAAATTGGTTGCTTCTATCAATCTATTTGATAATCTTATTTACTTGTTGTTTTCTTCAAGAATTTCTTGATTCTTAGCATTTTAGAATATTTTTGGAGACTTGCTGACATCTCTACTGCCTAGGAAAGTAATCAAGAACTGATCCTAAAGTAAGGCTTGTTCAGGATTAGCAGACTGTAGAACTCTTTTAATACTAAACGCAGCCTGAATCAATTAGGCTAGATTTTCAACTGGAGGGTATTTCAGAAACCTTTTCAAACATGCATTCGGATCATCCTTTTCGAGTACTAGAAATATAGTGAAATTTTTGGTACTTTAATCTCGGACATAAACAAACATGGCTATAACAACGCAATCAACCAATAGAAGCCATTATTTATCCTCAGTAAGATAGTAATCATAGAATATGGCATCCCAAACTTTCAAAGAATCTTCAACGTGAAATTCCCTTGTAAACATACATCTAAATTAATATTCCCATCAACAATTACCTAATCCATCTAACTAAGAATACTGATAGTTCAACATCCTAGACTTTTAAATGTTTGAATAAGGTCACATCAATTATTTTCAACTATTGATCATAGATTTTCTGGATCCTATTCTATATAATAAGTTATTGTTTTTTCTGGCTTTCTGGAGTATGTTTGAACATGTCTACATGAGCAACCATGATTTATTCAAACAATTAAAAGATGTCTTCTTCTGCAAATTTGGTATCATAGAATATCGCTATCTCCTTCTTATCATCACTATCCTCTAAGCTATTAAACCCTTAGGCTTCTGTGAAGTAGACCTCAATAACATTAGCTGCCAATTCATTCATTCCTTATCTATAGGAGATTGAAGGGTTCTTAACACTCCAGATGAATAAAATGTTCGACAGCAAATTCTTAATCTTTAAGCTCTAGAATAACTACTTATCCTGATGAGTTCTATCGACATCCTTCTTAATTTCACTTTTCAGGTGGTTGATCTCAAAAAAGTTATTCCAAACCTTAATTAAAGATTATATCTATTATTACATTGGGTTTTTGCTATTCTTATTAATTTTATAACAAAGGATTTCTTATCGTTCTTTTGGATTCTTTCTTTGTTTCAGCTTATAAATATTACTTGCTTAAATTTTGGTAATCTTATCTATGTTGATTGAGCTTAATGATTTTCTACTCGAGAGGGTCATCGATTGAAAAGATGCCCAGGAACAATCTCCATATGCTTAATCTCAATTTGATCGAACTCAGTTAACAATTCAGAATCAACTCCTATAAGTCACTCATATTCCAATTTTGATTCAGGATGAACTTCCTAAAATTAAGTAGATCAAATGATGGGGTGATATCAGGGCTGATATAGCTAATGGATATGAGTCTTACATGTTGCATGAATAATTCGATAAATCTAAATTGATTTGACCTCTGTTGTTGTTCCTAGCTCCACTGATGAGCAAATCATCATCATCTTCGCCAATATTATTGTTCATTATTAAAAATTAATAATAGCTTGAAATGTGTTAAAATATTATATATTATGAATTTTATACTGCTTTAACTAGATGAGTCTATTTAACAAATAATTTAACTTTTTCATTAAACAGAGGAGTCATGCTATCAAATGATATACTAAATTATGACCTACATTGTTGACGATAATAATACAGTCTAAGAATATAAATAGAAATCAGATTTACTTAATTTGATATATAACCTCAAAAGTCATTTAAGAGAGAACCCTTGTAACAAAGTCAAATTGTTTATTATTTAGAAGGAACGCAAGATAGGAGATATCGATGATAGTGATTTGGATCTGCACAAAAAATGTAAGAAGTAGTTAAAAGATCTGACTGAGAAGTTAACTAAGAGAGATCAATTAATACAGGAATAAACATCATCGTATATGAAGGAAATTCAAAATCTAACCGAATAAATTTACAGACTGAACCACGCATAACTAAATAATGAGAATATATTAATTGATAGAAATTTAATAAAAGATTAAGCTACTTTGGATATCATAAACAAGAACCTCGAAAAACTCTCCCACAACTATGAAAATAAAATTAAGCATTTAAATATTATTATCGAAGCCTAAAAAAGAGAGTTAGTAATGACAAAACAGGCATTGAAAGAATTCAAATAAAAACACGAGTATCATCAATCAGCAGAGTACTTGGTCAGAAAAATAGCTTAGCTTGAAAAAGATCCATACAAAATTTGGAAATACTTCTAAGACAATCACGGCAACTCATTTATCTTATCAGTATTCAGACATCAGAAACAAGGTTACGGCATTAATTATAAAGAAATCGATCAGATTCTCTCTTAATCAAAAATAATAGAAAGAGAATTGTAAGTCTATTAATAGTTGATTGAAACCTCTCTCACTTAATTTATGGAGAAACTCACTTAAGATCAGAAAAAAATTAAGGAAACCTACTCACAAAAGGAAATGGAATTGACATCCCAAATAGCTCTGTAGCACAAGATTCAAAATGATCTAGAAATTAACTATCAAAAAATCATTTCTTTTTGTAATTGTATAAAATTTACGTAGTGCTCGCCCAAAATAGAAACAACCTATTGCAAGCTGCCATTCATGTATGGAGGAATCAAACTCAAACAAAAAAATCAATTACTGCTAATATTAAATAAGGATCCTCAATTTCAGACTTCTTATAATGTATATAGAAACTCTAAATTAACTATGAAAATTTGGAATATTCTTCAATTTATCATAATTAATTTATTTAATTACAATCAAAGATAACTTGGTTACAGAAATTGCTATTGAATTATTAATAGAATATATAGAAGCAATCGTTTTCGAAGGATTTATTAGAAAATTAGTTAAAATTGTTATAATAGAAAGTTGCAGCTAATAATTAAAACGAGAAGTTAAATGAATCGGATAGAAAGAAACAAAACTAACCCAATGTTGAGTTTGAGAAGGAAATGGAAGTCAAGTAGAAATAATAGGATTTAGAATAAAATCTGTATGATTAATTGGCTCAAGAGGGAAGATTTTCTGATTAATACGCACAGACAGAGGATTATTATGTGCCATAATATAAGCAATTTGCGACACCTCCTAAGGTTATAATGTAGAATGAATTGATACAAAATTAATTAGAAAATAATCTTAAGGGGTAAAGTGAGGTTTAAATATTTGATATTGAACAAACAGATGTTAAAAAGGTGACCAAAACTTCAATCAGACAATCATTTAAATAATTTGAGTCATGCAAGTCAAAGACCCCATGCAATAAGACCTATTCAGGATTTAACACATCTTTAGAATCTAACATAATCGAATTGAAACCCAAAATAGTGGCAGATCAAAAAGAGTTTTGTGTTATCAGAAGGAAATCTGAGTGTAAGACTGAAATTAAACCAGCGCCTGTTCAAACGCCTTCTAAAAGATATCAAAAAGTTGACTTATTTAGGTAGGTTGAATTGTTAAGCTAATTGCAATTGCAGTTGAAGGAGAGCGGTACTCCATAAGAAAAAAATTAAATGAGTTCATCCCAAAAGCAGGAGAGAGGATTTAGGACTTCAGTTAGACGTAAACCAGATTTGAGCATAACTTTTGAGCAATTTCATAATGAGATGAATGTGGACCCGTTGGAAATGTTTTCATCAACGTAGCGGTAGAATAAGATAAAAAGACTGTCGACTAAGGATTGCGAATATTTGGTTTTGTGATATTAGACATTATTAATTTCATTTTAATTGAATAATTTTACATACATTTAATCTTTTTAAATATTACCTCTACATACTATATAAAAAAGAGATTATAATCTAGAAAATTAGAAAGTTTTATTTATTAATCAAAATATTTAAGGATTTAATTGAGATTTGAAATAAATATTATTAGATTTAAAATGAGTGCTTAGCATAAAAAGCTTTTCGAACTTAAATAAAAACAAGGAGTAGTCTCCTTTAATAGAAGTTCTCATATATTGCTTCCATTAAATTCTCTGAAATCACTACAAACAATTTCAGATGTTTAGGTTCAACAAGGCTCTCTTAGAACTCTCCCGGATATTAACTCAAGTCCTAAGATTGAAACCCAATCAAAATGGTCAAAATTATAAAAAATTTCCTAAACTTTCAGATCCCCAAATAGGAACCTCGTAATCCCTGCTAAAAGGAGTTCCATACAGAGAATGTCAATTTCATCGTAATTTAAAAACCTGGTTAAATTTACAAGTTCGATGTATGAATTTAAATAAATCATAGGTAATTTGATGGTCTTGATGCAGCCAAGAATATTGTCAAAAACAGCGATGCAGTAGTGGTGAAGATGCAAAAGACCCAGAACATTGACTATCTAGCAGTAGGACTAGGGAATAGCCATGGTAACCAGGGTTTAAATTTTTCGAAAATAATCACTCATTGTGCATTAGACTAAATAGTGCATGCAATCAACGATATACCCATAATTGGATTGGGATTGTAAATACATTAAAGTTTCTTTAATATATATTAGAAAGTAGAGCAAAATCTGGTAAATATCCATTTTTAACTTTTAGATAGAGTAAACAGATTTTGATGTAAAGAACAATGGGTGTTCATTATTATCAATGATTGTTGTCAATAATTCCATCTATTGTGCCAATTTAGGGGATTCCAAAGCTGCCTTTTTCTGTAAAAAAGATTTTGATCCGAGTGGACCAAAAGAAATCAGAAAATTTGTATAGAAGAACTTAAATTTTGTTCATGACACCAACAATAGTAAGGAGGTGCAAAGGATATTAAATAAGGGAGGCAAAATAGATCAAGCAGTATACAAAGGAAGAAAGTGCGGAAATTTGAAGGTGTGGGTACCCAAATAAAATTAACCTGGTGTCAAATTGACAAGATGCTTTGGTAATTTGATTGGGAAAACAGTTGGAATAAGTGCTGAACCAGAATTTTCAGAGTTTAAAGTTCCTAAATCAGGATATTTATTGATTGGATCAACAGGATTATGGGAAATCTTGGATGTTTTAGTCATCGATTAAATTTTAGATGCTCATTTTCCTCCAACTTGCTAGGAGGACATTGATTTAGCAATAAAATAGATAGGTGACCAAACAAAAAAATATTGGGATTAGGATGGAGAAGGCTTAATTGATATCTCTCTAATTTTGATTTATATATAAATTTGATGTTTATATATAATTATAATTGACAAAGATACTTCATCCACCTCTACTTCAACGAAACCTATCTTCCTAGTAAACCTCCTAATAAGGTATTTAATCAAACTTTTGATTCTCAAAACACTTGTCCACAGCTTCCTTATCTAACCCTTTCGTTTCAATCACCTTCTCTTAGATGATCAAGTAACTAGTAATCTAATTAAACTGTAATGATACGCTACAAAGTTAAATATGGAGAATAAGCCAAAACAATAGGATATATCATATGAGGCGATAATTGGAAACATCTGGGCTACTAATCCTCCAGACATCCAATTCATCAGACCACTGGCACTCACTCCCAAATCTGGCAATATCTCAGTTAAATAAATAAATAATAATGGGCCCAAGGAGAATCCAAAACCAAATAGATATGAGAATATACAAATCACTATCAAGTATGATCCATATGATGTATTCCCTATACTATTCGACATTACAAATGTTAGCATCAATAAACTTACACAGCACCATAGGGTTCCATACTTTAAGATTGGCTTTCTAATTTATAATTTCTTATTAATCATACCTTCCAAATTACTCGATTATTACAGTTGCTAATAAGGCTGTAAACACTCCAATAAAGCCAACTATTAAATTTAGATAAAACACTTTCTTTGCAGCTTGGCCAGTCACCTAAATTATTTAGTAATTGCATACTTAATCAAATATTGAAGAAGAATAAAACATAATTCCATTTATGCCTCCTAACTGTTGTAAAGAAGCAAGAGAAATTCCAATAAATAATCGACTTCTGTACTTTGAAGACAGTAGTTGATTTATAGTCATACTTCTTTCTGTTGATTTTTATGACTACTGAAATTATTCATACATTTTTTCTGCCTTTTCTTCGTATATCATTTCCACAACTTTATGTAATTGCTAGCTTTGTTTTGATTTTATTGATACTTTAAATGATGTTTAGCGCAATATACAGGTGTTTCATATTTAAACACAGTTGACAGTGCACTAGCTCTTATTATACAAGGTATCATAGGTAGATACAGCATTAATTTATAGAATGGAATAGGTAATGAGGCATCTGAAAATGAGGACATCAAAAATGTAGTCAATATTCCTAAAGTTATAAATAGTTGATTCATTGTTCCCAAGATGCCTGCTTTCTCCTTTGGTGACATCTCGTTTATATAGACAGGTACTAGGACTCCATTAAGTCCTAATACAAGTCCTACAAAGAACCGAGAAGCCAAAAGTAAGTATTTGCTCTCATCCATGAATGCTATCATTATTGCCATCATTCCAAAGACATCGGTTATCTGGAGACACTTTCTTCTGGAAAACAAGCCCATCAATATTGATGCCGATATGGAACCTACTCCTCCTCCTATGGTTAATAGGGCTGAACGAAAACGGATATAATTTTACATTGCATCAGACCTTTGGTAAAAGTATCATCAATTTTATAGACATTATATACCTCTGTACTAATCACATTCATCTGACCCAAACAGAACCCCATAAATAAACTACCCAAACAGCAATTTAGAATTATGAGCAATAATTTATTCATTAAAATAATGTATACTAATTAAAGTGTGTATATTCCAAAGGCAATCGGTGCTAAAGAATATGCTTATGATGAAGAGATTAATATCCCATACAGATAATAGATGGAAGATTGTATGGACTGAATTTCATTTAGTTTATTTTATCAAGGACAATATTTTAGAAGATGGAAGTCAATCTATTTTATTCGGAATCATGGATGGTCATGGCGGATAAACTGTTGCTAAGTTTGTATCCACTAACTTCCCCAAAGTTTAACATTCATTAACTATCTCAAGGTTTTTCTTCAGTTACACAAGCAAAAGCAAAGACCATTTGATAAATTACTCCAGGATACATTTGAAAAAGTATAAAAAAATTCATTTAAAGGTCAATGAATTGGTTAAATAAGAATGCAACTCAAATGAGATGGGCTCAACAGCTAGCATAGGATTTATGAGACTTGAAGGAGCCAAAAGGGTGTTATATTTTGCAAATGTGGGGGATTCTAGAGCATTTCTATTTGGCGATTAAGTAGTCCCATTAACCACAGACCATAAACCTAATAAATAGGGGGAGAAGGCTCGCATACAAAAGCATTAGGGAACAGTCCTAATGGATCGCCTAAATGGAATTTTAGCAATATCAAGAGCTTTCGGAGATCACAGCTTTACTTAATATGGACTAACTTGCACTCCGGATTAAGTTAGAGTCGAATTGAGACTTTCTCATAAGTGGGTGGTTGTAGCATCTGATGGTCTGTGGGATGTCGTCAATGAATAGGTATCATTTTTGATTATTTATTTCTTTAGGAATTGTTATAATTCATTAGATACAAAGAATCTGCTGATGAAGTCACTAAATTCTTATAGAAATTAGCACAAAAAAGATAGTCAAAAGACAATGTATCAATTTTGTGCTTGAAAATTCAAATTTGATTTATATAATATATTTAGTAACAATTAATTTCAATATATCTGATAATAATAAAATTAAATATTTTGATATAATTTTAAAGGAGTGTTCAAAGTTTATGAACTATCTTTTAATCCAAGTAAGCATTTAAGCGTATTCTTTTATATTCTATTTTGATTTTACATCTATCAACCTTAAATAAACCTTTTAATTTAATGAAGAACCGAACCTCAGAATGAATATTATATACCATAATAAACTATTTAATAATTATTATTTAATTAAATTCTTATTTCTAATTATTCTTGTTATTTTGCTTATAATCTTCAATACTTTTAAATATTATTTGATCTGATATATTAATATATTTCTTATTCAAGACTGTTATATTTCTAAGCTACTGAATGCATATTGGATGATGATAGAAATATTCAAATATCCTTCATTTACAAGTAGCTTAGAGTAATATATATAAAGTAATTTGTAATCAACATCTTAAATAATTCTAAACGATTATAGATTTTGCTATTTTAATACTCTTACCTTTGTTTTGAATCATAAATTATAAGAAATATAGAATTTAATATTGAATATGATTTTAATAAATTCTGCTCTAACATAATTATATAGATAGTTTATAGATAATATGTAATATGGAATTTTTAATAATATATAAGTTTTTTGGAATATCCACATTAAATTATTTGACTCAAAAATGTTAAAATTTGTTCAAACACCAAAACATGCTCGTTGGATAAAACTGGGAATGATAGGATTCTCTGTCTTAGCAATCAGCCTCTCGATTGTATTTTTGGTTAACATTATTACTCCATTTGGAAGATTGACAATATCTTCTCCAGCAAATAGTTTCGTGGAATTAATCTTTTGCATTTTTGTCTCAATAAGCTTGATACTGAGATTAAACGATATAATGAATTATCAACACTAAGTTCCCTCTAAAATTGGACTGGTGGTTATTATCGCTGCAATAGGAATCCTGTAACTAATAGATTTTATTTGCTGGTTCATTAATCCAGTTTCTGATGTGCTGGCTGCCTTTATTTGCTTATTTACATTTTTGATTGCAGGTTTTCAATTTGGGTTATGGATTCTCTAGAGAATTGAGAACAAAAAGAAAGTATAGCAATTAGAGAATTGCTTGACACAATAGATTTAATATAGTGAAAATTAGGACTCTGTCTAAATTCCACAAACTTCAAAATGTAAAATAGTTCTAGAATACATTCTATATTCTTTTATGTTAATTTTAGTAATCTTAAATACATGTTAAACAATTCATGAAGCCAATTATCCAAATAGTTTGGGTGAAGGTGAGTAATTTTACACCGTTGAAAGTTAAGGTCATGATGTGAAAATCAGAACATATTGTACTGGTGCTAAGAATTTACAATAGATTATTTTAGAGGCTGGAGGAGGTTCTGGTGGATGTGACTTTTCTGAAATACAAACTCAACTTTCCAAAAATTATAGAGTTTGTAGTTACGATAGAGCTGGATATGGAATGAGTTGGTAGGCAGCTGCCCCATAAAATTCTAAAAACGCTATGATTATTGTTCGATAGGTGATGGAAAAGGTAGGATTTAATACTTCAGTGCCAAATTCAATAATTTGTGTTGGTCATTCTGCTGGAGGGCAGTTGTGTCGTTATTATGCATAATAAATGGCAAGTATAAAAGGCATTATCTTATTGGATTCAGTGCCAGTAATGAATTGGTTTTACTTGGCAGGATAATGTTAGAATAATCAAACTGTAAGTTAAATTTATGCACAATAATAATCGACCTTACCTTTGATTAAGACTATGGCTTCCTTATGGCCATTCTATATATTGACTCCATTCATGTCAAAGGAGGGATTTAAACCAGCTGATCTATAAGGGTGGGTAAATTGGTAAATCACTACTACAAGGAACTGGTATTCATAATCACTTGGGTATGCATCTGAACTCGAGGAATGTTAAGAATAATGCATGGAGTCATCAATCATAAATCCAGAGTCCATAATTAACAAGCCAATTATTGTTATAACTGCTTCGAATTAATCAATAACCTGCGAGGATAGAAATTTAACAGGTACTGAATGTCAAAATTATTACTGCTAATAGAATGCTTCAATTAATTTAGCAATTAATTAGTCGCTCCTTGGTAATTAAGTGAGCAAATATGTTGAATGTCCAGGTATTTGTAATCATGATTTTGTATGGAAATAACCAGATTTTATAGTTTAACAAATTGAATTTTACATCCCACTATTTTGATATGGTTGTATATAAATTATTCATTCTTGTATTTGCGATAATATATAATATTTAAATGAGGAATATGAAATAATGTAATAATGATATAATACTCATTTCTGTTTGCTATTTTTATAATCCTATCTTAGCTTTCTGTCTCTTCTCTAGATGATTTCAAGTCTAGTTTTTTCCCTATACGTTAGAGTTAATGCATATACTCTTATGCTCCATCTAAATTATGATTCGACAATTCAATAAGGTCGGTTCTGAATCTGCAATCACTGGGCAATGGGGATTCACTTTTGATGATGTAGGCCGGATCTATCTTTTCCAAGTCCCAATATTTGATTCCATCCCAACTAATAGATTCCAGCCAAGAACCTTCAACCTTGGATATTACTCTATTATGCTAAAACAGAGTCCCCCTAAAGATGAAATATAAATTAAATACTCGAAGTAATCAGTGGGCTTCTAATTTCTACCAATTAACATACCTGCACCCTCAGAAAACTTGATATCACAAACCATGTCATTCTTCTAATCAACGAACTTGATACTGCCATACCATTCCAACAATCTAGCACCGTAAATTAAACCACTGACTTTAGCGGGAGGCATACTAAATGCAATTCTTTATCCATCACTGAATTCCACAGCATTCTCCCCTACTTAATGACCAATAACAGCATTATATCTTAAAGCAGCCTAATACTCAAAGTGACCATAAAATCTATATTTCTTCCTGAAATGCTCAATATAGAAATGTGAAATAGGAGGATGGTGACTAGTATGTTCAATGGAGATTGATGACCCATCTTACCATGAACCTTAGAATGTTTCACCTAAAATAGGATTAAATGGTTTCTTCTGTCTGCCTCCATTGTACAGTCCAGCTATTATCATTGTGACAACAAGTTTAAACCTCTCTTTCTCATCCTGTTATCCTAAAGCATACTCCATGTAAATAGGCATAAAACCCCAGTAGTCACATATCCTTTCAATCATCGATCTAGGCTCAAAAATACGGACAGGGAGTGAGAATGAAATGATATTTCGACCCTCAAATAGTTATCTGCCTGCCGATCTCATTAAATCTAATACCAATCCATCCTATGCCTTAATTTCCTCCTTGTTGAAACATTCAATTCCTCCCTCTTTAAATCTTCTATATCCTGGAACTCGTTCTTCCAGTCTTTTACTTTTTAGTTGTTATCCATTCTTCAATAAAGTGATAGAATTTATTTATTCATCAAATCCTACAATAGACTTGGATTTCTGTTTAATATAAGTCGATGAGAGTTCACTTACGATGGATTGTTGGAATTAATGAAATCTTTCTTCATCAATGGTTTATGAAATCAAACTTAAGTTCTCTGCTTTGTTGTATAAGTATTTTTCCTAATGTAATTAATGATACTAATTACCAATTCGGTTGTGATTTTGGAACATGTGATCTCGCAATAATAATTAATTAGTCCTTTGCCTGAAACCTTGGGAATCCTTTGAATTTCATATGCTTCGAACATGTTAAACTTATTGTTCTCAGAAGTCAAGATATCAACAATGAAGGAGCTGCCATTGTTAATAATGAATCGGTATCTCAGTAGGTTCATTTGAATTATGACTGGTTTTGATACTACTTATTTTTGTCTAATGGGATGTATTATGAAATGAACCTTAGCTCTTTTCTAATATAAATTAACAAATTTACAGTAAATTCTAATTCGTTGTGATCCTTTGTTTTATTAATCTAGACAAAATTGCTATCCAAGACCTTTTTAAACTTCAAGTTCTTAATTATTCTAAAGGCTTTTGTTGAATCTATGTCACAAACCATTCTCCCATAAACTCGTATGGTCTACGCCTTTTGCTTATTGAAGTAGGAGGCAGACAAGCCTGCAACCAGAAAAGCCATTAAAAATGGTAACCAATTGGGTTTCAAATAGACACTAATGCCGAATGCAATACTCAGAAGTAGATACAGCTTCCAATTCAAGCTGTTTTTATTTTGGATTGGACTCTCGTAGATTTTGACTCCATTTCTAAATTTGCGAAATTGCCATTGTTGTTGTAAATCATCAAGCATTGTCAATATTTTATGTTTCGATAATTCCTAAGGGAGAGTGTCAGTCAATAAGTAGGTGTTAGTGACTACAAAGGACGGTCGTTTTTCTGCTTATACTACTGCTGTTGTGGCTTGGGAGATCTCTTCACGCCATTGTTCAGTTTCATCCAGAGTCTCCCCACTGAAATAGAATTGTTTATTATTCTGAGCCTCCACTTCAATATAGAAGCAATGTTCTCTGTCATCCAAAGTGGACATAGGAGAGATGTAGGCTTCCCTTAGATTGATGGCACCTCTGGGTACCTTATCATTTCTATCCTTAAAGTATATCAAGGTTTGTCCATCCAAAACCAAATACCTCTGATTCCAATTGTAGTCTATGGGTCCATCTCCTCGTTTCAAAATCATCCCTGCCTTTTTGCGCTAAATTTAGGGAGCTTTAGTGGGTGTTTATGAACTTGTTAGACTAACCTAAGATTATTTGACGGGAGTGGAAAAAGTGGATTAGGACAGATTGGGGTAGTGTTTGAAGTACTTCTTCTTTAATCTAGATGTTGAATGATAATATATTACTCTTTATAGGAGGTCTTTTGTAAATCTTTGAGTGAGGTTATTTATTGAAAGAGATTCAATTTGACCTCTTGTTACTGCAATAGAACTTATTTATTCATTCTAAACAATTCAGAGTCATTCATGCTCTACCAAACATTGTAAGTGAGTAGAATGGACTTGTAGAAGTACAATATGTATTTTCTTATTATTTCTGTTAAGAATTATGCAATTACATTTGACTCGTCACCATATTGATAGATATTGATTTCAACATTCAAGTTAACAGCAACAATGTTGGGACAGAATCGTTACCAATTATTCTTCTCCAAGATACCAAAGTTGTCTCTCAATTTTCTCTCGACATCCTTCTCGTATCCCTTAAAGTAATCCAATTCTTCTGCAACCACATCGATCACTTGAGCAGCTCTATTTGGACTTGGACTTACTTTAGCAATTACGGCCACCTCAATTCCCGAAAATTGAACCACATTGAATATTCTCTGTTCACAATTTTCAAACGAGGTCTTGCGTTCCTGAATTTGAATCTACTTCTGATTTGTCAATTTCACCATGAACTCTGGTAAGTAATTGGAGAGGATGTACATTTTGACGATTGGTGACTTACTCAATATCAATTTCATACTTATGATACCAATTCAACCTTTTACTAATTTTGCTTACTCAGATCGAAGTCAATCAAATAGTCTACAAATTTGCTTCCCTTTTAGAAACTCTAAATAGGATGAGCAAAAAGTTTACTTCAGCACTAATTGGTAATATCACACTATATTATTATTTCATTAAATTAATGGATGTATCAACAGAGAAAGTCAAATAAGGAACCAATCCGGAAAGCATTAGATTGTTGTCCTTGATCAAGAAAGATCTTTCTCAAAAACTCAAAAAAAATCACTTCTCCCCTCCTTCCTCACCATCCATATTGGAAGCTGTTAGATCCAAACCATTGATAAAAATAGAAAGATAAAAAAGATCGCCAGTTGTTCAACAGATAAATGACCTAGATTTCGGTTACATGGAGGAATTGGAAAGGAAAAAAATGTTCATGATGATCAGACTTGGCCATCTCAAGGATCCAGCCCGATTACTTCCAGTTCATAATTATAATAAAATCTCAGTTCTTCCCCCAAAAAAGCGGAGGAAAAACCATAATACTCCATCGCCAAAGGTATCCCCTTTAAAAGCTATTTTGCATAACCCCAACGATATTTCATTACCTGCTTTAAGCACAAGAGTGCATGAGGATCCATACTAAATGTGTAGAATACATAACACGCACAAGTAGAAATTAGACTAGAAACAAAGGAGATTGAATGTTATCAATAAACGAATACTAAATAAATTCTCAATAGAATGAATAATCATCTGAAAATGAGATCAACCCCATCCTTTGCACCTCAAATTGATACTAATTTATTAATAATACTCTCTGATTATGCACCTTATTGAAAATTCAATATTATTACAAAATAAAAATTAGTTGAGTTCAAAAAGTCACGAATTCCTACTCAACTATTGTTTCTTTTAAGAATCAATACGAATTAAATCCTATTTATATGATATCAGATTTTTTGTTTAAATAATATTATTTAATTAAAATGGGATCCACATCAAGATATACATTTACATTTGAAAAATTAGTAGAAGTCTCATCTACTGATTTTGTTGGTCATTCTGTGGCTGGCACACTATTTGTGTTGGCCTTGATTACCCACTTCTACAATTACCGTAAGGGTCTGGGTTTTACTTATTGGTGGTTTTTGGTAAATGGATATTTGATACATTTGTATATGGACGGGTTGGCTGCTTACTTTGAATATTCTAAGACGTACTCATTTCTTGTTATTATTTAGGACCCACTACCTCTATTCTCAAATGGACGCAAGATTCCTGAGAGATGACAAGATGGTTGCTATAGTGTCATTGGGCGAGACTTTTGTGATGGGACCATTGTGCATTGTCATTGCACTACTCTATAAGTCGACAAAGCTCGAGCATAATGTATCTATTTAAATAATATTATTAAGTTATTAAGGGAAGTGTTGATCCTGGTAGTTTCTGCATTCCAAATATGCGGAACAGTAGTATTCTGTGCTTAGCCTGTCTGGGCTGGCTTCATTGAATAATGTGGAGCAGAGGGATGTTTTACCTTCTCTATCTTCAACATATTCTTTTTCTGGTTCTCCTTTGTGTTTTGCGATTCCATCTGGATCTGGTAGCCAATCAAAGAAATCGTTAAATCTTATAGGAGATTAGAACTATTAATCAAGCCTCAGCCATAAAAAGTAAAGAAGAATTGATGTTTATTAAATGTGCATGTGATTATTAAAGAAATATTAATATTTTTCAATGGAGATCTTTGATTTTAGCAAACCAAACACCACCAAGAAGGTCAGAGCCGGTATATACATATGCCTATGGTCATAGCAAAGAAGGTTCTTGAACAGGAACCTGGAGTCAATAAATAATAATAGAATAAAGAATTTTACGATTAGGCATTAGAGAGAATAATACAACTATTGAAGAAAAATACTATTCCCTTAGCCACACCAACCAGAAGACTACTTCAAAGACCATAGATTTATAAATTTGGACCAAAAAGAATTTAATGGAAGAATTTTGAAGCCTTTTGTAATTAAATCAATAGAGAAGCTTAACATGTCAGTCAATACTTTTTCAATTTATTGGGCACTGAAGGGTATTCTATCAAAAAAATAAATTAGATAAATAGCAGATGAATCATTGATTATCAGAGGAAGGTAAACAAGTACTTAAATTGAGGCATCGATAAAGAAATATTTGAGTAATCATTAAAAAATAAACCGATTTAGATGTATACGTCATATGCTCAATGTGTAGAAGTTTAGATACTTCTCTAATAAGAGATGTCGAGTTGAGAATCTACATATAAGAATGTAAAGCTTGTATGGCCACTAAAACTGTGCCAACCCTAGAGATTTCAGATAAGAAATAGAGTTGATTGTTGTTTTTACTTTTTTTGTCAATCATTACATACTATAATTATTCATAGTAGGTTTAGAGTTTATTGACTATGATATTAATAAGATCTACTAAAATTCAATAGTAATTCAGATGAATTAGAATATAAATTAATAAAATACAAGTTTAATAATAAATAAATCACTATAAAGTATCAAATCTCTCTAATAACTATTTTTTGGTCATTGATCTAACTTCCAAATAAGCATCCATTGTAGGATCTAAATATATTTTAATTAATATACCAATATTAGAATTCATAAACTTATCAACTTACAATGCATCTAAGACTTAGACACAATGGGATAACAGGGTTTTTTCTTAGTTGGTATCTAAGAAAGCCACATAATTAGATTATTTGATTTGATTTACATAGTTCTTGATATTCTATCTGTAATTATCTCTAATGTCTAGGGATTAAGCATCTAATATCACTTTATATTCCTTTAATCCATTATTCAATTAATCAACTTCCTTGGCAATAGTTTCAACCAATCGTGTGAATTCAAAGTTGGATTGTAGTCGATTATCTTATGACTATTTTAAGTGGATTGATAACTTGTTTAAACTAAAGTACTCAGTAGCAGTAGTGCATTAGTTTTTGATAACACTTAATAATTGTTGTCCTCTATTATTGGCCAACAATAACAGATAGTAAGCTATTAGTGGGGATTCCTTGTTCTGAGACTATTCCAAAATAGTATGAGCAGTTGAACACATGAACTAGACTTTGCATCTTTCATTGACAATCTCCTACAAGATGCTGACATTATTAGTATTACTATTAGATGGCTGTAGAATGTTCTGCTCTGGTTTATCCGAATAAAGTTCCAAATCTCCACCAAACTCCCCATCGCTTTTTAATGGGATTTTGAATAAGTATTCCCAAGTGCATCGTTTATTTGGATCTTTAATGAGCATTGATTTCAGCAAAGTGATTGTTTATTTTGTAAAGTGAAATTAAGGAGGTATAACCCAATCGGTTTCATCTTGAGCAGTAATTAATTTAGCAATGGATTTCTCTTCGAATGGACACTTACCGATCAACAATTCATATAGGACTGCTCCCAGACTCCAGATATCGGCCTTACTGTTATAGGAAAGGCCTCTTAGGACTTCTGGAGCCATGTAGATTGGTGAACCCAACATGGTGGCTGTAACATCGTTTTTAATGGGTTTACAGAATCCAAAATCGGCCAATTTGTAAATTCCATTGTGGATTAATATGTTTGATGGTTTTAGATCTCGATGAATGATTGAGTTTTCTCTAAGAACCTTGAATGCTTGAATTAATTGATAAATGATCTCTAAGGACTTTCTCTCTGTAAAGTGTCCTTACAAGAGCAACAATTTATCGAGTGGACCTCCTGAACAATGTTCATAAACGAAATGATATTGATGAGTTGTTTTAATTAACTCAATGAATTTAACAACATATGGACAATGTTACAGTTTTTAAAGCACTTCTATTTCTTGCATGCTCAATTCAAGTAATTTAGGTGTTTCATTAAATTTGATCACATCAACACTTTTAATGGCAACTACTGTTTAAGTAAGTAGATTGGTTGCTCTATAGACTTTTCCAAACTCGCCTTGTCCAATTTATTCATGAACCTTATATTATTCAATCATTTTTTTAACAGTTAAATTAATAAATCAAAACTATATTGCTCATTTGAATTACTTAATTGTGTTTCAAATTATTAGAGTATATTCATTGTAATCGGACTGACCTTCTTCATCTATTCGGCTAATTCGTGCAACTCTCTCAACCTCAAAGACCAAATAATGATCTGAACTGCCTTGTCTATTGTTAACATTTCATCGTAATTGTCAACTATGTACTTTTATAATAATGCTAAATTGTGTGGAATGAAGAGTAATGTAAAACTAGTTATCAAGTAGGACCTTTTGACTTTGGTTAATTGATACTGTTCTACCAACAGTTAATAGAGCATGGACTATAATTATTGTTTAGTTTGATTATTTGTTGTTAAGAAGTAGAGATAATGGGCTAAATTTGAGGGTTGTTCATACACGAATAGCCAAGGGTTGGTTGGTAAGAAGGCTTCGAATTAACTTATCTAGTCTTAGACAACAGCATTCCAATTGGAATCCTTTATGAATTGCTTAATTTCATTCTAAAGTTCAGATTAACTTATCATAATTCTGTATATTAATATTTAATTTATGAATGTTGAAACACAGAGCAGTTTATATAACAAATTCAAACACCTATTAGATAAATTGAAGTATTATCAATCTACATGCTAGAAATAAGGAAAAGCCCCCTGTTGTCTTTACGCTTCATGAATTGAATTGTGATGACACTAAACAATTTTTTCAAGTAACTGCGGAGCTAATCTCATCTGGCATCAATTTCGTTATTGCTAAAGTAACACTTCAGACAATTATTTAAGTAAATTGACAAGAGAATGTGGCACATTCTCAAGCAATAAATCGATATTGAATTAAAGAGTATATCTCCAGATGTAGAAGTAGAAATTTAGCAATTTTATGATCTTCGAATAAATTTCCTCAGATCTATTATCAAAGATCTGACACAATCACATTAACTCGGTGCATTGAATAATGATAATGAATTCAGATAATTTTTAGCTAATTTATATTGCTATGCAGGGGAATTACATGAGCATCTTGGTAGGAGATTAGAGAAGATGAATCAAAAGCCTAAAGATAATTACAAAATCGCTGATTTATTCTACAATAAGGCAATTTCAATTTATCCCTTTTAAGGGAAATACTACTTCTTGATAGCTACCTTAATGAGATAATTTTAAGACACGTTCAATGCAGTATGCAATCTGCAGAAAGCCTATTTTGCCCAAATACCTTACAATTGCAAGGAGAACATGAATGAAGTCTTTGAAATAAACAGGACTCACTTCAATGATTGGGCTAAACATGTCAAGCCTGCAAGTGAATTGGATAGGGATACATACTTAAGAACTTTTATGGTGTACTTAATAAGATTCAATACGATTGTTGTATGAAATTAGAATTAATTTAGTTTACTAAAATTGGATTCGAAGAGTTGACTTAGTTAACTAATATGTTTTTTCATTTGCAAGAGTATTTCAATATCATCAAAACTAATGTGCACAGTGATTATAAGCAATAATATCAATTGTTGTTGAAAGTCATAATGATGACAAACTTTGGTTTGCACAACAGCATAACTACATTCTAATTGAAAACTGTTCAAGAAATCAATGATAATGATTTAGTGAGAGAATCCATCAAATATGTATTTGGATTGTATGTCAATTCACTTGATTTTATATTAAAATATTTGCTTCAGAATTCGATGAAGAATTTAGATCAAGTGCCTCCAGTGACATTTTTATAATTGATAATTCCAATCATCTACTATTTATATGATTAACCTTTGATTTGTACTTATTTGTTGTCTGCATACCCTAGTTTAAATGATAAATTGGCATAGATCTTTTTATATTCAAGATAGAACTTGTATTAGGCAGAGAATATGGGAACCGATTTATTTCAATTTCAAACTCAATTGAATAAGCAATTTCACAACTTTTTGTTTCCATTTGAAGTACCTTTAGTAGGATTCACTTGCTATAATCATGTTCTACAGACATTCAAACAACAATCTTCAATCTATAAAGATGAAGACAGTTAGACATCAATAATATTGTTTTATGTTTGTGAACAAATAATATAATAATTGCCTGGCATTTAAATATCGAATGTGAAGGAACCAAAGTGGGAATAAGAAATTCCAAAAGAATTGATTAAGAAACTAATAATAATTGATGGAATGAATGTGGCAATGAGATATGGACAGGAATAATCTTAGGTGGCTAAATTTTGTTCTTAGGGATTGAAATGTGCCTTAGAATTTTGGGTTAAGAGAGGACATGATGTTATGATCATACTACCTGACTTTTGCTTTAGCGAGAGCGAGATAAGTAAAAAGAAGCTAACAAATGTAATTATTGAGTAGATATTCTTTAGTAAAACAATGTTAACAAATTGCCTGATGATGTCAAGTTATTATTGGAGATGAAGAACAAAGGGTATGCCTATGGAGTTCCCAATTGGAATTACGATGACTCTTATATGATTCAATATGCTAGAGAAAAGGGAGGGTTGATTTTGACCAATGATCGATATAATGATCACATTAGAGCTCTGGAATCCAATATTGTAGAGAGGGAAAGGTTGAAGGAGTGGATCAGAAACAATTGTATCAGTTATACCTTTCTGTAAAATGAATTGGTTCCCAATCCTGATCAATTAAAGAGAATTTGATTATTATCATATGCATAACATAACATAAATTATGTAGAAAATTAATAAGCAAAATTATTTTTTTATGATGTACTTATAATTGATCAAATGTTATTGTTCAAATTTGATCTGGGAGGTTATTATTAAACTTATTATGGGGCTGGGTGATATTAAGGATATTGAGGGTATGATGGAATCACTCTTGAGGAAATAATTGGGGCAGCATATTAGACTGGATAGGTCTAAACTGGTTGGACAACACTGACTGGTTATTGTACAATTTATTAAACAACTGGTTATGGTGCAACTGTTTAAACAACTGGTTATTAGACCACTTATTAGACAACTGGTTGTTGGACGACTTATTACTAAAAAGTTAATTGAAGTGAAAAGTACATGAACAACTTATCTCTCAACTGGATAGTATTCAACTCTCTCTTGATATCTGTCGACTGGGACGTACTCTAATAATTTAGTAGGCTATTCGAATACCTGTGTATTTCTCTTGGAACACTTATGGGACGTATTCTGTTTAATATTCAACTGCATAATAATCTGTGACTTTTCTTTCTCTTGGGACATATTGAACGACTTCTTGTTCTTCATATTCCATCACAGCCTTTTGGTAGGGAACGTATTCGATTCTTGATTCTCCCTTGATTGTTGCCTAATTTGAATTTGAAATTTTTGTTTACATGGACTGGTTGTTAAACGACTGGTTGAGCAATGACTGATTATTGTAAAACTGGGGCTTGAACGACTGGTTAAGCGACGACTGGTTGAGCGACAACTGGGGCCACTGGTCTGGCGACGCTGTATGTTAGTGGGGCAACGGGAGCGTATGCAGGAGCATATTATGCGGGATATGTGGCTAAGGGGGCAGGGGCATATTGAGGAGCATATTAAGGAGCATATTAAGGAGCAGCATATTATGGGGCGTATTGAGGGGCATATTGTGGTGCTTATGGATGATATTATGGTGCTTGGGGTTGTTGAGGAGGTTGATCTAAAAATGTAGAGATTAATATTTTTACTTGATGGTGCGGGTGGTCTTTGAGACATTATTTGATAAAAAGATTTTTTCTTATTTTTATTTATATATCCATGCCATAAATTTTATTGCTTAAATATCCTAAACAAATAATTATAATTAATGTAGTTAAGAAGTATCTCAAATAAAAAAAAACCAAGTCAGTTGACTCAAACTACTCAACTCTTGGAGAAGGAAACTAAGCACATGGTAAATCATCAATCTAACCATTTCAATAGGAAGAGCAATTATAGCAACTTAAATAAATTATGCAATAAGAAAAATTTAAGAGGGAATCTGAAAAACCTACCGGACAAAATGGTACCAGGTGGAAAGCTGCCAAAATAGACAAGGGATTGAGAAATTACACTCAAAATTTGCTTCAAAAAAAAAATAGTTTTGAAAAGAAATCAATACCCACAGTTGTTAGACCAACTTCAGCCAAATTGCAACCTCTAGAAAAATCAATTAGAACACCAGCAATAGACAAAGATGTTGAAATATTTTTTACCTAAGTAGGATTGCTGCAATATAAAGAAAAATTTTAAAATTACACAATTCAAAGTTTAAGTATTTCTTATTTCTTATTTAGAGAGAATGTCACCGTGTAATAGTTAAGAGAAATGGGCATATTACCAGGCCATTAAATAAAAATAATGAGAGCTTTAAAAGAAATGCCTGAAAATATATAATAAATGCAAGAAGACAGCTTCTGTCAAAGTAGAGTAAGTGTGTCAGTAAGTGGAGTATAATGTAATTAAGCAAAATTAGCATGTTGGTTGTGTTATAAGATATTTGATGATACCGAGATAAATTGCAATGGAAGGAACTTTTGTAGTTAACAATGTCTGATATAATTTAATTAAGAATATATGATCAAATGTTCGAAATGCAACAAGAAATTTTACAAGAATGATGGCTGCGTCGTATATGATAATTACTATTGTTCTCAATCTTGTAGTATAGATGCTAATGACTCAGTGAAAGGATGCAGTACAAATACTATAGAAAGCGTAATAGAAGAGGATTAATTTCAATAAACCAATTATGCAGAACAATTTAATGAATTCTTAACTTCTAGTTTATTAAATAATTGATCAATCATCCTCTGATTGTTCTGAACAGTCTTCTTTTAATTTCAATTCATTAAGTTAATATATCAATTTATCTTGATCTAAGTTCGATTTGCTTTTCATCTATTACACATCGGCTACATTAGTTTCCTCTACTTATTGAACAAGTTTCTTATCTTTTTCCTCTTCAGGCTACTGTTGCTGTAATCGTTTCAGATCCTATAACTGCTATTTTTTTTCAGTAACTCTCTTTTTTTTTTTAACCTCCACAGGAACTTCCACTCTTGGAACAAAGCAATTGTATATGCGTCGAGAATGCGCAGTAAGATTCTTTAAATATAATTTGTTTTTCTTGTATTCTTATTTTATTTTATCAAAGTTGATAACACTGTTAGTTTGCTTTATCCTCTTTTCAATTCCCTAGTATTAGTATATAGATAATACTTCATTATCTTCAATTAATTTTCTCATTTCTAATATTTTCTAACCTAAATTTGATGGTTTAATGGGTAGATCCTCATTTAGAGCATAAGACGAAGGTTGATTGTTGATAGTTAAGATTTTCTGCACCAATATTTTATTCTCAGTGTTATCTGGATGTTTGATTTCGAGTAATTTTTTGGATGTAGAAGGTTTGAGTTTTTTTTTGTGGAATGGTTTCTCTACATTCATTGGTTATTCTTTGATATTTTGGACTTGATTGACATGCTTGTTATATTACTACCATGAAATTGAATTCATACATATAGCAAATTGTACTCTGATATTGGAGTGATTATTTCATTTTTATTCCAAATATTAGTCATTAAATTAAATGGACAAGTTTGACACAATTTAGGGAAAACTGTTCTATACTGTTTATTGTAAGCACAAGTCAAATGAGATTACTCATTATTAGAGAGGAAGAATCAAAGGTAGACAATCTAAATAAATCAATTAGAAATGATTGTCTAATGGGATCCTCAAATTCAAGAAATCATCAAAAATCCAAACAGACTTAAACAGAACATTCTCGAAATGGCATGCACTTACTCGGACAACGAAGACTCTAAACAAACTAAATAACACCAAGGAGTATTGGTAGATTGAATGTAAGAATAGGACATAGCAACTTTAAATTATTAAGCAAATCTTATAGTTCATTATCATCGCCTTTGGATTAAAGAAAACAGTTATTAATATGATAATGCATAATCAGATCATTTTTCTTTCTAAAAATTTGTCAAAATTTTAGAGTATTTGCAGATTTTCTTGAATGACTTTTTTTACAAATCCAATCATTATATCATATCGCATTAATACTTTTTTTCTTTGTGGGTTTGGAAGGTATGATCTTCTTGCTTGAGTAGTTTTTCTGAGAGTTATTTTAAATGGTTTGTATCCATCTGAGACATCAGATTCGTCGTAAAACATGGATCTTTTTTTTCTTAATTAAAATTCCATTTTTGATGGTTCTTCAATAGTAGGAGTGTGAATGTGCATAATTCTGTCTTTGGTTACACGAGATAGAACTTATTGTTAATCAGTTTCAATGAATCCTACATCAGGTTCTAGATATCTTTCGCTGCCAATTCCTCCAAAGACTGCTATTTTAGAACTAAGTAAAACAGTTGAATGAGCACACCGAGGGATCTTGAGTCCTTCAGCTATGACCTATTACCAAAGGTTCAAATTGGGGTAGAAGATGTAATATTCATCTGATTCCAAGGTGCCATTCACTATGAAATCCCTTAAACCACCTATGACTGCTATGCCTTGAACCTTCCTGAGGTATTCAACAGTGTGATTGTGCATAGGATAAGGTCCTTTACCAACAGTTTCCACCTAATCCCACGAGAGAGGTGTATTATTGGAGGAACAATAAGAAAGTTTACGCATAACATTGACCGAATTGCCATCAGCATCTTTGCCTCCGAATGAATATATGTTATCTAATGGCATTATGTCTGTGGGTATAGTTTCTTGGAATTTGCCTTGAGATGAGATATTGACAATGGCATGACAACTAACAGGAGGAGATTTGACCTTAAATAATTTCCACACCTACTTTTCCATATTGAAAACAGCAGTATCAGATAGAACCTCTTCGTTGGAGTTGATTCCTCCATACACAAGCATCCACTTTGGACCTACGAGACAGGCCCTATGTTGTCTCCTAGGTTCAATGTAGTCTCCTTGAGGATGAACCTTTTCCCAAGTCATGGTGCTTACAGTGTATTCATAAATAGAATTGGTGCATTCTCTAAGTTTGAGTTTGGGATTGAATTGACCGCATCCACCAAAGTAGATAAATTTATTTTTGTATTGAACTACTGACAAGCCTGCTCTTCCTTGTTTTGGGTGGTCTCCATTGCCTTGTACCACTTGCCAGATCTGAAACTCTTGAGATAATCAAATCTATTTACTGATATCGTATTTGAGCATTTGATTTCTGACTCCGTCTCCTCCGATTCCTCCGTATAAATATAATTGATCATTGAAAAGAGTGAAAGCAGCTTGTTCTGTGAAGGAGGGTTTGAATGTCCTAATATCTCTTGTGAGACGTTGAGATTCGAAGTAGAAAGTGAGTTGGGTAGGAGTGTCCATGATTTATTCTATGGGTGCTTCCAATTTTGGGAGCTAGAATACTATTAATGTTGCAAAAACGACGTACCCTTTTGTTATGGCTTTAACTCCAAGGCCTTTTTAGGTGATTGATCTCTGCGCTTGAGTTTTTAATAGTTCCTAATTTTGGTCTTTTGAGTTAGAGATAAGGCTTCAGTCATAGCATTTTCCTATCTTTCTCTGCTTTGATTGATGATGGTTTCTCTTTGCTTTTTATTGTGTTATAACTAGACTTGCAATCGCTCTTTTGGAGATGGTATTCTTGAGACTTGATGTGTGAATGCAGCCCTATATCAATCAATTATATACATTTAGGGCATTTCAGTAAATGTTTTGAAGAAGGTGCTTTGGGTTAGCGAGGCATTTTTCTCAAAGTGGATTATTTCTATTTGAGGTTGTTGAACAGTTACAAGAGACGATGATCGTCTCATTGATTATTACTATTGTGGCAATTATTTCAATTTTTTCATTAAATGCAATAATTTTTATTGTTAATTAATGTTCAGCTTTTCACCAATCAAACAGAAATAATACCTCAGTGCCTCAAACCAATTTGAACAACCTTTAGATGACATGAGTTGCATAATCGAAAACGGCAGCGTCGGATCCCTGTATTTAGGGAACATCGAGTCAGCTTGTATTAAATCTCATCAACTCTTTTATAGCCAGTTTAGAAAACTTGAGGAGACATAAAATCAAGGGAGTTCTATCCATCTGCATGAATAAGATTCCCTTTGAAGTGCAGTCATCACTTTAACATTATTCACACATTTATTTGGAGGATTGTGAGTCTGAAAACATAGCCAGACATTTTGAGAACTCCAATCAGTTCATCGACAAAGCAAGACAATCTGGGAATGTCTTAGTTCATTGCATGGCTGGAATCTCTAGATCGGCTACTCTTGTTGCAGCTTATCTAATGAAGAAAAACAACATGAGTGCTCAAGATGCCATAAGATTACTTGAAAGAAAGAGATGGTAAGTCTACCCCAACAATGGATTCCTCAGACAATTGTCACAATATGAAAAGGTGTTATACTAATAAAATGGAAGATCTGACATCTCTTCTCCTCTCAGAGATTCGTGGTCTAAGTAATTAGTCATTATTATAGATTTAGACAATTTTAAACTCCCACCAAGGATAATTTGTTTTATAACAAATATGAAGAATAACAACCATCCAGTCAAAAAACTAGACCCTTGGATGAGATTTGCTTTGATAATTATAAACGGAAATCTATTGGCTATGAGGATCTGCTTAGAAGTCCAGAACCTAATGAAAAGAAACCTTTTTCTTTAACTTAACATAGGCCAAGTTCAGCTGTAAGGACATCTCCTGATCTCATTAGAAAGAAGAATTTGTTGTCTGATGCTAGTAATTTTCATAGTTCTATGCGTTTTAGTCCATGGAAATAAGAAAGATGGTTTGGCTGCCTTTGCTTTGGAATTGAATTAGGCGGATTGGCAAAGTAAAAAACTGGATTTTGAAAGCAAATACTCAAAACCAGTCAGTTAACAAAACAATGTGAAATCATTCCTTACTCCAACTCGTCCATCATAATTGAATCAACATCAAAGCAAATTGGATGAATTGCTTAATTCTTTCAATAGAAAATCCATACTATGATTATAGAAATATATATGAATATATCCTATTAATCCTTATTCATTATTATTTTTAATGAACTCCCTGTCCAAGCGTATTAGAAAGATCAAGAAAACCCCTAAGGTGACCTAATTTGAAGATTCCGATGATCCTCAATAATTCACAGCGTGCATCGCAAACCTCAATTAAATTGTGGCTGAAGATCAATGTTTCTCTAGTTTCACTATTTTCTAGTCAAACAAATCGTAACCAAGGAGTTATTGGTTAGATTGATGGAATATTTACGACACAACAATCCCTAAGTGGTTATCAATGCTCTCAATGCAATCCAAAATGTATTACGTATTAGTGATAATTTTGGTTCTGAAGTCAGAGATCAATTCAAAGACCTAGGCTTATTGGGCATCCTATTACTATTTCCTATCCAAGAGAACACCTTGTCGAGTTACTTGAACTTGGCAATTGAAATCTTTGAAACTTGGGATATAACATTGTTAATGCCATTTTATTAAAGAATTTTGCCAATTTTAGATACTTGTCTCCAGAAAGTTTATAATGAGGATATCATATCAGAAGCATTAAATTTGTTACAAGTACTAACAGAGATCCCTCAATTTAATTTAAAGAAGATAAATGTAGACTAAATATTCCAACATGACATAATTAAGTAATTACATTTTGCCAATCAAATGAAATTAAAAGCACTGACCCTTTAGACATACTTAAACATCGATCGATTAGACACTGAAATGTTTTCATTGATTAATGAAGTCATCAGAATCAATATCTTCTAAGAATTGGATAATATCGAATCATTTCTATAGAAGCAAGTGACAATGGAGGAAGAGTCTGAATTTAAATAAGATGAAAGACTACTTAGTACACTTCAAATTTGGAAATGCTCAGCTCAATCCATAATCTAAGTATTGGTTTATTTGAATCGAATTTATGAAGAAGATAATGATGATCAATATGTGAATAATCAGAAATTCTAATAGTTCTTCTCAAAGAATATCATAGTTGAATTAGAGGAATTAGTATTAAAGAATTTCTTCAATTACTCTGGAGTCATTCAAAAAAAACTATTCACTGATCAAACTACTTTCACCGATGAATTATTGAGTCTAACTCTATTGATCTTCAAGTAATTGTAACAACAATAATTTTAGTTTAGGAAATAATTTATTAGCCAATCTTTAACCATTAGTATGTTTATAAACATTAGAGCCTATTCTACCCTAAATTTAAGCTATACTCCAAGTAGATATAATTGCAGATGAGGATAAAAAAGAACTCGCTTAATCTGAATTCTTGTTGTTGATAAAATTATTAAAAGTGAACCCACAACTGGTGTTGCAAATCCCTCCTTAATTTATTGTTCATTTGTGTGAATTGACTGATGCTACTGATATATTATTTCACATCATAGAAGTCATGAAAATTAGGTATTCAAGCAAAGTTAAAAATGATATTGAAACCATACGCTTAGTAACATAAAAGTTACTTAAGTTAATGAACTAATCCAACATTATGTTGGCTGCTTAGGCTTTGGATTGTCTGTTCGACGTGTATACAGAGGAAGACTTCAATGCTCTTTTAGTGGAAATGCAGATTCTTGAACTGTTATCGTAGGGATACTAATATTTATAATCGTAATTGCCATAGGAGAAGAAGACTTTAGCAAAGGAGGATTGGAAGTTCTTAAAACTAACAGTGACCAATTTAAAGTAGTTTATTGAATACAAAGTAAAAATGATAAAGTGATTTCATGTGTATATTAATTAATATCAACATTGCATATTAAAGTTAACAAATTAAAATTCAAATTCCACTCATTATTTTTTGTTGCCATCGATAAATTTGCCCAACAATTCTTGAATGCCATAATCACTCCATTCTCTTTCCTTTTCCAATTTGGGCAATGACTCTGGGAGATCCAAATTGACATTGTCTTTTTTGTCTGAAACGTAGATGTTGACATCTTTGAGAACGTCCTTCCTCCACTTTGTATCGACCTTGTAACTCAATTGAGGATTGAGCATATTGAAGGAGAAAACTCCATCTCTTCTTTGTGAGGAATTCATAATTTAAATTGATTATTAAGAGTTAATATTATTAATGTGAACAATTAAATTATGAACTGATTAACTAAGAATTTTAGTTTATAAATTAATTCATTATAAAATGAGCTGTAAAATAGTATTCACATCAAATTTGAATTCAAGTTCTCTACTAATTTCAGGCAGGGGATACTCATCCTCGAAATCGAATTGAACATTGTAATTCTGCAGTTTCCTCCTCAACTTAAGAACCTTTTTGGAGACAATGACTTATTATTTGGGAAATCTCTCGATGGGAGCTTCGTAACCTTTGGTTTTGGCTCCAGGAATGGCCGCAGCAATGAGATCATCGAAGGTGTTCTTGTTTTTGTCGAGTTTGAGTACGATCCAAATCATCTATTGAAAGAGGACATCCTTCTGATATTAGTTGACCAACTTGTCGTATTTATCTTGATATCGATAGGGTTCGTAATCCTGGAGGAGGATGGCAACCCATTCGCTGTAGTTGTAGAGATCCTTCTCTTCGGAAACACTTAAGTATAAATCATCATCATTTGAGTTCATATATGATTATTTAATTTGTACACACAGGAATATTAAATTATTGTGGATATAATCATTTCAGTAACAACTCTTTGGCTTCATTGATTTTAGTGGCCACATATGTGGATCCGCCTTGATCTGGATGATTGAGCATCAGCAATGTGCGATGACGAGTCTTGATTTGATCTTGAGGAGTGCCTTCTCTGACTCCGAGAATCAATTGGGCCTCCCTTCTGGTGAGTTGAGTTGAGAAGGTTCCTTTGTAGAAGGCCCTTGATGTTTCCACAGTCTTGAAAAACTCCTTGCTCTTGATTTGTCTGTAGGTACGAATCAATAGTTTAGTTCCTCCTCCAACTACAATTAGGCCACAACCTATGGCGAACAGAGCAGATGACATAAATTTAATTTTATTTATGATTACCAATTCAATTTATTATTAATGAATGTTTCTCTCAAAGACATAATTCCAAACAAAAACCCATCATAATTCAATCTAAACAAAATTCGGTTTAAAATCTCAAAAAAAGTGGAATCCTACTGTCAATGCAATCAAAGGAACTGTCTAATTTGTGCTCGTAAACGTTCTTCTTCGATGTTAAGCATGAAAAACTCGATTGTGTATGATGAGAATTCTCCAGTTTCCAAATGCACTGTTGAACAACCAAAACCAATCCAGCCATTCAATCGATCCATCTCTAGACAACAATCGAATTACATGGGGAGAGTCTCAGTCAATGTCTCAGCTTCGACTAATTCAACAAACAATTATGGCAGAACCAGGAAAACCTCAGTCGAATCCTCCCCTCCCAAAGACAATAGTATGATATTGGCTAATCCCCTATTTAGTTATTGGCAAGCACTCCTTCAAATACCTTTACGTAATTGGGAAAGGAGGCTTCGGAAAAGTATGGAGAGTGGAAATGAAAGCCAATAAGCAGGAGTTCGCATTGAAAGAAATGATTAAAGCAAAGTATACCAAGCATACATTAAATAAGGATCATATCTAAACGATCTGTTAATTCAGTCATGAATGAGAAATACCTTCTTGAGCATCTCAAACATCCTTTCCTTGTTAATATGCATTACGCATATCAAGACAGAGAAAATCTATTCTTAGTTCTTGATCTTCTAAGAGGAGGGGACCTTCGTTATCACATTGGTCGATAAAAGAGATTCACCGAAGAATAAACAAGTAAATATTAACATTTATAAAATCAGAGTTCTTTGTGTGTTGTATCTTATTGTCATTGCAATACTTGCATCAAAATGGAATCATCCACAGAGACATCAAACCTGAGAATTTGGTGTTCGATAAGGATGGCTACTTGAGATTGACTGATCTTGGAGTCGCACGATTGAATAAAGATTCTTCAGCCAGCGATACCTCAGGGACTCCTGGCTATATGGCTCCTGAAGTCATGTGTAGAATGGATCATTCATTCCCAGTAGACTATTATGCTGTAGGAGTCATAGCATTCGAATTACTTCTTGGCAAACGTCCATATAATGGAAGAAACCGATAAGAAATTAGAGAATAAATATTAGCTAAACAAGTTTAAATGAGAGATGAGAAATGCTCAGCCAAAGTTTAAGACTTTATAAACAGAGTAAGTATTACCCTCAAATTGTAGTTATTGATACGCAAACCTTAATAAAGATTAGGCGCTTAGGGAATACATGAGTTGTTTGATCATCCTTGGCTAAACAATTACAATTGGGGCAAATTGTTAAACAAAGAGATCCAAGCACCTTATATACCTGGAGTATACATATAATGATGGTTTAGAGCATAGATGGCAATTTTGATTACCAAAGCCAGATATCTGCTGATTCAGAACCTTAGGAGGAAGCCTCAACCTTGCTAAGAAGAAAGAGTGTTTAATGTTTATTTGAAGGATATAAATATTTTTGATTATAGTATCATTTTTATTTACTTACACCCAAATTGGCCACTGTGATCCCTGCATTTAACATAGATACTAAGTAATTGGCATATTCATGAGCGCCCCTTTCTAATTCCTCAGCTTTTCTCTTCTCCAGTCTCTTGTGATGATTCACAGTCTCTTATTTTATTGTCTTGATTTCTGATTTCATCTTCTTCTTTCTATTCTCGTTGTCATCTCTCATAGCTATGGCCTCAGATTTCAATTGATCAGCCAATTTAATATACCTAGCGAACTTTAACTCAAGTTCATCTTGATTTTTCTCAGATTCAGTAAATTTCATTTTGTACTCCTATATTTGATTCCTTGTTGAGTATTTGTTCTCAGCCAGATAGATCTGCACAATCGGAGAAACTATTAATATTTAACATAACATTTACATTTAATTGGGACCATAACTCTCTTGTTTCTAGCCTTGACGGTTGTTTAACTCAAAACAATCGGTGGGAGTGATTATTCATATTGTTGTTACTTGGCAAATTTCTACTCTGCCTGCTTTTTGAATATGTTGCCTGCTCCTAAGTCTAGGTTCCACTCCTTAAGATACTTTTAGCTATTCGCTATCTCTATTCCGGTGAATAGATATGAGAACTCATCCAATAATTACTTTTTCAAATCATCATTGAATTTGCTCCTACTTAAAGGGAATGAGTAAAACAAGGCATAGAATACGCTTTGGGCTAAAATATCAAAGTAAGTCTTAAAAAATAATTGTCTATCATCTTTACGATCGATTGTCAAAAATAAATTGATATAATTCCTAGATATTCTGGTGAGCAATTTTTAATCCTCCTTTGGCAACTTGTTAAAGTTAATCTTGGGATAGGTTTCGGAAGTTTCATCAGGTTGGATTTCTCTCTTAAAAAATTTGGTAACGACGTACCAAAAGGAATCAGAAACTACAGCTTTGTGTTCTTCTAAGTTTAAATATTTCTGCCATTATGTAAACATGGATTTTACCTTCATAATATGATCTTTAGTTTACTTCTAATAAACCATCTTCTTTGTCGTTTGATTTCGAAGGGAATTTCATACTGTTTAACACATTTGTGTTGATCTTCTTGAATTCCACTTGATTTGGAAGTGGCGTGTAGAGTTCATCGAAAGTATTTGGTGGTTAAGCTTCTTCAATTTTTAATATGGTTGTGGCTTTGTTCTATTCCTAAGGTTCTGTGATGTAGGTTGCTGTCCCTAAAAAGGTTGTTGTGGTTGGTCCTCTTCTTAAATCAGGTGCATACATTCTTAATCTAATATGTGAATGAAAATTATATTGATTTACAACAATATTATTTATCAATAATAACTATATATTATATACACAGCCTCAAGGAAATTAATATGATATTGAAATATTGCTTCGGAATCTACAAATTCAATCCCATAATAATCCAACGAGTATCAGCATTGCTTAAGGTTAAACCCTATCCAGTCAATGAGAACATCCAATATCAGGGAGAAGTCAGAGTTATTGATGATAAATATAAACTCTTGGGAGTGATGCCTTTTCAATAAGCTAAAGAATAGGCAACCAAAGAAGAGAAAGAGATCATTCTTATGAATGAAAATGTCGAACCTCCGCTATGTAGAATATGTGACTATTCTGATGAGTTGGCATAAAGATTTCTCACAGAAATTTCTCCACCCTTTAAAAAATTATAACCTTAAAGAAATATTAAAATAGGATCCAAAATCACATTTTAAGATTTGCAGATTAAAGTAATAGCAGCATAAACCATTCTGAAAAAGCAGAAGAGAATCATTGTTAGCACTGTTTGTTTTGAAAATGAAGTGTTGATATGCAAAAATATCTTCTATAAAGTTAAGAATATATGTTAATTTTAGTTTAGGGACATGTGCGAATAATTTATGAAACCATTAGGTAGTATTAGATCTCGTGAGTATCAGGACACTTCAGAACAATATAGATCTAAAGACGAAGAAAAATAACCACAAATAGAACTAGAATATGAATTTGAGAAAATAGGGGAAATTGAATAGCCTCAAGCGATTCCATAGTTGAAGATTGAAAGATAAATTAATCAAACATATTCTTTAACTACTAGGTAGATCTTAAATGAAATATGAAAGATAAGAATTATTGAATGCAGATGAAGCAATCAAAGAATTCAATTAATAATACAAAGATATTGATAAGGAAGAGGGAGAAATAAATGAAGAAGATTTGACCAATGAGAAAATTTGGCCCAAATAAAAAATTAAGAGGAAAATAACCAAGTACACTTATCCAAAAAAGGATATTGACACCATTATGATGGAAAAGGAAAAAGTTGAAAAGGGAGAAAAGGTTTGATGATGTCCATAATTTATTATTTCTAATTTTTAAGAGTAAAGAAATTAAATTTTACATTTCATTTTTTTATCGCATACTTAGTACTTGATAATTTAGTAGTTGTTGTTGTGGATAAATTCACTAACTCTTTCGATATTTCTTGATTCTTTCTTTCTTTTTCGAATTTCTAATTAAAATTGAAAATGCTACTTTGAAATAGATAAAATATATAAGCAATAGCACTAATTGTAGTACTGAGATAACCATAAACATTTCTTAAGCACTATATGCTATTTGACATGTATCATCTTTATAATTCATTCCTTACATATAAATCAAAACTAAATTAAAATATGCACATCATACCACATACTGGTATCTGGGCTAGAATGCCGATAGTTGTCAAAAATTAATAAGGACCTGCCACTCTTTTGTTTGCACTCATAAAGAAATTATATGGAATTCCTAATACAATTAACCAAACTGTTGAAAAGAGCATCAAATAATAAATATTGTCTTCCAAACAGCTTTGTTTCTGATTCACTAATATAAGATATAGAGAAATGCAATTTATTGGTAGACTGGTTATTCGTATAACAATTTAACTGAAAAACAATGCTAATACAACCTAAATCAATTTCATTAAGTTACCCATAACGCAGTTGTTGCCTAGAAGTAAAAGGTTAATTGCTAAATACTAATGACATATTCGCATTCATTCATATTGGTTTGGGTAGTCTGATAGCTCTTCATAAATTCTATGATTCCCCAACAAATATTTAAAAAGGCTAACAAAAAATTGTCAGAAATCTGCATTTTCTCTTTCGCCTTCACATATAAGAATGCTAATAAATTGAGTATTATCATGAAACTTGCACCTTTAATAGAAATCTATGAAAATTATAGTCCATCATCTAAATTTTAGATTATTTCTACTTGAGCATGTTTGATTAACCTTGGTAAGCATTTGAATTGATAGAATTGTATAAGCATTCATTCTCAAATACAAGAGAATTATATGCATTCCCCTATCTGCAACGTTCATAATAATTTATAATTATATTTATAATTTATGAATATTATAGTTTCTGCTAGAGCAGAGTTCATATATATAATTCAAAGTATTTTTGATTCATTATTTATAATTATGAAACCAATTCATACTCCAATAAACTTGAGTCTTTCCTAATTATATCAATCGGAAATCAAATAGCAATAGCAGCCTGACAGAATCTTGAAAGATTTAAATGGTTCTGCTTTCAAATTTAAGTTTGACTCAAATTTTAGTGATAGAAAACTAAGATAATAGCAATAATAATAACAACAACAATAATAATAATATTAAACTAGTTTAGATTGTGGATTAAGGAAATCATCCATCTTCGAGGATTACAAGTTTGAAATGGAGAATGGTAATAATTGTAGGAATAACAATTAAGTTTATAAATTTAATCACTTAAATTCTAGTTCTGAATTTAATTATTAAAAACCAAGTTTATAAAATGGATTAGGATAATATCAATCTAATTAGGCTTTGATTGGAAGCAAAATATTAAGTCCTCTTTAAAAGATGAATAACTATATCTAAGAGGATCTTGATAGCTTAAGATTTAGTTAATAATTCCAGAAACTGCATTTCAATGATAATAATATAGATGATTATAAAATATCACTCTATTACTACAAACCTTAGATTGGGATCACATATTCGATGAAAGATAGCGTGTTGTTAGTGACAATAGATTAGAGTTAGATAACAAAAATTAGATAATATTTGAATGAGTACTAGATTGATACCTTGATTATTTTTTACTCCATCAACTTCCCTCAGTAATTGCTGATGTCTATAAAATAAATAATTTAAGGAGTGGTTAAATTTTGCAATTTCATGCAGTGGGAGGACTATAACATATAGGATAAGTTGGCATAAGTGGGATTTATGCATCCAGAGATTTACAATGAAACATTAATAGATAAGTAAATCTATATAAATTTGTGTTCTGCTTTGCCAATCTTAACCAGATTCAATTTGGACACAATAATTAATTAACTATAGGAAAGTGAGAAAGGTTGTAAACTTAAATTTAATGATTCGTTATAAAATCAATTAGGAATATTAAAATAGGATAATAAGTAATTGAGCATATAACAATTATTCGAAAAACACTTTCAAACATTTTATGCTAAGAAGATATTTTTGGATTATCTAAAGAATCCAGTATCATCTTATTAGATAATAAATAAAAGATTATAGAATCTGTACATATTTCAGCAATTATCACTTTAGCCTTCGAATTAAAAATTCATTAAGATGCCAGGAAAGATTGGATCATTTACTCAAAGTATTTTAATATTGTTTATTTAGTTCTGAAGGTTCTGTCAACCTATTAAGAGAAGAGTGAACCATACTCTAAGTTATTTACATAACTGCAGTATTTGATTGAGTTTGTAACAGTAGTGAAATAGCTGGTGGTAATAGATCGAAGAGCCTAATAATAGACATGTTAATTATTAAAGGATTTGAGCAATGTGAATTTAGAAAGTATATGTCAATTGTCTGATATTATTGAAACTTCATTGTTGTTCAATTAATCAAATGTGCAAATAAAAGAGCAAAAATACCCTTAACTCGAATAGTTATTATCTTTGTAGATCAATTTAAAAACAAGGGTTTAGTTGATAAAAAATAAACATTAATCTGAATTAGCATTGGTTGGTATCAAACCTCAATCTATAGAGGTGAAGTATGTGAATAATTCATATAAATTGGTTGTTTAATCTAATTTGAACTTAGAGGATAAAGTATAAACATTGGGGTGGGAAATGGTCAGTGAAAGAGATGCTGAAAACTTTGTGGTGTTTAAGACTTCATACACTCTTAGTTTGGATGATTAATTCGGTGATTTAGAGGATCAAATTATATCTATGTAAGAAAAGATCTTGATAGAGCTTGTGAAATAAATTTAATCATATTCTGATTAACTCTAATAAATAGAATAATTAGTGGGAGAAATTGATTATTACATAGGATTGAGTATTGCAATTACGTAAATGAGGCTTTGTATCCCAAAATTAAATAACAACAATCAAATGAAAATTCAAGGAGGCAGACATTTATTGGTTGAGTAGACAAAGAAGTAAAATGTTGAATTTTAACCAAATGACTTTGTTTTGAATGACAAAAGAATATTCTTGATTGTTGGTCCAAACTTTTCTGGCAAATCAGTATTTATTAGATAAATTGGTATTATAATCTATTTGGTTCATTGTGGATTACCAGTCCCTGCATTGAATGTAGATACATATCTTTTAGAAGAGATTCATGCTCTATTTCCATGTGAGGGAAAGTAATAATCGAATTTAAGTATAACCAACCTGGAATTGATGCAATTGAGTTCTGCCTTAAAGGTTTCAAGTAGATCTTTGGTTTTGATGGATGAGATTGGCAAAAGTAAATGTTTATATATTTTAAAGACTTTAAGTATTAAGTAGGATCAAACCTTCACAAATCAGCCTTAGAATACTTTATGTAGATGACTCCAACACCACCTATTGTATTATCAGCCACGCATTATTAAAATCATGAGGAATTGCTATTGTAAAAGTGTTTGCAATAAGGAGAAATGGAAGTTGCATTTGAATCGAATAAAAATCTCATTTTTGTTTATAGAATTGACTTCCATTCTAAAAGAGTATAGAAAGTATCCTTCGGATTGGAGGTGGCTTTATTGGTCCATTAAAATGAGGAACTTTATTAGAGAGGATTACAATTATATGAATTATTGACTAAATATAAGTATCTATAAAATAGTTGAAACAATTTTAATTTATAAATCCCTCATTCATTTCTCTCTACATTTTTCATATGGTGCAATGATTATAATAAAAAAAAAGGATAAATTATAATTTATTAATGATCCTTTTATTTGTTAGTATATTATTCAATTTCCCTTCTTACTTTTCAATAGTTATTTATTTAGTCTTAATTAGCATTAAAAAATGAATTTATTTTTTATTAATGGACACAAGAAAATATAAATAATTATCGAGCAAAACAGAATATGTTCCAAGCAATTATAATGATCAAATTCTGGAAGATCAAGACACGATCCTCAAATATGATAAAATTAAAAACGATTATAAATATTTAGATGCCACCATCTTTAATCTTTGTGAGAAGATTGCGATTGGAAATAAACTCTAAGAATTATATTTTACAAATTAATAGCAATCATTAAATAAATCATCCCTGCCTAAATTTTTTAAGTTTTATGTGCATAACACAGGTTTTTTATTATCATTAATTACTAGCTCTTGTTCCGATTTTTTGCTTTTCTATTGTATTCATGAAGTGGAGAAAGACTCTCACATTACATAAAACAGTGTTATTACTTTGTGGATTGTCCTTAACTAATGAATTTTTCAAATACTAAAATTGTATTAGGATGGATGAAAATCTAGCTAAAGCCTATCAAGAACACACACAAGCATATGAGGATCTCTTTGGAAACCTTATCTAAACATTAACATACAAAGATGTTTTGAGACTCCTCTTTAACATTGATTTTACAAAAGAAAAATTACAAAGCGAATCGCATTATGATAATCTCTTAGTTGAAGATTTTGCAATGAATTATTATTGAAAATTCAGAAGTTCATTATAGTATTAAACTTATGCAATTTATTTACAAATATATAATATACATACTACACTATATCAAATTCAAAAAACTACCTTATCGCCCATGTTCAGATCAATTTTGAGCATGATACAATTCTGATAAAAAGGTCAACTCGCAAGTTCCAAGGAATTTTCAATGTAATACATGGAATTATTGACATTAAATTAACACATAAATCACCGATTTTGATATTCCAAATGGTTGAACTCTTTTCATAGCCTTTCTTTTGAACCACTGAATCAAGTAGAAACCATTCTATTTCTATTATTTTGAAAAGTTTCCCTTTTCTGTTTTTACAACTTCAATTTATTATATAAATCCAAAATATTTTAAATTAACATTTCCTTTAGAAATTTTTCAATTTTCCACTTAGGCATTTCCTTTTATTTCATTTTTAAACCGAATTCAAAATTGTAAATTTGTAAATAAATGTTTTGTTATTTACTATTTTCTTGCAAATCCTTAATCAATTATTTCAATAATTTCTTTATTGCATGCTAAAGGTAAAGTTCAAGTACCTATTATATGTGAATTTTTAAGTAGAACTTTTTATGACTAAAAATCAAAAGAAGATCCTCATTTGAAAGTTCAAAGCAACTGATCTGGTAAAAACAGTCAACAAAAAGCTATTTATTATGCATTGAAAAATAGATAAGGAATAATCAAAATTTAATTCTTGGCAGTTTTTTTTATTGCTTTTAGAAAATGAGATTACAAATCTTAGTTATAAAGATTATTCTTTACTTCTTCAATTATAAATTTCGATTTTTTAGAATTTTTTAGAATTTCGATAAAGTATATATTATTGATAACAATTAATTGTCGAAACGCATCATTATGGGAATTAAATGTTCTTAAACCCAAAATTCAATGGTATTATTATAGACTCTGCTGACTATTGATGAAGTAGAATAACAAAAGCATTAAGCTAATTAAACTTTAAAATATAGGTTTCCTGAAAAGTAGATTTTAGAAAGCAATAAAACTAAATTGCAATTGTAGAAAGAAGAAGAACACCCTCAATAACCTGAAGATCCAGGTAGTCCTATGTAGGCCATATCTGAAAAATCTTCGAAAATCTGTGTATAATCGTAATTTAATAATTCATGTCCTACAACTTTGAGATTAAATGCACATCAGACTAATGATTGTTCTTTTTAACACGATCAGAGATTAAGTATTAAAAAAATCAACTATTCTCCTCCAATATTAAATAATCAATATAAATAAAAATAAAAAGGGATAATAAAAAAAAGTAGATTTAATAGTGATTCCTAATCGCCAAATTCATCTCAAACTATAAAATCAGTTAGATTTTTAATAGCGGAATAAGTCAGAGTTAAACACAATTTCAAAAGAACCAGAAGCTTATAAAGACGGTAGTCTAACAAACGATCAAACAAATCGATTATTTATAGTAATTGTAATAATCCATTATATTACAAAATCGAATTGTGACAACTTTGAATATAAATTATTTTATCAAAAATTAATACTTATGCTTGATCAAACTCTTAAGTACTTTCCTTGATTGATTAATATTAGTCTTACTTTTAAAGATGAACATAATGGAGGCTTAGTTAGATTATATCATTTTAAAACAATTCCACATGCTTTAGTATCAAATAAATTTGAACACATAAAATAATACTTCCATATGCACTCTCCTGTCTTAGTCTCTGAAAGAGAAGACGAAAATGAATTTACTTGCAATAATGAAGATGAAGAAATCACTGGAAGAACCAGATCAAAGACTTAAGGGACTAAAAATACAATGAAGCCAAATAAACATCACGATTTGACTGAACAACTTGATTTAGCTATAAAACCAAAAGGATTACTAAAAAACCGCAATAATAAGGAGACGCAGAGTCAAAAAAAAGTCTCGTTTTCCATTCCATCTCATTGTACACTGGAATACAGATAAATTGTTTAAACAGCTATTAATAAATATTAAGTGAAGTAGAAGTAATGAATCTTAATGTTGAATATCATTTTAATTTGTATTCTATAAACTATTATTAAATTCTAATTATATTTTCAATACTCTATTAATGATGTCAATAGAAAAAGAAGATTAATAATTTACTCTTCTGAAAAAGATAATAATTAATAGTTGAATGAATCAGCATCCTCAAGGCTAATTTTAATTTATCAAAACCTACTTTCTAAAGAGTAGTATTGCCAGATAAATAACACCTGATAGTTCAGATGACATTTCCCCAGAGTATTATTGAATTTTACATTTAGATTATTGGATGAGCATTTCTAGAACGATATATCACACAGAAGAATCAAATCTGATGTAGTGCGATAAAAAGAAGCCGAAAAGCTTCTCTTAATCTAATAGTAGTATTCTTAACAAACAGATACCTCTACATATACCCAAAGCTTTATGTCATAGGGAATTTTGAAAAAATCACAACGAAGTAGAAGCAATAAAAGTTAGAGAAGAAAGTCTCATAATAAAAAAGTGCATTTTATATGAATAATTTGAGATTTAATAAACTTTTACTACGATTTGCAGTTACTATTTTTCTCTAATTCGATTATAAATATCATATCTTACAGGATATATTTATCCCAATTTAAATTATTTTCTAAGCTACTGTCCCAAAAATAATATGTATAATAGGATAACATATAAAATTCATTTTAAAGTTATATATTTCTAGCCTTATTGATTTTTTGTTTTTCTAGCCATTTTTTATTCAAAAAATTAATTAATACACTTCAAATCTAATTATCTCCAGCAAGATATTTGAATATTTGGTATTGATTAATCATTAAAGACATTCTTTATGATGAATATTTTAAAAGATTTAATTATTCAGCAATAACTAATAATTAAAACATGAAATCAGTATAGAACTTTAAAATTGTCTCAAACATGAAAGCGTACTTTTCAGATGCTATTCAATGTCTTTAAAAGAAAGTTGATGCTCCTGATCCTAGTTAAGACAGTATAAGTAGCGATCAAGTGCTATTGCCGGATTTAAAATCAATAATCTTAAACCAAAGTGACTTAATTAGAGAAGATTATGAAGGGCTTCGTCTTACTGAAACTCATTCAAGGAGCCTTACAACTAATTCTTCAAGTATATATTTATTTATAAATATCTAGGTAAACTTTTTATATTTGAAGAGCAATTCGTCAATATTCATTCCATATCTTCAGACTTAATATCTGATGAATTTTGAGATTTTCCATCTTTATTCTTCAATAAAAAATGAACTGTATTTTTTATTCATAATTTATCTGATTAATATTTAATTAAAATCATATACATTATACAAAGTCATACTTTTATTCCTCTACTCAATCTGCCAAAGTGATTCCATACTTTGATTTAAAATGATCATAAACTGGGAAATAGAATATAGAAAATAAGCTGCATTGAAATACTCTTGTGCCCAAACCTTTAAGGAATGCCTTTTTTCCTTCTTGATACCAAGCATCTTGCACCAACTTTTTAACTGACAATTATTGCTAACTACTATCGACAAGTTAGTATCTAGTAATGATAAAATCAACAGGATTGACTATGGCTGCAGCCAAGGCAGTTGAAATCATTGTTGCAATAATCGATTGATGAATTGCCAAAGGTTGATTGTGTAATTTTTGGTCAGCCCTTTATCTCAGGATCTCATATCTCAACAATTCATAGAACCACATCTGGAAAGTTGTGTAGACAACCACCGAAGCCATGTATAAATAAGATGCTTAGAATAAACGAATCCAACCTTCTTTTCTAGAAATTTCCATTAATCCTGAAAATATTCCTTTATAATTATATTCAGGAACATTCATCTACATTCTGGTTCTCAAGGTATCAAAGGGAATATAGGCTGTATAGTTATATATTTATACTTACGACAGACACAGCTTCAGCCAAAGGTGAAGTGATGAGAGGAATCAATAAGTTTAGCTTACTTTTCTCACCATTCTTCTCTAAGCCTTTTGTTAATTTAATTGCATAATAATTCATATACTCATAAGCCAAAAAATATGAACCATAAGGAATAAATGAACCTAATGATAAGTAAGACATTATACCCATCACTGTGGTAGAAAATCCTTTGAATAAATATTTAAATCCTTCATTCTTTACAATAAGATCATATCCTTGCCTCATTCCCAAGAACTCAGATTTATGAGCTTTGATTCTTGTTCCGATCGTGTCAAAAGGAAACATAATCATATCTCCAACCATAGATGCAAGACCTGAATAAAATGCTATTAATAAGGGATTGAACTCTTATTGCTTTTCTGTCATATATATAAAATTTAATTATTGGTAATTTTTATTATTGAAAATGAATTAAATATTCTAAAGGAATCTCCTCTATAGCATGAAACACACAACTATTAGAACTACGCTCTCAGTAATTAAAGTAGTACACTTCAAAATCCAATACAAGGCAATAATTTAAACTCAATTTTCATCATAAATATAATTATTTGATTCATATTACCAACTCAAATCTTTATAAATGAATAATGTTCATTTAAATTATCTTAATTATTTTTACTTTTTGATTAAAATAATAAGTGAGTTTAATATACTAAAATAGAAACAGATTTTTATATTTATTCTCTTCTGATACGTGCTCCTTACAACAGTTTATTTAGTCTAATCAATAATAAGGTTTACAATACTTATAATAAAACTAATATTAATTATTGAAAATATTTATTTATTTTTATATACACTAACCTACTTATGTAAGGTGATCAATAAAGTTAAAATTATCTAAATTAATAGTTCTATAAATCTACTGTCTAGCTTTATTATATGTCTGGTAACAATTATGATACATAAACAATATGATTTTACTTCTACACAATTCAGGTTATTTGAATAATTTTCAAAATTTGTTTTTATTACTACATAATATCGATTTAGCAAACTCTAAGTGAATAATCATTGTAATGAATCCCATCATTAGATTATCTATCAAGATTACTCTTTAAGTTATGCTCTCTTATAGTTATTAGAGAATATAAATTCTTATGACAATAAATCAATCATAATGTTATTAATAAAAATGCTAGTGTTATACTTGATAATACGAAACAGAAACACTTATTTCTATAAATAACAGTATTTTTGTAAACATATATGCATATCACATCTAAATTGTAAAGAGGCTAATTCAAAAAATTGAATCTAAAGTTTCATGAACGATTCTAATAATATAAAATAATAGTTATTAGCAAGATAGTTTCTTTATGACAAATTCTTTCTTATCAACTATAAAATTCACTATTAGGATTGTTCTTTGTTAAAAAATATGAAAAATTATTATTTTAATTATTAAATGCTTCCAATTAAATAACCGCATCAAAAAAGGGTAAGTAAGATGAACCAATTTAGCAAATAAGCAGGGCCATTTGTAATCTTTTTCACTGTCTTAATGCCTACTAATTGTGTGATTTTAGAATAATATGTAAAGATGAAGAATAAAATTAGTACTTTGATTTAAAACTAGATAGTGTTTCTTAAAACATACAAAATTTATTGATCTATTTGGTATACGTAATGGCAATGTGGTCATATTATCAAGCGATAACAATAAAAAACATTACTGCATAGAGAGCACCATTAGCACCTGATAATAGAAGAATTGATCCTATCTATAAAAATAATGCAGCTTGCACAGTATGCAATAAATGGAAACCTATCAGAGCTCATCATTGTTCTATGTGCTAATAATGCATATTAAAAATGGATCATCATTGCCCTTGGATTAATAATTGTGTGGGACTTAGAAATCACAGGGCATTTTATTTATTTACAATGTATATGACAGTACATGTTACTTAATTATGTTTAGATTGGGGCAATTCAATATAGTTGGGCATCTTATGTGTATTTTAAAGATCTCTATAGAAATGATCAAGGTTTTTTTTCACAACAAAGCACTTTTTTTTACTTGTATTGGACCTTTACAAGTTTAGTTTTATATCCAACTTGTGCTATGCTATTCTTTTTGTTTTGCTATCATTCTATTTTAGTTTTCACAAACTAAACAACTTTAGAGTAAATGAAGAATGGATCAAATGGTTGCATGTGTTGTTCAACTTCAGTAACAAAAAATAGTAATCTATATAATCGTGGATGGATAGCCAATGCAGCATGGTTTTTTAATTACTCATACTTATGGTTCCTCCCTTTTTAAAATGTTTATGAAACTGATGGTACATAATTGAATTCATTTATTTAAGGGACTTCTTATCCTATTGCACCACTATGTACATTTGCTGACATAGAAATTTATGATCCATCAGTTGGCAATGGACTTCCACCCAATACATAGATAGATTTAGAATAAATTGAACCAAAATTTTTAGATTATATTTAAACTGCAAAGGAAAAATATAAAGGGAAAAAAGTACAATTAAATGGCAAGGAAATTGTTCTTGCTTGAAAAGCTCATGTAAATGATTTTATATCATATAATAAATAAATCAATTATTTTTAATTCAGCATTGTGATTAACAAAATAGCGTTTTGATGGGTTTATGGATATTTTAATCTGCTTAATCTGAGATACATTATAGTATTTAAATATGACTGCAATTAGAGAGTTAAAAATATAAAATAATTCTTATAAAATTCAGCTTAAAATATTCATTTCAAGTATGATTATGATTATGATTATGATTATTCAAGATTTATCACCTTCAAATTTATATTTAAATTTTGTGAACTATCTTAATTTTCTTAGTTTTGAGGAGAAGATGATTGTAGCTTCCGTATATTTTTACTGACTAATAAATAGATTCTTTCATCAAATTCTTAATCTAAACTAAACTCTTTTTGTTGCAAGATATCTGTCTCCGAACTCAGCTATTGTTATTGATTTCTTATATATTAATTGTCTGATGGAAGCTGATTATAACTAATTAAATTACAATTTGATTAGTAGATTGGATGTTCTTCTCAGGTATTCCCAATTTATCAAATAGATGTTCTAGTTTACATTTTGTTTCTAAATACTTTTTAATTTGCTATAACCCTAAATGTTCCTATATTATTAATTGTAATCTAAAATTTGAAATATTAAAATTAATTACTTGGCTACTTCATTTTGTAAATTCAAATAATTCATCTTTTCTATTGCAATTTGATTCAATTTATTCAAAATTTCTTCTGACTTTTAAGTATCATACTCTCTTCCTTTAAAGTTGACACTTGTTATTTTGCTTAACCAATTCTTATTTATTTAAAAATCGGTAAAATCATGGTAGTACATACTAATTATCTCTCTCTAAGCTTTTTACTAACAAATGTTCTCATTGTATTTAGAAACTAAAAAAGAAATTGAAAGAATCCACGATATAATCGACCCAGTATCTGCTAGTATCTCAGATATTTTTGGATATTCAACATTGTTGACTAGTTTTATTGAATCTAAAGTAAAATATAAAAGGGAAATTAATTCTTCTCCATAAACCTTTTTTGAATATGCCCAATCATAAGTTGTCTGTAGTGTCTACACATCAGAGAGATAAGAATATTTGGTGTTTTTTGGTAAGAAAAATCCATCATCTAATTCTAATTCACCTGCTTATAATGTAAATTAATTTTAAAAAAGAGAACCTGGCATCATGTCAAATATAAAAAATTTTGGAACTTTTGTGAATTGCTTAGTTTTTGGATTGAACTACTCAATATATAATTAAACTTGAAAATAGTTCTCTTGATCATAAAATTAATTCTTAGTAGCTTCATCAGCACACTAATGTCCTTTCATTAATTGGTCTTATCTACAATATCCAAGGAATAATTAATATTCTCTCGAACTTATCTGAGATTAGGTAGGTGGAGATTTTATAATTTCAACACTATCAATAAAAAATTTATTGACAATTTTACCACTTTCTAACTATTCTTAGTCAAAACGAAGAGTTAGGTTTTATAACTATATATAATTATTGTATTATTACTTAGTCCCAATCATTAGGTACCAATTACAAAATTGGATTAAATATTAATTGTTTGGGATTAAAAGGATCGATCTAATTATTCAGTTTTTAAAAATAAGAAATCTCAATAAACACTCCGCTTTATACAATAGTTTAGTTAGCATCAATTTATTAATATAGTGATGTAATTTTAGGAAGCTTATTATTTGTTTGCCAATCAATGAATTGGAATAGAAAATATCCTAAGCTAACTCCATATAACGCAAGAGTTATTAATCCTCCTAAAGCACTTTTTTATGTAGGGTTAATTGGGGGTATTTACAGTTTTTACTCAACTCCAAACTGATCTATTGATTGCAAAAAGTATAACATTTATTAAATATATAATAAATCTTATCATTTTATTCTATAGATTTATTATGGCTTATATAAAAAGATTATATATTCACATTTTGGACCATTATTTTCATCATATATTGTTCATCTAATCCTAGCGTTTAAAAGATTAAAAAAGCAAGAAAATCTGAAAATGTAACTGATTATTGTTCTTAATGATAATAGTTGAAAATAACATAAATATTTACTCTTAAATGCGCTACCTTACCTGAACATAATTAAATTAATAATATTTTAGGATTAACATTTTATAGAATATGCAATTAAAATAATTCTTATTAATTAATATTAATTGTTGTCAAAATAGTTAATTTTAAAGAAATGCACTAAAAAAATAGCAGAACTGCTGGCTTTTGATATAGAATAACAAATACATAATAAAGGAAAGGGTTTTTTTATTAAATTTGATGATGTATTTTGTATTATAAATTTAATATTAATTTATCTTGGTTAATTCATTTAACATCTACAGATTTTTCAAGGTTACTTACTTTCAAATATGTATTTAAATTTTAAAATGACTCCTTTACTTACAAGTTACTATTTAATTATTTAAATCCACTATTTTCTTGTTTCTTAATATCTAAAAGCCCCATTCTTGATTCTAATTCTTATTCTAAAATTATAAGCTTATTAGGCCTTGTTTCATTCTCAGCATCTAGATTCAATTATGATACTCCTTCAGATTACTATTCAATTTAAGCTTGCTTTGATTGAAAAAATAAATACAATTTAATTTATTGCCTGTTATGAAGTTTTTTCAGGTATTCCTAATTGATCAAATAGTTATTCTAATTGATATTTTGTTTCTAAATATTTGTTAATTTACTATAATCCTAAATGTTCCTATATTATTAATTATAATCTATAATTTTTTAATAAAATTTAATTACTTGGCTACTTCATTTTATAAATTTAAATAATTCATCTTTTCTACTGCAATTTGATTTAATCTATTCAAGATTTCTTCTGATTTTTAAGTATCATACTCTCTTCCTTTAAAGTTGACACTTGTTATTTTGCCTATCAAATTCTTTTTTATTGAAAAATCAGTAAAATCATTAAAATACATACTAATTACATCCCTCTATGTTGATTCCAAACTTAAACTTTCATTATAATTTGAGACTATAAAAGAGATTGAAAGAATCCAAGTTACTATTGAACCTGTATCTGCTAATATTTCTGATATTTTTGGATACTCAACATTGTTTACAATTTTTATTTAATCTAAATTAAAAAATAAAATTGAAATTAATTCTTCTCCATAGATATTTTTGGAGTACTCTTAATCATATTGAGCACTAACAATCTATAAATCGGAGAGAAATGTGTATTGATTTGAATTTGGAAATAAGAATCCATCGTCCATGCTCAACTCCCCTACTTTGAGGATAAATTGAGTGAAATAAAGCTAATCTTTTATCATATCGAATATAAAATATTTTGGTATAAGTTTTAATGATTTTGTTTTGGGATCAAATTGCTAAATGTAAATAAAGACTTAAAAGAAATTAGTTTGGCTAAAGAATTGATCAATTGTATCTTGATTAGCACAGAATTGTCCTTCCTAAAGCAATTTTTTATTGCAGTAACCCAAAGATAATTGATAGTTAATCTATTAGCGTACCAATGAATTAACAGGAGAGCTGGATGGTTCAATGTCTTAAATAAGAAATTTGTTGATTATTTTCCCATTTTCTAATTATTCCTAATCAAACTTAAGAGGCATGCTTTAGATCTATTTAATAACAATATAGGTATACATTTTATCTGTCATAAGGAATGACTTTTAAATTAGGTTAAAATATAAGATTTTGAGGATTAAAGGGGTCAATTGGATTATTTAATGATGGCAGATAACTTATTTCTGCAAATACTCCTTCAAGCCTTAATTGTTAAGCATAATTAATTTATTCTTGGATAAATGTGACTTTAGGAAGTTTATTATTTGATTGCCAATCTAAAAATTGAAAAAGGAAATATCCCAAACTGGCACCATATAAAATTAATGTTACTAATCCACCTAGAGCACTTTTCTATGTGGGTTTTATTGGAGGGATTTATAACTTTTACTAGACTCCAAACTAATCAATCTATTGTAAAAAGTATAACATTATTATTTAATAAAATCATAATATAAGTTCATACCCATATATATTTACTCTATTATTAAGATTTATTATTTTTGGAATTAGACAAATTCCCTTTCCACATGCACATTAAAGTTGCATCATACAATAATATTATAATGCATCTTATAACTGTTGGGAAATTCTAAATTCTGATTAATTTTCTGGTTCTATTTGATCTGGAGTAAGAATTTTTGGTTCTACGTAATTGAATAAATGCTAACTCCATTTCATATTGAATTCAATATAACTTATATTTAAAAGTATAGAATATAACTTTAGATAATTTGTTTAATATTGATTTCTTGTATATATCGATCATAATCATGCTAGTGGTTTAGCTGATTAAACCAATAATTGCTTTAATTGGTTGACATAGGTACTATTTAACAATGCAACATCCACTATGACTGCACTGACTAAATATGGATCAATATTAGCAGCTGGTCTTCTGTCTTCCAAATAACTATTAAAATAACGATGTTGAATACCCTGCTCCTAGTTCTTTAGTTATGACTGGAACTCTGATGGATCCACCTCTAGAACCGTCACCCCAAGAGAATTAATCATAAGAACTGGTTTCATGATGACCTGTTAATCTTTTTTCATTATTTGCTCCATAAAGTTTTAAAACTTCTTTGTGAGTATTACTTAATAATGGAATCAATTCATCGACGATATACTTATATCCCCCTTCTCCTCTTGTTTTGATATCAGAATAGTTAGTGTGGGCTCCAGAACCATTCCAATCTCCCAAGATGGGTTTGGGATCATAATTAATATCAATACCGAATTCCTCGCCTAGTCTCTCCAGAATATATCTAGCCAGCCATAGGTGATCTCCGATTTCGATTCCTTCAGCAATACCAATTTAGAATTCCCATTAAGATGGAGCAACCTCTGCATTGATACCTGCAATTTTTATCCCGGCATTCAAACAAGCTCTGAGATGTGCCTCGGCTAAGGCACGTCCAAAGTTGTTTCTTTCCCCAATAGAACAATAATATCGTCCTTATGGATATGGGAATCCTCCTGTGGGCCATCCAAGAGGCCAGATATGAGTTGTTCCTGTTCGTTTTAATAAGAAATATTCCTATTCGATTCCAAACCAGGGTTTGAAATCCTTAGCTTTTTCCATGATCTCATGAGCAATCCATCTAATCATAAATAATAAGAATTACCTGAAGTTATATCTGGCTGGAGTCTTTTTGTCTGGTAGGTATGTTTCGCACAACACCAAAATATGAGGATCACCTCGGAAGGGATCTTTCACATATACTACAGGTTTCAAATAAATTTCGGACCATTTAGTGTTGGCTTATTCTGTCGAGGAGCCATCATAGGTCCACCATTCAAGGTCTGAAATTTAAGTTATTGGTGTTAGATATACCTTGATAATTATTATAAAAAAAGTACTTTTGTTTTTGATCTCATTCTCTCTCCAGTTCCATCAATCCATATATATTCAGCCAAGACTTGAGTAACATTCTGATTTAGTTTATAATAGTTAAAATCACGAAGATGTTCAACAGTCTCAGTCATACAGGATTTAAAATTTAATCAAATATTCAATTGAAAACGTGTATGGATTTTGGAATTTAACTGATTTTATAATTGGTCATATAATAATAATCACTTTAATTTGATATCTAATATTGCTTATTATATGTAATTTTAAAAACAACATTACGTTTTTTAATTTTAATAATCAATTATAGGAACTAAATCAGTAATTAAGACCTTTTTAAAATAATATTTCACAAATATTTCTATTGTTAAACCTTGTAAAATATTCTAATTAAAATAGTTCTAGGCTTCAAAATGGAATATCTGAAAATCTTTATTGTATAAGTGTCTTTATTATTTTATAGATTTATTGAGAAAATTGATATTTAAATGTGTTCAATAGATATGTTGTGAAATTATTCAATGTTTTTTTCATTTACTTTTTTGGTTCCTTTTGTTCTACATATGGCACTATTGCAGAGTTTAATATTAAAAATATCAGATTATTATAAAAAGAATTGCAACTTCATCTATGTAACTAAAACTGATGGACAATCATTGAAAAGACTACTTCTAACATATAATTTTCAATTCATTATGAAAAGTTTAATGCCATGAAATTAAATTTACGATTTAATTTAATTCTTAATAAATTTCCTAAGTTAATTTGATTCATCTATTCTACACATAGACTTAGTATTTATTCAATTGTGGTAACTTTAGTATAAATAATTGAAAATTTAGTGAGAAGATCGATTTATTTTATAGAAATGTTATAATGTATTATTTTTAATATTATTATTATAACGGATTGATAACAATAATATGAAAAGTGTTCTCAAGTAAATAGCTAAATCTATTAATCAGTTAATCAAAATAGCCTGTAATGCTCCATGCATCCAACAGTATAAATAAAATTGCAAAAAACGATTTTACAGTAAAAGATTGTGACATACCAAAAATTAATAAGATTCCAACATCAAAGAGGATTCAGACTAAACCAAAAGAAAATGCTGTCAGTGAATACAATGTAATCACAAGATGCGTGACCGAATAAAGAAAAAGCTCTGGTATACTTATTTTTTTATTAGTCACGGAAAATAGTATTAGTGAATTTAAAGAATAAAACAAGATTCCTTCTTATTGTCTGAAATGGTTGAACTATAAATATCAAAAGAAAGTAAAAACCTCATTTACATAGGAATTTCTGCAATTAGAGTAGCAATTTTAAAAAATTCTATAAATTAAGCCTGAGAAAGATATTGTTCATCAAATAGAACGAGATCTTTCAAGAACAATCAAGGCAGAGAACTACCATAAAGAAATAAAAAATATTCTGACTGCTTATTCTGTTTACGATCCCAATATTGGATATGTCTAGGGAATGAATTACATTGTTTCAATTCTATTCAATCATGCAAAATAAGAGTGGATAACCTTTTGGCTTTTTGTCAATTTAATAGAATAAATGGAAATTCGAGATATTTTTTAATTATCGCTTAATGCTATCAACAAATACTCAAAAATTTTGGATTTTCTTTTGAATAAATTTGTACCTAAAATTTATCAAAATTTATCTTTAAAATAAGTAAATACTGAATTATTCATATAATAATGGCTACTTAGTTTACTATTGTAGTTTATTCCATTTGAATATACTTAAGTTTATTTGGATGGATTATTCAAATAAGGAATATCATATTTTTATACAATAGCATTAACAATCATCAAGGCATTTGATAAAGCAATCCAAGAAGAGGATTAAATCGAAATCTTAATTTTGTTAACTTCAAAATAATATGTAAGATGATTTACAAATATAATTAGAGTTAATTGAAATGGCAATCCATTTTTGTATACTAATGGGACATCAATCCAGGCTAATTGAGAGTGCTATTAGATTGTTTTGATAGTGACACCAATTCTTTTCAAAAACCTAAATTCTAAACGCATTGCTCATAGCTTACAACAAACTTCTTCCAATTTATTAAAAATAGTTGAATTCTATCTGTTATATGACTATTCCATTTTCATTATATTTCATATTTCAAATCTAATATGGCTACAGAGTTGCTGCACAAAAATTGCAGATATGATGCTCATACAAAGTTGTATTAAAATAACGATGTAGTACTACTGAATTTTTTATATTAATTAACTATCGTATAAAGAGAATAAGTTTTCAACATTTTTGATGATTATTAACAAATTTATTCAAATTATTATGGGAATATTAGAGAAAATCAAGAAGATTATGTTCCTATAGTCATGAGGATACCAAGATTGAAATTCAAATGGATTGAGTAGAGCCAAGCTTGCAATCATTAAAGAAACAACTTTCAGTTCCATCTAAATCAACAAAGAAGAGAGTTGAAATTCAAAAATAAGTAATTACTTAGGAAACATTATAGGACTAAAAAACTTGGGGTAGCAATAATATGTGCTTAATTTCTGTTTTCATAACATATAAAGTTATTCAAATGAATAAGAATGAAGAATTGCCAACTCCAGTAATTCAAAATTTTAAGAGTAATCTATTTTTTGTAAGTTGAATTGAATGAAAAATTTCAGAAGATTGAACTCGCAATAACTCAAACCATTAATCCTTAATTAGGCGTTTTAAAATTGATTAGGAAAATATATTTAATATCATTAAATTAATTAGGAAATTCTTACATTTGCTTTTTATAATAAAAAAACAATCTATTTATAAAAGTTATATTGCTGTTGATCCAAGACTTAATAGACACTTACTAAATCTTAAGTTTATTGAGTTATGGACTGATTTCTTGGATTTTCTATTATTAAATTTAAGATTTCAAGAGCAAACAAGCAATACTCTTTTTATTTCTATTGTTCAGCAGTATATTCTTTTTGTTTTAAAGCTACTTCTATTAAATATTTTATCTTAGTCAATTCATTTATTAGTCTTCTCTGTTTTTAGTCTCTAGTTTCTATATATTAATTCATTGGTTCAGTGCAGCAAATGAAGAGGTCCAAATATTTATCATCTTATGGTTATTTACTTTGTTTATTATTTATGCAGAAGTTTAGATGATTGTTTGCTTACTTTATTGAAATGAATTAATCACACATAGTACAATATATATACTACATCAAATCTAAGGCTTCTTAATCTTATCTTAAAATTCTTTAATCTCCATGATTAGGTTTATTATTAATTTAGAGGTATTAATTTTTTATTGGATATTTTTGACAGAGATATTAATAAAATTAATCATAGCCTAAATTACCATACAAGTCCATGATATAACTTTATTATGATTCATTGAGTATATTTTAATTTTAAACTTCTACCGGAAGAATTTATTCATTTTTATTTCCATTTTGATATTCAAATTATGAAGTATTAAGTATTTATTGCTATTATTATTAATATTATTGATCTTAATATTATTGTTATTAGTATTATTATGGTTATTGTTATTGTTATTAGTATTATTATGGTTATTGTTATTAGTATTATTATGGTTATTGCTATTGTTATTATAATTGTTATTGTTATTATTGCTGCTGTTATTGTTGTTGTTATTGCTACTGTTATTATTATTACACAACATGCTGTGTTGATTTATCTCTGCTCAAATTAATATTGGATAAATCAAATATTTTCTCTTTTTAATGGATCTAACTTGGTTATTATTAATGAAAATTTTAAGGAAGACTTTATTAAGAATTTTACCTTCTACTTGGTGGCGTTTATTATTAGTGAAATATTTAATATTCTATGTCATTATTAAGTATCGGTTATTTTTCGATAGATATTTCTTTAATATGCTAGCCTTAATATGGCTCTGTTACCCTTGATTTATTAATCACTTATTATTCAAAAATAGGCTTATGCTTATGTATTGGAATAACCCCTAACTAATTTAAAGAAGATTTTTAATTTTAATCTTAGTAATTCATTGATAACTCATTTTCTGGTTAGGCGCTAACATTCATAGGATAATATGAATTTCTTTAATCCACAATATACTCTTCATTAGTAATGAGAATTGGACTTTTATTTTGATGCTCTCGCTAAATATTCATTTAGTATCTCGCAGATTATATCTTGTCGTATTAAGGTGTAGACACATTATATTTACGTTGTTAATCTGAGTAATTATTGTATGGAAACTCTATGATGCCATAATTTTATCTTAATTAATTGAAATACTGCACTTATGGAGTGTTTTATGAATGATTAGTCGATAGCAATGGTGTGTGTTATTTCTGTTGTTACACACTGTTGTAATTAGAACTGAATCTTTGATGACTTGTAGGGGATAAATAATTCATTTGTATTCTTGAATTGACTGGCATTAGATCATGATTCTCGTATTTCTGTTGTTTATAGCTATCCAAGGTTTGCAGATCCTCTAGAAGTTACTATTCCTATTAATCTATTTAATCATAATAGTTTTCAGATGTATTTTATTTATGCCCATTAAATGATTGCTATTTATTAGCTTGTTGTCTTTATGCAATTGCAGACAGCATTTAAATATTTTGTTCTCTTTAAGATTTTAATTCTTGTAGCAACTATTAGTAATCTTAGCGGGATGAATACTGAAGCTAATTTATATTGTTAGTTAATTCATTATAAATGTTGTCGATTTTTGCAACAATCTATTGATATTTGACATGATTGTCAGTTCTTTGAGAGTACATTTCCTGTTCTAATTCGGAATACTGCATCATTAATTAATTGTAATTATTGCTAATTTATTGTTATGGTGAAACTTAGACGTGTTGTCTTGGTGTTGAAAATGTCTGATTATAAATTGGTTACATGTATTGAAAATAGTGAATTTAAGGAGTGTTAATAAAATAAATTTATTTCAGCAATAAAATATCGAAATATATGTATATTTACATGTAATAATACTTCACATAAACTCAACTAAGGATTTAGATAAATAAATTAATTAAGTTTCAATTTTTGCTGCTACTGTTAGAAGTGTGATATGACACAATTCATCGGCTGATAGTTATAGTTAAATTTACTCAATATGAGATTTTGATATCACATTTGGAGTCCAAATAAGTATTTTTATGAATTATTTCAATTATTGTGGGAGTAGCTTCTCCATCTTTCATAATAAAAATATGTGATTTATGAATACCTATGCCCAATAATCAATGTCTTCGTGTTGATATCTGAATTGTCCTTCTCCATAATAACGTATTGCTTTTCTGAAGGCAGTGGTTGCCACTTCCTCATTTCCAAATGAATTTCTTGTCATATGTTTTACTTCTTATAATAGATTATTGATAGCATCTGCTCCTTCTAAAAAGGCTTCTTTTAAAACAGGATAGCTATTCAATTAAAACGAATATTCCTAATAATTTCTAAAGATTTTACTGAAGATCTCAAAACACTTTTGCTTTCGCAATAAGTTAATTCTGAGTGTGAAAAATGTTTAGAGAACTTTTCATCAAAATGTAACTTTAGTTGTTAATCTGTTTCTTCAACATAAAAACTGTATGATTAAGAGGTTTTTTATCTAATTTGAATTTGCATATGAGCTTCTTCAGGAGGAAGCTCATCCTCAAGTAGTGCAGATTGCTTAAGTTCTTGGAGTATGGATTCATTTTGGATAAAGTCAATCAAGGATTCATGTTAGCCATATTGAACGCTGTTATTCACAGAGTTGTTATCAACAGCGGCATCCATTTCTTTTACTAGGCCATTCCCCAATGAAAAACTCCCCAAATTATTGTAGAATATGAATATCATCAAGGCTTACACTAATTCTTTTCTTCTCCACTTGCCTTTGAGTAATTTATGCAATTCTTTGGAGAGTTGAGGATCCCATGGTTTAGTTATCAACAGTTTACATATGGGATCTAATTATTAAATGTGAGCATCTACGCAGTCATAGCCTACTTCTATCCAGTTCCTGTCTCCCTCGTTTAGATAGAATATCTGCGAGAGTAATAGGTATAATTATTCGCACCCAGATGCAGCTGCCCCCTAGAATATTGAGAATATGCATACCATTATGGCCAAATAATATTTTTCATCTTGCAATAGTTTAGTCTTGGTATTGAACAAATTATCGAGTAGAAAAGTGTAAGATTTTAATAATTTAGGAAACCACAGTAAAGGAAATTCATGCAATCCAACTCTTCCATAATTAAAATTAAATATCTTGAGCAAATGATCTTATAAATCTTAGGCTTTTAAAGCACCAATAACTGGCCAAGGCAATTGGAGGATCTTACCATCAATAAATTCATTGGCCACTTTCATAGAAGGAAATTGATTAAAAAACTTTGACACTTTGTGATGTTTCGGCTATTTTTTGTTGATAATTAATACAGAAATATTATATTCGGCTGCTAAATTCTCGTACAAACTTACAACTTAGGAAAGAGGTGTTTGATTGATCACAACAGCCAATTTGGCTTCCATTAAATTTCGAATTGATTAATCTTAACAACCCTGTAATTTTTCAAATTGCTAAATGCATTGATCTAGCATTTACTCGTCTTCATCTTTGTTCGTTAGATATTCAGGAAACGCTAGACGCACATCTTCATTTTCTTAATCCATTTATATATAAATATATATAAATATATTCTTTTTTTATTTTGTACAATAAACTCATTATTATTCATTTTCAATTAAGGCAGCAGCACCCATACCAGTAGCAATACACATAGAAATGACACCATACTTAGCCTTCTTTCTCTTCATTTCTGGTAATAAAGTGGCAACTTACCTGGCACCAGTACATCCTAAAATTAATCATTCGTCATACCTAATGGATGTCCCAAAGCAATAGCACCACCCTTTGGATTAACTCTGCTTGGTTCAATACCAATCTTTTCAACTGAGTAAACAGATTAACTGGCAAAGGCTTCATTGATTTCATAGATGCAGATGTCATTTGGTTTCAAAGCATTTTTTTACAATAATTATGGGATGGCAGCAGCTGGTCCAATACCCATGATATTGGGTGGTACACCAGCAACAGTGTAATCAACAAATCTTGCTAAGATTGGTAATCCCAATTTCTTGGCTACAGATCTTCTAGCTAAAAGAACAGCAGCAGCACCATCAGTGACTTATGAGGAGTTACCGGCTGTTGTTGATCCATCCTTTCCAAAGGCAGGCTTCAATTTGCCAAGGCCTTCAAGAGTAGTTTCCTTTCTGATTCCATCGTCTTCTGTAACAATGACTTCTTTGGTCTTGTCCCCATCTTTAATGAAGGTCTTGACTGGAATTATTTCATCCTTGAATAACCCTTCTGATTATGCTTTGTAAGCCTTTTATTATGATTCATAAGCAAATTTATCTTATTACAATCTTGTGACTCCAAATTGGGCTGCAACATTCTCAGAGGTTTATCCCATACCCAATAAGCAATCTCTTGCACATGGATGATCAAAGATAGCATCACTGAGTAATTCAGCGTTCATTTGACTTTACATATCATACATAGTCATTTGTTCAACTCCAGCTCCAATACCAATATCCAACATGCCAGATCTAATTTTGGCAGCGATGACAGCGCATGCTTCAATTCCTGATGAACAGAATCTATTGATTGCTGTCAAACAAGTTGTATCTGGGAATCCAGACAAGAAGGCAGCCATTTTAGATACAATGGCACCACTTCCAGGTTGATTGACATTACCAACAACGATGTCTTGGATCAATTTTGGATCAACCTTAGTTCTTTCCAAAAGACCTGTGAAGGCTGTGCTAAGGAGGATTTCAGGAGGAGTGTCTCTCAATAATCCTCTTTTGGCTTTGGTCAAAGGGGTTCTGACAGCACCACAAATGACAACATCGTTATCACTTCTTGGTGGGACAGGTGTACAATTATTGACTTAAGCACTGAGATGTTGGACTCTTTGCATGAATAAGATATTTTATTTAATTAAATTGCAAATAATTGTTTTTGTATTTGGATAAATCTCCATTCCTAAAATTAGAATTCATGGAATGTTAATTGGGACATACACAAATGGGAAGAAATCCTCAGTGTCCTCTAATTCTTCTTTCGTTCCATATAATCCTACTTGAGAAGGATCAGCAAACAATTTCAAAAGGGATTATTGAACCTTCTTCTCTTTTCCTTGATCTGGCTATGAGATTACATAGAATTTATTCATACTTTAAGAATGCATTAAATATTTGGTTCAGCTGCTCCAAATCTCATAGCAATATCCACAACTAATCTGAGAACCTTCAAATGCATATATGTAATGTATAAGTCACTAAATGCTTTTTCGCATGCTTATTTTAATGTAGTCTATATAATTTATATGGATGTTCTGATACATTCATGTGATCTGATTTAGACTTGAGATCCAATCTCAATTTTTCTCTTTCTTTTGATTCTTATGATTTGTATTCAAATTCTTTAACAGTAATTCTCAATTTATCTCTTGCCTTTTAAATGAATTCCTCGACTGGAGTTTACTTCTACTTTTTTCCCTTGTCATCATCGCCTTTATCAGCAACATCGATGTCATGATCCTTATCGAAAGATTGCTTAACAATCACAACTCTCCAAATTGTCAAATTATCTTTATCTTCAATTTAGAATTATCTATATATTTATTGTCTAATAAATACCTTGCTGATTATGGCACAACATTTTCACATAAAAATTCATAACAAGCCAACCATTCTTGAATCTATGTCTTTGGTACAATAGCAACCAAAGTTGTTAGATAATCGCTGTAAATGAAATCTCTTGGTTTGACGATGGGTTCTTTTAAGACATCAACCAAGTCCCTCACCAATAGATTTCCTTCCTTCCTTGCCACTTGTTAACTCTGATTCTTCAATTCCTAATAACTTGTTGATTTTTGCCTCAAATCTGTCTCCACATGGGTTGCTCTCTAATCAGCATAAATAAATTGTTTACGGATGAAATTGCCTTGACTAATTCGGTTAATGCTGATGCTCTTGGGAAGGTTTGGTCATTCCATCTGAATTAGAATAAGAAATTCTCAATGCTCTCTAAGAATAATATTTCTTATCATACATGGACCCTCTTTCAATTCAATTATGAAGTCATAACTAACCTTCTCTGTGACATCCAAATACTATCTCTCAATCTTCTTAAGCAAACTCTCCACAACTGATTCCTATTTCAACAAACTATCATTGATGAACATCAAGTGATCCAAATTCCCCAACTTGAATTTTCCTATCTCTGTCTGCAAAATTCTTCCCTTAGCTTACCTCGATATCCCAGAAGTCAGAACGTGTTTCTCCATCTCCAACCAAGCCGTCTATTCGTTAGACTTGTGAGGAGCACCAATCAGATAGTATACCATGTGTTATATTAAGATATTTTAATTTAATCTGCAAATAATTATTACTTATCCACACATTATCTCCTCATTTTATCATCTAAGTCCTTTCTTCTCCAATCGTCGCATGATTTGATAATTATCCCTATTTATAAAATAATAGCACTCTATATGCCTTATAAATCACTTTATACACTATAGCAATTAAATATAAATCAGAATTTATGTTAACTTTTTATTATAGTAACATACCTAACCTAAATATAATTACTACAATAAATTAAATTCATCAAATTCTTATCAAATGAACATATAAATAAAATTTATGAACCAAGTAAAAATTATATAAAAAACAATTACTTCTTTACTAAATTATTTGTTTGTTTGATTCTAAATTAGCACATGATGCTATTTGTTAAACTGAATTATATATTAATAAAATAAAATGTTAAAATTAGTCAAAAATGTGTATCAAAAGGTAAGACCTATTGTTAATACTTTTGATGACTTATAACGTGTTATTTAAGTTACCAATTTATTGGAAAATAAGAAATTATAAAATATGTTTATACTCGATAAAAACATACAGATTCATATCTGTTCAACATGGTTGGATAACATTTGACGTACATGGCAATAAATAAGGGGGAGGAGGGCAAGTTAAAATCGGATAAAATATTTAAAAGGAGGGAAAGTTATTCACTGGACTCATTTAAGGATAACTGTTCGTACTCATTGGTAGCATGTATTATTAAGTATTATTCCAATAAATTTAAACTGAGTAATCTTGAGAATGAATTTCATCTATTTTATTTTGTTTTTAATCAGTCTTTGTTATTTTTACTTATTCTGGAACAATGTAATACGGGTTCTTAACTCCATAATATTTCGATCTAAGATAAGAATAAAATCGATTCTTTATGCTATTTTCCGATCTCCCATTCAATTGTTTCTATATGGCACTCCATTTCCCACCAATTTTTTTATATATTTCTATTAATTATTCATCCTCTTCTAAGCTCCAAGGCTCATTATTCAAATCTGGGTGCAATTGGTTCAAATAGTGCTCTCTAATTTATTTACCTGATCTATTTGGCATTAATTTGGCGATTCTACTCCAATGATAGCCATATTCTTTGACTAAACTCTTTAGTTTATCATCTTCTTCTGAAGTCCATTATCTTCTCAGCTTATAGCCTTTGATTCGCTTCCATCTCTGAGCACATTGTGATGGATTTCTCCCTCCAATTCGGCGAGCGACTTCAATCCAGTCCAATCCCATGCTTTATCGCAATTCTTACAATTGATGATCTTCTTCAATGGTCCAAGCCTTACGTTAAGGGGCTATTAAGTCAGATGGTAACATTCTCCTAATAAATTTATTTTTGTTTTACTTAATCAATCAGATATCCCTTTTAATATCAAAATTCAGTTATTTCAATACTCTTTTTTAATTCTTTATTTAAATTTAACAATCGTTCAGTGATATATCTTACCTTCATAAACTAAATTTTATGAATAGCTTACAAATGTCACGCTATAAAGAATTTAGAAATTCAGATGGGACATTATATTTTGAAATTTCTTGTTTAATATTAAATAAAAACAGCTATTAATTACTGTAGATCGTGAAAAAGGGAAATCCCATTACTGGACATCGCGTTCTAATGATATGATAACACAATATAGGAGTTCCCTAGTTTTTTTCATTGCACCAAAAATAATAATATTTATTAGTTTCTCATTCCATCTTAAAATAAATTAAAAAGAACATGATTAAAGATGAAATATGATGCTCTGTCATACTAAGTGTCAGTCGACTACTCTCAGTCTGTAAAAATCATTTTTGGCTAAGTTTATAATATATCATTCATTAAAATTAGAATAGGGGAATATAAAATTATCAATTAATTTTAATACAATTAATTAAAGTTATTATCTATTTTAATTAAATGACTTTTATATTTTGACAATGGATTAAGTATAAATAATGAATAAAACAATTTTAAATGGACTAAGTAATTTTTAGAAATATTAAATTACAAATAATAGTAATCTTGAATCAATTCTTTTTACTAATTCAAAAGAAGAAGATATATAGATTAATGGAATAATAATGATAATGATGCAAATATAATAATAATAATGCAAATATAATTGATATTGATCATTAAATGGGTCTTTTTGATTTGTAATATTCTATTTTATTATCTTTTTTTTCAAAGTCTTCCTTAATTAGTTGTTCTCCTAGTCTGGCTAGGTCCAAATAATGAATTTAAGTCTAACATATGTTCTAGGATAGTTATAATTACTTACTTCTGATAAAAAGGTTTTAGAGGCTTCTCCTTGTTCTAGAAGATCATCTATCATTTCATAATCTTCAATTTTTTCAAGTTCACACTTCATCATGTATTTATCAAAGTTTGTATTGAAATCTAGACATTTGTCATCAATATCTCTTAAGGACTTCAAATGCAGGTATAATTTGTAGGTTGAATCAAATTATTAAATTACTTATAAATTTTGAACTAGAATTTTATTGCTTGCTAATTCATTCTAAGTTATTTAATTAACAATCATTTGCTAATACTTCAATTGATCATATTTTGGTTGAAGTATGCCTCTCAACTTATCCAAAAATATTGGATGATAAATTAAGTCCTTTTCCCATCTTCTAATTACAGCATAGGCCTTCTCCAAATCTGCAATATCATCCACTTAACTAAACTTAAATTCACTAATTACTATGCATAATCTATGATTAACTTCTTCAATTTTTGACCGAAACACTTCACATAGGGATAATCCATTCTTTTGGCATTTTTTTCATCAAGGATGATCTAATGAATGAGGAACAAATAGAGTTTCTTTCTCTCCTTCCTTGCACTAATGAACTCATTTTCAATAATGAAGGCAACCATGCCGCTGTGTTCCGGGAAAGTGGAACAATAATTTGAAGTTTCTAAAAAATATGAAAAGGTTTAGTCTTACATTTAATAGAATCCTGTAATTCAGTAATTTCCCTCACCTGTCTCTCTAATTGTTTGATGTCCATTGTGGCAAAATAAAATAATATTTTTGGATTAAATTATCACTTTAAATATTCTTCAAGTTTTAATTTATCAACTAAATATTGTGTCTGCTCAAAATATTAGAGCCATATTAGAAATACGTCGACACAAATTCTAATTAAGTGAGATGAATAATTGGAATCTCACTTTCATTAATAAAATAATATGTAATGAAATAAATGATATTAATTGCATTCAAATAATAAAATATGAAAAAGATATCTTATAGTTTCACCTAGTTAATGAAATTGCATTTGCATGATTATCATGTCAATCTCAAAGCCAAAATGGTTCCATTTGCTGGTTATGATATGCCTGTCCAATATCCACAAGGTGTTTTGAAGGAGCATCTGTATTGCAGAGAGTCATGTGGATTGTTTGATGTATCACACATGGGACAAGTCAAAGTCTTTGGAGAAGACAGAATGAAATTCGTAGAAACCCTCACCACTGGAGAATTCCAAAGTATGTATTATTGTCATTAATCAATCAATTAGCAAAGAAATCAGGACAAAGCGTATTGTGCTTGATTTTGAATGAAAAAGCAGGCATCATTGATGATACAATAGTTGCTAAAAGGGATGATCATATGTATCAATTTTTATTCAATATAAAAGTCACATCGTTGTAAATGCTGGCAACAAGTTTATCGATATGAAACAAATGGATAAAATCATTAAGGATTATAACTACAAAGTCTAGTATGAGTATCTCAAAGACAAACCTTTGATAGCTGTCTAAGGTAGTAATATGAATCTATTTTTAGGACCAAATGCTCACAAAGTTTTGAACGAAGTCTTCGGAACAGAATACAATTTAGACAAGATACCATTTATGTTTATGGTGAATATCTAGAAGAATGGAATAGACTATCAAATCAATAGATGTGGATACACAGGTGAAGATGGCTACGAAATATCTGTTGAGAGTTCTAAAGCATAAGAATTATGTGAGAAATTATTGGCAACCAAAATGGCTTAATTCTGTGGTTTGGGAGCCAGAGATTCATTACGTCTAGAAGCTGGATTGTGTTTACATGGCCATGAAATGGATGACACCATCTCCCCTTATGAAGCCAAATTAATGTGGACTGTCAGAAAACCCAATGTATTTGATTGTATTTAATAATGTAGAAGGAGACTGGAAAATACAATGAATCTGCTGCCTTTATTGGTAGAGATGCCTTACCCCAAAGACAAAAGGATGCCAAATTCAAAAGAATGGGTTTCATTACCCAATCAGGAATTGCTAGACCACCTTGTGACATTGAATTCTAAGGACAAAAGGTTGGTTCAGTTACAAGTGGCACTTATTCACCTAATCTAAAGAAAGGTTTAGGCTTTGCTTTCATTAATAATGAATATGCCAAAGATGGAACCCAATTATAAGCCGACATTAGAGGATCCAAAGTTAATATCACTTTGAGTCCAACTCCATTTGTACCATAGAGATATTATAAACCAGAGAAAAAGTGATTGACTGTTTATTTAGAAATAATAATCAAAAAATTTTACTATCTAATTTTCTATCAAAGATTTTCTTTACAGAATTACTTTCATAAAATCTATTTGCAAAAGAAGATTCTTGATCTGAATTTATGTGGTAAGATCTTAATATTACTTATTTTTACTTATTAAATTCTGATGTATACTATCCTTCAAAACTAGCATTGAATAATTTTGGACTCATTGGGCGCATTAATTTTGAAGGAATTCTATTAAACTGTTATTATTAGTAATACGAAGATGTACTTTCTTTGACTAACTACTCGGAGTTTTCAGCAAAGGGTCCTCTGATTAAAATTTGAATACATACAATTTTGCAATCTTTTATAAAGGAGATCTTTCTGTTCTTACGTTTTTGAATTCTCGAGTATAACTGGTTTCCGAAATAAATGGCAAATTTTATGGCTCCATTGAGGATGTCTCTCTTGTCATCTTGCCAGGATATTGAGGTTTCCAATTTTAAAATTAAGATCTATAAGTTGATAAATAAGACGAATGGCTTAAATTAGGGTTGAAATCTTGCTTAGGAGATTTTCTCTTTTTTTCCAACTTAAATGGCAGATATTGGGACTTCTATAAATATTTTACATACATTATAGACACTCCCAGCGTATAGTTATTTAAGGTTTTTGCCCCACATTTAATCATGAGCCTTCGACTAATCCAATAGAACATCTTAGTTTCCTACATTGCCATTTTGATAATCCTATTGGTATTAACTTTGAATAGCCTTTTACTGAAATTTATTTTTAAGTGCTTGCAGTTTAGATTGCTATACATAAAGAGCTAATCATAATCCTATGTATAAAATTACTCATTAGCCCTAAAAAAAAGGCTGGATTGGATTCGATAACTTCTTCTATAGTCTAAGATTTTTCAACTAAATCGTTCCAAATTGGATGATCTGCAGGAAATATTTCAATAACAGTTTGATACAAACTCTTATCTGAATCCAAACCTTATAATTTTGGAAGTAAATTTATTTTATTCTTTTAGAGAGAATTGTTTAATCTATGTTCTTGTGATTTTAACTCTTCGTTTTACTAATCATTATAATAGCATTTTCTAATTTCCAACCTATCAGTAAGTGGAATGAGATGATGTTTTTATTTAAGCAGTGATCGCTTCTTAGGTGATTATTGAGCACTCTACTCCTGAGACATTTTCTCTTAACTGGTTGATTTATTACTTAATACAAACGAATCGCTACTTTGAAGACCAGACTTCATTTCATTCCTGATAAACATTATTATATAGATAATTTAATAATTATCATAATATTATCTTCTTACTTTTTACCCCTCTACACCCACAGCCATCTCGATTTTAAGTGAGTTTGCAGAAGCTGAAATAAGATTGCAATGCTCATTAAAGGATTAAAAATTCGGAAAACTTTTTGCTCATCTAGTTATTACTTTAGAAATAACAATCAGTAGGATATGCCTGAAAATGATTCCATTTTCATAGTTTAATTGCCTTCGAATTTGAGCAACCTAATAAATAAAAGAAGGTATAATGTTTATTATTAAATATTCATTTACAATAAATCTAGAAACTTGGATGTAATTCAATCTATTATTGGAAATTGTGTTTGTCCTATAAATTATTGATCTATTTATGAAAAATAATAGAAATAGCCAATCAATTTCCAATATTTTTCATAATTTTTAAATAATGAAATTTAGCAATTAAGGTTTTTATTTCAAATAATAAAATCAAAGCTTGATGGAATAAGTGTTATATTAGTCTCATAACTAATAAGTATAAAAAGGTGATTCTGCAACATTTAATAGCATATATTAATAATATAAAGATGCTGTAACTGAAAGACGTTTATTAAAAAACTTAAGTTTTATAAAATCATAATGGTTTAGATTGCTATTGAACTATGTTTTTAACTAAGATGTTTTAAAAAGGAATCTTATATTCATCATGTTTATGATCTACAAATTTTGTTTTACAAAATTACATAATATAAAAAGTTTTGCTAATCTTAAGGTCAGTGAATTTAATTATTTAGTATTTTCTCCGTAATCTAAATAAAAAGCAGCAGCCATTCTTGAACAATGAATTTAAACAAATTTTAGATTTAATATCTCTTTTAATATCAGTTATTTTCAATAAAAACTTTATAAATATACATTTAATGAAAAGAAAAATACATATTTTCGAGGGATATTAACTGATGCAAAATTATAGAAAGAGTGTGATAAATTTAAAAAAAAAATTAAAAGTACGTTCTCATTACAATAATATTTTTCATAATATTAAATTTAATATTCATAAATTAATATACTGAATTCCCCGAGTAATCCAACCATGTTTTTCACATCAAGTCATGAGTTAAGTATGAATATGTAATTAACCTGAGGTTCATGTATTTTTCTACTATGAAAATTATTAATGTTATTTTTGCATTTTATTTTTACGCAATTAATTATACTTAAATATTGTACATTAGCAGCAAAATTTCTTGGAAATAAATATATTATTTATCTAATTAGGGATTGGAAATGCTATTGTAACTTCTCTAATTTAAAAATAAAAATCTACTAATTCGAGCTTTGACAAATAAAATTCATGAATTGGAATATAATCAAAAATCGAATTAAACATATGTGTATGGAAATAATGAAGATTTGACCGTTGCAGGTTAACAGTTTTTGGAATTTTATTTTTATGACTACATGTTGCTTCAAGGGTATTATTCACTTTTAGCCTTTAGATACCCCAACCAGTTATCATACTTTAAAAAGCCAAATGATATTATTTAATTAAGGTAGAGGTTGATAAACGATCAAAACTTGGCAGAAATCGGGTATCAATTGAATCTTTAAAATTTTTTGAAAGTTGGCAACCAAATTCAATTAAAGTAATGCAATTGTATATAATTTAGAACTAATTAAAAAGTATTGGCTGACACAATCAAGGCCTTGATCATAGCACAATATTATGATAAGTATTAGGACTTGGAATCTTTAAGAGACCTTCTGTATCCTGTGATGGAATTCTTAATAAATAAGTAGGCTATAATAAAATATCTTGGGTAGAGTGTAGCAGGAATAAATTCTCCAAACGTAATACAATCCAAAGTCTAGTTTTATTGAATATTTAACAACAATTAAGGAAGAAATTGAAGTGTTGCCCAAAATGATAGTTGAGTGGAAAAAGAATCAGAAAAACAACAATTAGTCAGTGTTTTTAATTTAGCTTGAATTAGATATTTAGAGTAAAATTTAGGCTGAAATTTATCAATTGAAAATAGAGAAGCAAGGAATTAGTAAGAAAATCACGGAGTAGCAAGTTTATTTAGAGGCTTTGCAAGATTTAAAACGATGGCTGTCAACTCATCACTAAAATTAAAGTTAGTAAGTAGAGCTATAATTGGAACAATAAATTAATCTCTCGACTACTTTAGATTCAAAGCAATTCAATAACATAAATACTACTGTTTATGAATTTGCAGATTAGCTAGATAATGAGGAAAACTAAACAGAATTTTATGATTAATTATCATAAATGTTAATTTAAATGGCAGGGAAGAATGAATTATGACAAAAGCCACATGAAACTTGTTATAGAGGTACATAATCGAATAAATAATAAAATTATAATATTCAATATTCTCACCACCTCGGCTAGAAACTAATTCAGAATTAATGTTATAGATGTCTATTTATGTGCTCATTAATTTGAATTGCTAATTCTTAAGAATCCTCACATGAGAGGAATAGTTGGGATATTAATTTTTATATTATCATAAATTAAATGTAAAGCGGATTCTCAGTTTGTCGAAGGAAGGCTGGATAGACTTTCAGAAAGACTCTTGGATTGTATAATTATAAATTAGGACATCAGTAATATCATAAGGAACCTGGGAGTGTATCATTGAATGCAGTGGAACAATTGAAGAATGTAAAAATATGAAAAGTAGTTTGAATAGACAAAGACTTATGAAGGGATAATGAGGATTAGAAAATTGAGATAGGAAAGCGATAGAGTATTTGGAAAATTCGTTGGAAGTAAGTGAAGTTTTATAACATAAAGCGAAATTTGTGGTTGATAAGAGTAGAATCCCATAATACGATATACCGGATTTAACTGGATTTGAAGTAATTGGATGACTATTTTAGCTCAAACCTTATGTTTCTTACCATACTCCTCAAGTTGATAAGGAAACTTAGACAAAATTAGAAAGGATGAACGATTTTAATTTAATTGAGAATTTGGTACCTCGATCGGAAACAAAATTATTAGATAAGAAGTGACGCATCAATATTAAGAATTTTAAATACCCTATCTTAAATATCATACTCTTCTATTCTATCTTTTTGTATTTTTATTATTTATATTCAAAATATGAGTTCCAAAAGAAGGGTAGGAATAGCCCATTTCCTCCTCAGAACCTTTGAAATGCTGGATGTACAAAAATATAATTATAGAATTTCAACAGACACCGAAGCTTAAACATCTTATAGAGTGGTCCCCTTGTGGAGAGATGTTCTATATCAAAAACTCTAGGGAATTCGCAAACAAAGTAAAGTCAAGATTCAAATTTATTTTTTAGGTGCTTCCTTAATATTTCAGACATCGGAACTTTTAATCTTTCTTGCGACAATTGAATATGTATAACTTTGTTAAGAAACGGTTGAAGAATGGCTGGAATCAATTTCAACACAAGTATTTCAAAAGGGAAGCCAAGTATATTATTTAAGATTATTTNAATCTCTCGACTACTTTAGATTCAAAGCAATTCAATAACATAAATACTACTGTTTATGAATTTGCAGATTAGCTAGATAATGAGGAAAACTAAACAGAATTTTATGATTAATTATCATAAATGTTAATTTAAATGGCAGGGAAGAATGAATTATGACAAAAGCCACATGAAACTTGTTATAGAGGTACATAATCGAATAAATAATAAAATTATAATATTCAATATTCTCACCACCTCGGCTAGAAACTAATTCAGAATTAATGTTATAGATGTCTATTTATGTGCTCATTAATTTGAATTGCTAATTCTTAAGAATCCTCACATGAGAGGAATAGTTGGGATATTAATTTTTATATTATCATAAATTAAATGTAAAGCGGATTCTCAGTTTGTCGAAGGAAGGCTGGATAGACTTTCAGAAAGACTCTTGGATTGTATAATTATAAATTAGGACATCAGTAATATCATAAGGAACCTGGGAGTGTATCATTGAATGCAGTGGAACAATTGAAGAATGTAAAAATATGAAAAGTAGTTTGAATAGACAAAGACTTATGAAGGGATAATGAGGATTAGAAAATTGAGATAGGAAAGCGATAGAGTATTTGGAAAATTCGTTGGAAGTAAGTGAAGTTTTATAACATAAAGCGAAATTTGTGGTTGATAAGAGTAGAATCCCATAATACGATATACCGGATTTAACTGGATTTGAAGTAATTGGATGACTATTTTAGCTCAAACCTTATGTTTCTTACCATACTCCTCAAGTTGATAAGGAAACTTAGACAAAATTAGAAAGGATGAACGATTTTAATTTAATTGAGAATTTGGTACCTCGATCGGAAACAAAATTATTAGATAAGAAGTGACGCATCAATATTAAGAATTTTAAATACCCTATCTTAAATATCATACTCTTCTATTCTATCTTTTTGTATTTTTATTATTTATATTCAAAATATGAGTTCCAAAAGAAGGGTAGGAATAGCCCATTTCCTCCTCAGAACCTTTGAAATGCTGGATGTACAAAAATATAATTATAGAATTTCAACAGACACCGAAGCTTAAACATCTTATAGAGTGGTCCCCTTGTGGAGAGATGTTCTATATCAAAAACTCTAGGGAATTCGCAAACAAAGTAAAGTCAAGATTCAAATTTATTTTTTAGGTGCTTCCTTAATATTTCAGACATCGGAACTTTTAATCTTTCTTGCGACAATTGAATATGTATAACTTTGTTAAGAAACGGTTGAAGAATGGCTGGAATCAATTTCAACACAAGTATTTCAAAAGGGAAGCCAAGTATATTATTTAAGATTATTTTCAATCTTTTTAGAAATCTACTCGTACATGTTCACCGTCGAAGTAATGGTTAATAATCTGACGAGGAAGAACAAACAGGTATTTTTGTGTCACTACTTGTTAGACCAATAAGACTCAATCAAAAAACAATAAGAATAATTACAATAAATCAAATATCTCTAAAATGATATTGTTCTTACATCAAGTTTCCTCTTTCAATAATCTGTAATTCTGTAAGGCAACTTCTAACGTCTCAAGAATGTATTAACTTAATGCTAAAATTAGAAATTATTGTATCAGTACATAGAGGAACAGAAACAAGAAAAATTCCTCTTTAACACCTTCTCTCTTCTAAATAAATAACAAACCGATTCCCCAAAGTTAACTTAAACCATACTAACTCAGAATCGTAAAGAAACAGATTAGGAACCATAATTATTTGTACTCTCTTGATAAGCAAGATTTATATTTCATCACCTTCATCAAAATATTTAATATTATAAAACTTTGACTGTTACATTTCCAATCACATACTTCCAAATTACATTTTACACTATCTAATCACAATTTCTACAATTAGACATCAAGCAAATCAGAATCAATGATGTAATTAACTTAAAATAAATATCTTTAATTGCATAATTTATTTTTTTAAATGGATAAATTATATCATTTTTATAAACACTTGTATATAATCATTATAAATTGTTTTTATATAAATTATCAAAACAAACCTCCTTTTCATTTACCTTCTAACGTCACGTTATTTAAATTAGGGAATAAATCAAGAGATTTCTGAATTTAATTTAATAATATAATATGAGTTCTTAATAAAATAAATAGAAAGATGTTGTCAATAAATAAATGACATTTGCACTGAATCCAAAGTCAGATTTCATTATAACTGATCCAATCAAAATTAATAAGACTATTGCTAATGATCCTAACTATGCCAAAAGTGAACCAGCTTAAAAAACAACTAATTTTGTATCTAATTCAAACATTGCATCATTTCAAGACATAGAATAATAAGTATACTCTATTATCATCATGTTAGAAGTAAAATATTGAGTCTAGATGTTTAAAGAAATAAAATAAAATTAAGCACATAGCAACAAGGTAACTTAATCAATATTTTGGCTTAGATCAATTGCTGGATTGAAAGCATACACTAAAGCGTTGAAAGATAATTAAGATTCCTTATTCTACAAGTTGGAAATCAATAAATAAACTGATAAAAATATATTCCTTTTGGCTGATGGTCACGGTGATTAAGGAGCAAAAGTATCCTAATTTGCAATAAAACAACTTTCTGATTGCATTTTCGATATGATCGAATCTGTGGACACTCAACCAAAATATGTGGAGCAACTTAATTCCAATATAATAGCATCCTTCTAAAGAATTGATTCCAATCTAGTAATGCAATCAATCCACCTAATTATTAGGCAAATTTATCCAATATAGATATTACTGATAATGGTACTACAATGAATTTGGTTTTAACCTTTGAAAATTATTTAATATCTGCTAACATAGGTGACACAAGAACATTTTATTTTTAAAGAAGTGATAAACCAGATTAACTTGGACCTGCTACTTTTAAAATTAAACAATTATCAAGTCAGCACACACCTGAAAAAGCAACAGAATCATAAAGGATTTTGGAATCAGGAGGAAAAATTGAGTAGGACACTCAAGGTTTTCAAAAAACTGGACCATTAAAAGTTAAATCAAAAAAGTAAGATATCAAAGGTGCCACCATTACAAGATCATTTGGTGATGCTTTGGCAAAATAAATTGGAATCATTTCGTTGCCTGAAATCCACACTTTTCAAATTTTGCAAGAAGGTTTTTTAGTACTAGCCACTGGGTCAATTTTGGATATGATTGATATTATTGACATTTGTAGAATATTGACACCAATTACACCTCCTAATAGTTAAGCAGCCATTGATTGTGCAGCAGGCTAAATTATAGAAGAGGCAAGAAAAAAGGCTAAACTTTAACCTGATATATAGGATGATTATTCATTGATTTTAGTTTATATTGAAATTGATTAAGCTTGAAATCTTCATATCAACCTCAATAATATAGATTCCTATTGGTATGTATGTTTTCTAATTTGGATTTAATTTTAGACTATTATGACTATTTACATTATATTTTAGTGAACAAATTTAAAATAAGATTATAATTGCTTATTGAACCCAAATATCTTTTAATATTATAACTAGGATGTCTGCCCATAATTAATAAAATTAGTAAAATATATATTAGCTATTAATTATTTCAATTGGTTCTTTAATCAACTAATAATTTGATTTGATCCATAATATTAGACATTGACTGCACTTTACTATTTTTGGTAGCCATATCAGAGAATCTTTGCTCAAAGTATTTAATTAGGGATTCAATTGAAAATACAATATTATCCTATGAGTATTGCATAAAGTAAGTACCAACTATTTTTGATTGATTAATTGAGTTATCTTAGTAATAACTTCTTTTCCCTCCTTGTCAATTGATTCATCTAAGTAAAAGCATTTTTAGATCATCAATAATAACATCATAATGATATTGGAATATGTGTTAGTGACTTTTTGCGTTTTTTTTAGATTGTTAACTAATTCAATGGATTGAGTGGATTCTGTACTGCTATGATGCTTTAGATAGTCATGATTCTCTTTATTATACCTATTGGTGTTTCCGTTGTATTGTGATTACTCGGTTATACTGTATTATTTGTAGGATTAGATCTTTTTCTTTAGAAGTCCATTTGTTTCATTCAACAATTACAATTGATTCTGAGTTTCATCTAAGGTTTTAGTGATTTCTTAATTCAATTTGGTCAAATAGATGATTTGTGATTGTTGTTTTTCATACTTAGATTGCAACTCTTGATATTGGATTTATTGTTTCTGTAATTAATTCTAGGACTATTCCAATGATTCAAGGAGTTAAGTGAATAGAGCATAGGAATCATTCTGATATAATTCATTTTATAAGGTTTCATCTTGATTGAATTGCGCATTTTTATCCTCTTCGGTATTTAAGGTATGATTGGACTTCTTGGTCATGTTTTCTCTACTTTGACTAAGATCATTCTCTCCACTGATTTCTTCAATTGATCTGAAAGGGATTAAATATTTAATTTTACTATCTCATTTGGTACAATTTAAGAAATTTCTTCTATAATGGAAAGGAGGCTGTATCAGGTGAACCAATTTGAATTGAAGAATTTACACTATTTTGATTTTGGGAGAATGGTAATCTGGTTGGATTGAAATTATTATTTGAATTCAATCCAAATGAACATCGAACAGATGAGATTTTCTGATTTTCTTATTAAGGATGAGGTGAAAATTATAACAATTGTTGTACTTCATTTAACTTTAAACTTAATTTGATATATTTACTTTTTCGTGATCTGATGGCTTTTTAATTTGGATTGCACTATCTATTTCAGCATTATATCTTAGAGAATCAATTTATTGATCATCATCAAAATGATCGTCCAATTCTGAAAAGTTTATTCTTTTTTTTGGGTAACTAGACATATTTGTTAATATTTAAATTTTGTAATTAAATAATATTAATATTACATTTATAAATCGTTTTTTGAGAAGGAATGAGCTTTAAATATTTGTTACTCTTTTAATTGATCCTATTGTGTGTAGCACATAATCAAGGGAAATCAGTTAAGTTATCGAAGAAACAAGCACATCATAAGCATCATAAATCGCAAAAGTTTTTGGATAGTATAATGGTAATTTTATAAATTCTAATCAAAAAAGGACGTAAATGATGATTCAATAGAACTGTTACTCTAAAAGCACGAAGTAAATTCATACAAAATCAAAAGAACTTCTATTTGGCTGAAATGACAGTTGGTACACCTGAATAAAAATTAACTGTTCTGATTGACACAGGAAGCCCAAATCTACTACTTACTTCATCTCTCTGCTAATAAAACAGTTGTATTCAACACGGTTCATACAATCCATCCTTATCAACTACATCATACTACATCGAAGCCATTAAATTAGCAAATGTACTTTGTTTATATGTACCTAGGGAGAAGTAGGCAATGAGATTGACATACAATTTGCATCTGGAAGTGTAGTTGGAGTATTCTTTGAGGACAGAGTGTGTCTGAATCAATACTGTGTCAATAACCAATTCATAGTTGGCATAGTAGAACAGTCAGAGGATGTAATCAATATAGTGAATCTTAGATATTTAGTCAAATGAAATTCGATGGGATATTGGGATTGGGTAGAATTAAGGAGGCAGTAGTCAAAAATGCATCCTACATTCACAACCTGGAATATGATGTAATATATCATGTAACTCTTTTTTAAAGACAGATACTCGAAACTTTTCACTGTATTTGAGTAATAGTGATGATGACGATATGTCAAGTGAACTAGTTCTGGGAGGTATATCATAACATTTGATTGCTCCTGGCGAGGAATTCAAATTCTTTGATGTCACATCGGATAATCTCTGGACAATCAATATCAAAGCGGTTTTTTTGGGAGATGAGAGAATTGATGATTGCAATAATTGCCAAGGTCTTATTGATTCTGGTACATCATTCATCAGTTTCCCAGTTTATGCAATGGAGAAATTTTATTAGAAATTTGGAATGTAATAATCTCCTTCATTCATATTTTAGTTATCAATTGTGTAGTAATATTGATTCATTCCCAGATTTGACATTTGTATTGGATAGAGGGATCAAATTTACGTTGTCAGGATCACAATACTTCAAAAGAAACACTCATGCATTATTCTCAAAAGACATTTGTATTCCATATATAAAAAATAATCCAATTATTGGAGATGAACTAATTGTTTTAGGATAACCATTTCTTATTCATCATTACGTTTGGTTTGACGAAGATCAATCGAAAATTGGAATTGTTAAATCTAAATAACAATCTCATCAATCCTGATGTTAATCATGATTTTATACATTATAAATTCATTATATGTATGTGAATTATCACTATTATAATTATTAATTTAAACAATATCATTATTATGTTTGAGTCCAAACACCCTTTTGGTGTCAATATTTGCAATATCACATCGAGTCCAGAAAAATTCGTTTGTATAAACTTAGAATGTTCAGAGAAGAAAGATCAATCATTTGGTTGTTATGAATGTTTAATTAAAAAGCATAAATAAATTGATTAACTCCATTTTGAGAAAATAATCGAAATTACAGCCTTTCTATCCCAAATCAAATAGAAATAAAAAAAGAAAATGGATATACTACAAAAATTAATCATTGATTGTGATTCAAAAAAAAAACAAGTTCAATAATCAATCTCTGTTGTTGAGAATATTATTAGTAATGATCTACTATAATAACGAATTGAATAACTTTTTAGTTCATATCTTATGAAACTATAAAACGAAAAAGTTGTAATCAGTCTTACCCCTGACTATTCTCAGTAGTAGCATTTGAAGTTGCTTAAATTCTATCATGAAGATATTGAACAATATGAAAAACTAATTGCTTAAAATGGAGTTGGACTACAAGAATAAGTAGATGAAATTTTAGAGAATTATCAAATTGTTACTATTTAGAAATTTAATAAGTAATTTATATGACAATTATATTAGACTTAAAAATGAAGTAGAGGAACTACGAATTTAATTTAACGAGTATAATTAAAAATTAGTAATCAATTTAAGTAAGCCTAGGAATAATGGGAAAGAGAGAGAGAAAGAGCAAGAGCAAGAGAAAGTCCCTTCATGTAAGTAATAGAATAGTTAAAATTGCCTGTCGTTTTCGTACTGTCGATTTTACTTTTTTTGAATATAATCTATAGCTTATTTTATTTGAATGCTTAAGACTTAGATTCAGGATTAATTTTAAATTAAACTTTGTAATAAAGTGATTTAAATTTCAATTAAATGAATTAAGACTAGTATTACACAAATTAAACTTATAACACAAATTAAACTAATTATACCAATTAAACAAAATATACTAATTAAACAAAATACACAAATTAAACTAATTAAGACAAATAATCAAAATCATAAAATAAAGAGAATTAATTATGGCTTATTAGTGAAATACTTGAAAATCGTAGTGTAGAAGAATTTAAGAATTTTATGATAATTTATGATTAATCATTTAATCAACCTTTTACTCAGGATACTTACGAAAGAATTTAAAAAAGAATTTATTGGGATAAAAAAGACAAGATTGTTTGCATAGGAGCAAGAGAGAACAAGAATCTAAGATTGATAGGATGTGATTTTGCAAGCGAAGTATTTTCTATCACTTAGAATGCTTATAGTGCTCGAAAAAGCAAGAATGGTGAAATCTATTGGTATTGGGTCTAGTAAAAATCTTTTGGGTTTTCACCAAACAAAAATATCGTTCTCACCAATATTGATTATGAGGACCCTACGAGTGAACTAAGATTCTCATTTGGAACAGCAAAGAACTTAGAAGATAGAAGAGTTGGCTCCAAATATGGTCACAATAATACTAATTAATACAATTTGGTAATATATGCTTTGAAGGATAGCGATTGATATAAGAATATATAATAAACTAATCATAAAATCAATATTGTAGTTCATTTGTTATATATGTACATTATATTTAATAATTTCTTTGTTTATGAATTAATTTGAATAATGTGAAAGAAGGAAGCAGTGTTCATTGGATTAAATGTTCAAGAAATACGAGGAAGCCACCCAAGTAAGTTTATCTAATAATTACGATAGAGATATTAGAAGGGATTGGAGGACAAAATATAGAGAGCAAAATTAGAATCTGATAAAGCGAGGGAAGCATAATTTATTTAAAAGCTCGAGGCTTAGAATAAGAAAATAGAGTTTGATGAAAAATTGTAAGAATCTTAAGAGAGAAAAAAGGATATAGAAAAGCATATGTTGGAGAAGCAATAATTGAAAAAAATAAAAGATGAGGAAGTAAGAAGAAAGAAGAAGGAAAATGAAGATGAAAAACTATAAAAACTATTGAAGAAATAAGAAAAAAAGGATGTTCAAGTGAAGAAGATGAAAAAAGATGTTTAAAAGATCAAAAGGAAAGATGAATTAAAAATTTTATTAGATCAATCAGTATCAGATGATGCATCATTTGAGGTGGAAGTGGAAAAAAAAAGATAATGCAAATCACTATCAGATTCTTTATAAGCATTAGAGAGCGATTAAATCGTATATTTTAAATTATAAAAATAAAAAGAAGTTGAAATTAAGGAAAATAAGAAAAAGTAAAAATTATCGAACTTTATGCCCTCAAAAACATTTAGAGAATAATCTGTACCCACTATTAAGAAATCTGTCATATTTCCTATTTTGATTCGATCCAAATACGATGATAATTTATACGTTTTACAATCAATTCTTTAACAATAATAGCCATAATCACCTACTTTCAAAAATGAAGAAAATTCAAGTACAAATGTTACTCCAAAAAAAGAGAAGGAAGAGGAACCTCAATTTTTCAAACTATGTTAGATTTGCAATAGTATTATAGAAAATGAGGATGACAATAAACATATTTAGTCGAAATCTCATAAATAGACAAAATAATATTATAATCTTACAGCTACATAAAATGATATCTTGGTTGTAAAAGGATCCAAGGATGAGATTTCATAGAATAGATTTTAATCAATAAGAAAGAGATGTCAGAAAATTAAACAAAAGATTTAATAAAAGAGTTTGCAATTAGAAAACATGAATATTTATTGTTATAAAGAACCTGGAAATAGTTACAATAGATAAAGAATTTAGAAATTATCAAATGATCTAGATAAACTGCTAAACAATTAAATTAAGGATTTGTATTAGATTGAACAATTAATGAAGGAACTATTAAAATTAGTAAATTAAGAAACAGATTTGATAAACCTAAGATAAATGAAATTCATTTAAATTGTTATTGAAGTTTTCAAGAAGATATCTTCCTGCCATAAAAATGAATATACCTAATATCTTAAAATTATTGGAGTGGTAAATATTAATTAATTATCATTGAGGCAACTGAAATAGTTTACTAGTTTTGTAGTGTATACAATAATAGAACCTACATGTTGGCAAGTAATAAGTTATTACCTATTATTGATTTCATGTACAACTTTTTAGCGTCAAAACCAACCAAATTTATATACAGTTATCAATTTGTTGCTTAATGTTTTTAAATATTTAGTTTGCTTATTAAACATAAATTACCAACTGATCCACTCTCTGATTTAAATATTCAGGAAATCTAAGAGGATACCTTAGAATACATGTATTGTTGTGGATTATTCAATAAGATGAAGCTAAGATTTCTATCATTTGAAAAAGATTATATCAATTCTGAAGGAAAGATACCTGTTGCTTTAGTCAAGAGTGTTGCTTTTATTGAAGCAGCGACCAACTACCATGGATTTGAGTAAATTTAATAAAAATGATAGGACATAGAATAAATCATTATTTGATGAAGAGGGAAAACGAATATCCAAAAGTTTTGAAGAGCATCTTAAATTTGTAATTAAAGAAACTGAACTGTTCGGATTAATCTAATTAATTAGTTAAATGGTTGTGGGTGAAGAGATCTGTTTTACTACTAATAAATTACTTCCATAAACAATTATAAGTTTTTTCATGGTTGGAATCAAGACTTTGAACAATATTTCTAGATTAAATATTATAGTATTATAGGAGACTATGAACAAATCATCTAATAAATAAGAAGTTCATATGATAATCTAAAGACTTGTAACATATTGTAAATGCAACCTTGAGTAAAGCCAAGATCTAAAAGATTTATTAAATGAATTAATTCTTTTAATTGGGTATTATTGTGTTTTAAATCAAAACAATTAAAATTCTCTAGTAGGATCTATGAAAAAGATATCTGTACTTCATAATTTATTGTAAATGCCTTCTCAATTTTATGTTGATAAAATGTTAAAGAACATTCTCTTTCCTACTTTACTTTGCTGTATGTTCAGAAACCCTAACAACATGAAAATTGTATTAGATGAAATGGATAAATCCTATTTCCTAGAAATTTTGTAATATGATGTAAAATTTATTTCATAACTATAGTCTGAATAATTTTATGAAAACCAAAATGGTCAATAATTGTAAAGATCACCTTCAATGTCGAGTACAAATTCTTAGAACTCCGTATTTCCATACAGTTCTGCCATTTACTTTAAATTGAGTTAACGCTTTCCTATGTGCTATTTTAAAGAAGCCTATAAAGAATTACTAGATTATAAGGATTGAATAATAATTAATTAAATTTAAAAGTTTTATAATACTTCATGCATCTTTACCATTTAGCTAATTAACTTCCAATTCTTCATTTTTGCCAAACAGAAAGTCATGAGATGCTCTAAAAACATCATAGGTATTTTAGATGTCAATTCCAAGAGAGTTACATTAATTACGTTCAGTCATAAACTAATATAAATCTAATGAGTCATCCTCTTCTATATCATGCCCAAAGAATTTCTCAAATGACTCTTTAAAGTGATGTTGCATATCTTTCTTTTCTATGGCTAAAAGTAATTTAGCGACTTAAGATGGTCTTAATTCAGATCTCAATTGATCTAGAGTTGAATCAAATGATGCAAGCTCCTTTTAAATCTAAGATTTTGTGTCCATAATTTAGGTAACAGAACTAGTCTATTAGACCTACATAAATACTTAGATATATCCTAATAATGCTTGGCTAATTTTTATTACTTCTTCAAAAGAATTTACTTTTGCTTATCTGCCAACTTCAACTAGGATAACAAATTAAGATTCATATTTCTATAATAATAATACAATTGTACTATTCATTTTATGAGAAGATATCATCTTATTTCTTAGCTATTTAAATGATATAATTGCAAAAGGGAGCTAAACAATTTTCATTTATCTATCTTGCATAATGGTCAATTAAAAATTATCTTTCTTGAGATGCTGAACCGAATTTTTTCTAAATATACTCATATCTTACATTTAAAGAATCTATTATTGAATCAACATTTGCCTCTGATGCAGTATTTGTTAATGATGTTTGTAGGTTGTTGAATAAAATGCATTTGGTTTAATCTTACTCTTTTTTCTAAGTTAATATTGTAATTGGTTACTTGAGTTAATTTAATTTATAAATTTTATGCCAAACTATAGGTTTTATCATTAACATCTTTAAATAAATCCAATTATTCTGATAATTTTGTCACTTTGTTTTCAAGTAATTCCAGATAAATTTTCTTTCTTTTTCTACTATTTCTTGCAGATTCTCTATTCTTTGCTAGTTTATCTTCCTTTTCTGTCTGAGAGACGTAATTGAATTGTTATTAACTCTAAAAAGGCTTCATTAGCATTTTTTTTTCTGGCCTTTAAAATTAATCTAATAATTTACATTTTCTCTTCAATCTTTTCTTGCGTCGGAGATAATTTCATTAATGAACTAATTTTTTTAATGTACGTATTTTTTGTATTTTCTTTTATCTTTTTGTTCTGATTTGCAGAAGTTTAAATGTTCTTCACATTCCCTTCAAAGTCGAAATTTACATTTTAAATAGAAGATTATTAGAAGCTATTCGGATCAAAATCATCTAAATGATTCATTTATTATTAATATTATAGATTATTATATGCTGTAATAAATCCTAATGAAGTTAAATCATTTGATAATAAATTAAATTATTATAATTTTTATTATATAATTATTTATTTTAAATTCTTACATCCAAATTTTTGTGACCTTTTATTATTTAATATTATTACACCATATTTCAAATCTAATTTAATTAATTTTATTAGAAATAACTCCATTAAATAATAATTTGATTGATAATCTAAAGTATTAGAGAAAAAATTAATGTAAATATGCAAGACTCGATTTGTGATAATACCTTTGAGCAGTAGCTATTTAATCACAAAATCTAATAATAGATTATTAATTCTAAAAATGCTGTAATTAATAATGTAAATAAAAATATTATAATCATTTCTTGTGGTGCATTTGTTGAAAATATATCACAAAATAGTTTATTCTTATTTAAATAACATATCTGAAGAGCCAGGTATGTTCTCAAAGAAAGAAATTGATTCTAATAGGATGTAAGAAAAAATAATTAAGAATATATAAAAATCAAAGGTAAATCCACTTTATCCAAGTTATGAAAACTAGTCCATCAAGAACTAAAGAAGATCTTTTTAGAAAAATATATTCATTTGAATTTAATAAATTAGCAATAAATATGAAAAAAATTTTCAGATGTGCTTATTCATAATTAACAATAGTTTAGAGATTTTCCATACTTTTAAGTCAGAATTGATCAAAATATCTAAGTAGAGTCTTAAATTCTCATTACATTTTTTAAAAATTGAAGGAAGGATTAAAAGATCTCAAATTAAACTAACCTTTATTTTGCACCTTTAAACCTGATGTATTTCTTAACCTTTGAGAATCAATAAACCTACAATTCTGAGTTTCAATCAACAAAATTTAAATACTAATTATGGCATTCAATAATTTTATGAATAATTATTGAAATAGAATTTCTCTTTTTGAATTTCAGTCTACTTTAAAATATATTAATAACAGAAATAATAGATAATATTACTTGAATTATATTGAAAATAAACAGATTGATAAAAATGGATTGAATATCATTCTGTTTACTAGTTAATAGATTTATTTTGTTAACTTAATCTTTGTGTAAAACCTGAAAAATTTAGGATGGGATTTCAAACTATAACAGATGATATAAGTACCCTTGTTAATCTTTAATTTATTGATTTTCCAATATCCCTTATACTAAATCTCTTTTGCAAACGTCTATAAAAAAATTCATCACACTTTCTCTTGTATTGATATCATCATCGTTATCATATGCTTCTTACAAGAGGTTCTAATATTCTGGTTTGATTCCAATTTGACGATCTGTGTATAAGGGAAACTTGAATTTAATGTTAACATCAGTTTATGACTCTAATTCCACATACTTTTAAGTTGGCTTCTTCTTTTGTGAAATAGTTGCTTATTAAAGAGATTTTGAGTACTAATCCCAACTTATTTTTTATGTTGGGATATTCTCCTTGCCAAAATCAATCTTGAAAATTGAAGAATTTTAAGGTTCTGGTTAAGTTTGTAGATAAATAGAGGTATGCCTTCTTTCTGCTTTTGGAGGTGAATGATTCATTTCTTAGGATAGTTTGGCGCACTATTAACTTAAATTTAAAATTATATTGAAAATCTACTTTTATAATTCATAAGAATATTGAATAATTAGAAGAAGAGCATCATTTAATTGAAGTAATTAACAGTTAAATACCTAGTATTGATAATAGTTTTACATTTTGAATACCTATAACTATTCGTGAGCAGATAACATGTTTAATAAATTGAAGATCATTAATATCTAATAAATACATGATAAGAATATCGTAAGGGTAAAGGAATTAAAGGAATGCTTATATACTACAGTGGTGATCGAAAAACTGAAGCAAATGGGAAAAATAAAATATAAAATAATAATCCAATATCATCATAGGTTTGAAAATATTATAGAGAATGACAACAAGGAATACAGTGATACTTAATTTTTGATTGAGTATTCATGAATTATGGACTATTGATTTTTGGAGTGAATAGAGATTATCAAATGTATTTTTTTATTGATAACACATAGATTAATAATATGAGAAGAACTTTTGGAATAAAAGAATTGAAAAATGAAAATCAGATTTAGGAATTGCAAAAAATATGAAGGAAAAGTGAATATTGGGATTGGTAAATCGTATTAGTGAAAGATGATTGTTATGATTAATGCAGTGTGAGGTCACTCTGTGATAGATGTTAGGGATTATGAAGTTCGTTCAATAATTGGTTTAATTTAGATTATATAATTTATATATAATTGTATGACATCCTCTTCAAAGACTGATTAAATTTACCTGATGACTCTTTTCAAGGAAATCAAGACTTCCATCTTTAAGTAAGGGATAATTTAATGATAGAGTGTTTTGCTTGATTTTAAAAGAGCAAGAATAAACATTTACTTAAACTGTGTTGTTGTCAACAATTTAGTTGCTCTAATTGCTTTATATACCTTTTGCTCTTAAAGTGAATTACATTTGGAAAAATAATTAGGTAACTGATGTAATCAATAAAATATTGAGGTAAAGAAATGTTATATATTTGAGTTATTTTGAAATTTTGTTGCATGTCAAAGATCAAGGTTTTTCAGTATTTTTATATCTGTTTTATTCATTTTCTGGATTGATTGTTCTGATTATGTTGGGATTAACTCTATTAGTGAATCAGTAAAACAGGAAGAATAGTACAAATTGGATAGTGTTGGTTGTTCGCATAAGTATAAAATTAATGATTACAATCTTATTTTTTCCTATAAATTAAATCTTCTTTGGAGTATTTATTATTACCCTAATTTCATAGTTACTAGCATGTACAAACAATTCGAATGGAGTAAGTGTATTGGTCTATGAAACTGATGTGGAGTGTTGGTCAAATGAGCACACAATCCATGGAGTGTTATCAATCTTTATTATATTTTTGTTCTAGATTCAAATCAACACCTTTACCCTATTCTTGTTTGAGGCCAAGAAGTCAAATACTGATGTATTCGCATAAAGATCTGGTAGATAGTTTTCTTTATTCCACATTTACATTACATTGTCTACTATGGTATATCAATTAGTAGAAACCCCTACCTATAGTATCATCATAACGCTGACGATGTTTGTTTTGAGTCTCCACTTTTTTTATCAAATAAAGTATTCTGCCCCCTTCTACAATCAATATGTGCAGAAATTATGGAATGTGATAACCGCAATTAATTGTTGGACCACTATTATGATCAACTTTGCCTTTTTCTTGGAAGGACCCTACTTTTAGAATTCCCTTCTAGGTTATGCCTTGGGAATACCAATACTCATAGGAATTATATTTAAATAGTAGGATTAGGAAATAGATCTTTTATTTTCGAATCTCAATTAAGCCAAATAGCCTAATGAACTGATATCCTTATGTGGGTATCTTCTGACATTGAATGAGAAATCAATCAAGGATCAACATTCTTAATTGTTATTGGATGCATTCCTAGAAATACATGAGTAGACATGTCCAAGATTAGATTGCATAATGAAGAACAAGTAGTTATTACGATAAATCTAAAATAAACACTAAAATCGACAAATAGAAAACAAAATTATCATAAATGAATTGATAATCTAAATGCTTACATTTGGCATAAAGATGTAGCCTCTAAATATAGATCTCCGTCTATATTACTCCTTTTTTTTGATTGATGAGATTAAGTCTCCCTAATTGGCATTCATTGAATTATCTCAAGCAGAAAATAACTCAATACCAATAGATCAGTAATTCATCATTTATAGATACAAGAAACTGATTGAAGATGTGTAAGTTGAAAATGATGTCACTAAATTAGAGACCAACAACTTTATCAATAATTAGAATATCTAGATTTCCCTAAATTAAAAGTTAGAGGCCTAATGTATTTTGCAATTGGAATTTCTGGCTGCTTTGGAAGACGAGAAGCCAGATCTTGCCAAAATAGACAGTGTTGGATTTAAAATATTGAGGTTAAAGAAATTCATTGATAAAGAATGGCAGAAGGTACAGTAGTAGAATGTATATTCTCCATCCTTATACAAAATAATGAGCAAGTACTTCTTCTTTGTCCTCAGTGATGAACATGAAGGCAATACGACATTGATGATGTAAGACAAATTCATTAAACTCTAAATAAATGATCTAATTAATTTAGAATAGGCATCTATTGAATCCTCTCCAATCATTATTTTAAATACTGAATAAAATAATTTTGGGATTATCAAGGATGTGAATATAGCATCTTGTAGCTTCTTAGGATTTTCAAAAAGTGATCTCATTGAGAGAAAATTGTCAGTCATTCAACCATAAATGTATTGATTTCATTAATTTTAGTTATATCAATTTTCATGATCAATTGATTGATAATTATTTAAAACGTGTCACTGAAATCCAAAAATCAAAGGTTGAAAAAGTCATTTTCATTAAGAATAAGTAGGGATACATTTAGTAATGTTCCTTATAAATAAAACAATTAATGACTCAGAATTAAGAGGTATTCTTAATAGGGAAAATAGGAGTAGAATTAGTCTATAAGCCAATTTGTTATTTGATTTGCAATACTGATGGAATCATTAAGGAAATAAATTGTGCTTGCATAAAGCTATTACGTTTAGATGTTTAGATGATTAAAGCAAGCAATAAAAATATTAAAGATCTTTTTCCTGATATCATGAGCAGAATACCTGAAATATTAGGTAAAAAGAATTCCATCATCTCATTTAATATAAATGCAAGTTAATTAAATCCTCAAAGATCATCATCCATTAAATCATCAGGAATGGATAGTACTCTTTTGGATGATTGTGTCATGGATGAATCTCTTAAATTGTAATGCTAAATCTCAGAGATCTCTATTGATCTACCAAATGCTGGGTTAATTGGTTATGTTTTTAAATTCGAGAAAATTGCCACCCCATAATTATCCACTATTCACAATACTATGGTGGACAATTTTTATAAATTTAATTTTAAATTTAATTCATAACTAGATACCTATTTAGGATCTTACTAGAATTATATGTAAACCTTGCATAAAATCAGCTATGACACTAGTTCAATAGTTTCATCGCAAGAAGATTAACAATAAAGATAAGTTAATCGAAAGTAAACAAAAAAGTCAACCAGTATAAGTAATGGAATCAAAACTGTTAGATTGATCAATGGTATGCTCATTGATGTTGAAGGACTTTCAGAAGAGGAGATCTCTGAAGGTGAATAAAACGAATTGGAAAGTATTAAATAAGAAACCAAAGATTCCGATAGTATAATATAATCAGATTATATCTTTTTGAAGACTAAATCTTCATTGATATCCATGATTAAGAGTTCTATTATACCATCATTTCTAAATTCCTTAAGGTATATCATATCTATATTGATTGTTGGTCTACTAACACTTGGTTATTTGCAATTCTTTTTTGATCTAAATTATCAAAACGAAATTAAAAATGGATTAGACCTTTTTTATTTAAGTAATCAAAGATTATCTAAAATTCTTGTTGTACAATCTTACGTGTAAGAACTAAAGTTTATGAATTTAAACTATGAGAACGTATTATCAAATTATAATTTTGATGAGTTGAAAGATTCAAACATAAAGACCTTAAATGAGATAAAAGATTTATAGTCGAAATTAAGCTAAGCTAATTTCAATTTAGCCTCTAAATACAGCTCTTACTAAAAAGAATACGAAGACTCTTCAATAGAAATGACTTAATCAAACGTAGTTATCAATTATACTTTTAATGAAGCAATCGAGTAAACCTTAGTCAAGGCTCTTTCATTGTCTTCATAGGACCTTTCCTCATTCACAGACGATAATATTGATCTCAATTACTTTGAAACCAATTCATACAATTCAATAGTGTATCACAATTATGTAGCTTAATTCTACTTTTACTATTACATGGTTACAGTGTTGGAAGAGAAATCATAAAACGTGTAAATAATCCTCATTTTAGTTACCCTCATTTTATTTATTATGTAATAAATATAACACCTAATAAATTTAGTTATGTTGCCTGTTCGATTCTGATACTGAAAATAAAGAATCTTAGAGATAATATCCTAGTTCTATTATTATAGGTGTAAGAGTAATAAATTATTACTTTGAAGAAAAACTACGAATACTTTTTATAACTCATTTAAAGTAAAGAAGACGAAGAAGTATACATTTAATTTTTAATGATAATAGAATTTAGATTATGAAGAGGAATTGAGAAAACCAGTCTAATATCAAGAAGAGGGTGCTTAGGATTCTTTGAAAACTAATGATAATGACGAGGCTTAATTTCTGATTAAAAAGAAGAGGAAAAAGTTTGAGAATAGTCATACTATTTTAAGGAACATTCTAGTTTCCATAATATTTATTATTTCAATATTTTAGGCATACTTCATATATCTGATAATTGACAACAATGTATGAATTTGTAATTATCAAAGGATCTTGACTCAAGGTATAATGCTATCTTGCCTGTTTTGAATTTGACTTCAATTATAGAATCGTATTTAAGATTTGGGGATAATTCTTTTAAATAGAGATATGTCGACAACAATTTTGTTATTAATTTTGGTAATTTTGACACTCAATAATATGTTTAACTGTTAAAGAGCATGATATCAGACATTCACAAATAGCATTCTGAAAACTCAAATGTGTTGGATATTGGTTATATTGGTGTATTTGAGCAAATATTCATATTAAACCCCTGTAGTTTGATTAAGGATATTGATTCAAGTGTGTCATAGTCAGAATGTGAGAGTTTTAATGATGGAATCATCGGTTAAGGGTTGTCAATGGCAACCATAAAATATATCAAATATTTGGAACAGGCACTGAAGAATCCAGTGTATTTTACAAATATTAGGAAGACTTAATTAACTTATTTTAGAGATTCTTTCTAATACTTAGGAGATAAATTAATTGAATCAATATCTAACGATTTTTCAGTGAACCAATTGACCAAAGTCTCCTTGTTCACGGTGTTCAATTTGTTAATGCTATTTGTGTATTTTTTTATTTGGATACCTTTGGTAAGGAATTTAATCCAATCAATAATAAAGACTCGATTGCTATTTTCATTGATCCCCAATAATGATCTGCTTAAGTAAGGAATTTAAACTATGTAGAATAAAAGCCGTCATGCAATATTTATTATAAATAAGAAATCCTATGTGAATGTGCAAATGATTCTGATTTTGATATAAAATTAATTTCTTATTACTAAGGTTTTAATTAAATGAAAGTTAAAATAAAATGATCATTCAGGTAATATTTATTTTGCTTAACTCCAAAACGGAATTTCTCTTTATTTCTGAGTACTTCTCGTGAATCTCTTGATCCCTCTGACTGTCTAATTTCAATTCCTTCATTCGTTTAGACTGGAGCACTTCAATCTATTCATCAAACACGAAGCAAGTCGAATTGCCAGCTGCAGTAAATAATCCTTCAGTTGGTGCAATATAACTTAAAGGATATATATATAGAGCCTTACTCATATTTATTATATACGTTATGTTTAGGATCACGTAATTCTCCAGAAAACAAGAAGCCTCCATTAAGGAATTCGATTTGAGATAGCGTAGTTAGTTTGACTAATCTGGATTTATTTCTAAGCAGTTCATTCAATCGCTTCAATTCCATTTGAGCCAGAGGACCAACTTGATTCTCGTGCCATTTTCTGATGTATTCTAATACACGAAATTAACAAAACAAATACCAATTGAGTGTAAATACACCTTAAATTCAAAATCCTTATTCCTGATCATAATTTCTTTGATAACCTTGGTTGGTAAAGCATACAATAGAGATTCGACGGCTGCCTTTGCCGTGCTCAGATGATTACCATCTACAATGAGACTTTAATGGGTAATCAAGGATCCTAATCCCTTAGTAATGAGAATTCCATTATAGTCATTCACAACATAGCCTCTCATAATAATGTAGACTTCATTGCATTCGCTGCCCTTTGAATAGATCACTTAGCCAAGAGCATACTTCCGTTCCACAGCCACCTTTTTGATAATGTCCAGATCGCTCAAAGATATCTCCTGAAATATAGGGAATTGCATGGCAATAACGTGGAAAGAGGGCAAACTCATATCATATGAATGACTTTCCAGTTTGACAAGTTTCATGTTAATATCTTTCATTAAGATTTTATATTCCTTATCATCAATAAGACCTCGTCGCTAAGTGGATTGCACATGTTCTATGGAGTGAGTTAGGACGGAAAAGGAAGCCTTTTTGGTTTAAAGCACTCTGACGATTTCAGGGAAACTTCCATTCAAAGTACCAAAGTAAGACTGAGCCTTTTCAATTTCCTTTTTTAATTCCTCTTAAATAATAGATATGGCCTCTTTATTCATAGGGAAATTGTTTGCCAGTTTTAATGCCTCTTCTGCACAAATAATGAATGAGGATGTAACATCATAGACCAGACCTAGATGTCTAATTAAGTATTCTCTGGCGAAATATCCAATCAGAAACTTCTGTTTTACTTTGAAAAAGAAATTGACACTGCAGAGATTCATAAAGTTCTTATACAATTCATCCCAAATTTCAAGGTTATCACTCAATTTATCTAAGCCAACATCACTAGACTCCACCAACATTCTTACTGTCTATTCTTCGCAAAGACCTTCTTCATATTTATGGTAATACAATCCCTTAAGGATTCTATAGAATCTATATCTGACTTCTCCAAAAACTTCCTGATTTGGCAATCCTTCATAAATCATTTCTTAAAATCCCCTCTTCTATATCATATGCTTGATCTCCTATTCCACTTTGTCAATTTTTTCAATAAAATCCTGCTGTCCAATTAGATTGTTAACAGTGACCCAATCAGTCATGTTATAGAACTCATCAGTCTCCAATTCCTTGACTAAATCCTATTGAATGACAATCAACTCCTCCAAATATTTCTTATACACCTTCTTTTTCACAATGGGTTCATCTATCATTTTAACGCATTTCACCAAGGTCTTGCAAGTAGTTCCATTGATCATGTTGGTAATTAGGGCCATGGCTGCAGCATAGAAGACAGCTAAATGTCTAAAACGGGCAGGCAGATCCTCATCACAACCAACCATTAATGAGAGTGTTAGTCCCAGTCCTCCCCTCAATCCTCCATACACCAAGACAATCAACTCGGACTTTGAGATTGGGTAACCAAAACCTAAACAATATAGTCATTCATACATTTGAGAAATGGATAGAATGTTAGCACCATCAGCAGTCTTGCCAAAATCATCAAGAAATAGAACCCTACCATTTTGTAATAATCTGATGTTAAAATTAACTTCTCCTCCATTATTTCTATCCCAACAATGATGCCTACCAACAGGAACACCAAAGTGTCACAACTATATTAGACAAATCCCCAAACCGCATGGACTGAATGTTCAACTGATGCCCTTATCCTTGTCTTTGCATGAGCACACCAGAACAAACCTAGACCTACTACTGCTAACAATCCACTTGTTTTGAAAAACTCAAATTCCGCCCAATAAAATGTAAAATATGTAAACACAAATGTCAACCACGTCACTTCGATATCATCTCCTAATATTCTTCTAGTCCATAATGCAACCAACAAGCCCAATACCAAACCCATTATGGGTCCTAAGAATGAAGTTCTGAGGAAAGTTAGCACGATATCACCTCCGTTAACGGCTTCACCTTTTCCACTCGAGGCTTTTGATATATTGTTAAAAACATTGAAGAAGACCATTGCAACTCCATCATTAAGCAATGCTTCCCTAAAATATATCGTTTCCTTCATACCCTTCGATCAAGTGGTTAAATGCTGGATTGGCTCCCAACTCTTTTAGTAAAGCAACCACAGCAACTGGGTCGGTTGCAGATAAAACTGATCCCAAAGTGAATGCCTCATACCAGTTCATGTCCTCATCGCTGTATTAGAGAACGAGCTTAAAGCATGCCCCCAATAATATAGCACCCTTCATATATTCTATAAAATGTTACCCATCCGCAACCTGGACCTGCCAACAGCAATATATTGATAATTTAGTATTTGAAAGTATACCAGTCACAATTAAATGCTGATTCAAACAGCAGAACTGGGATGAAGATGAAGACTATAAGGTGAGGATGCATTTTAGATAAAATGTAAGCACTATTCCCTATTTTCCCCAAATATTCCTAGGATAGACCAATGGCCAAACCAAGAGCGAGGATCATGGGAGAGTAGGGGATGCTAAGTTTATTGATCTGAGTGAGTACTTAGTCTTTTTATTGAGTTCTCTTAGAATAAGTCCGCATATTAGTCCTAAGACCAAGAAATGTATGAGTTGGGCTGACACTTCCATCTGATGTTCGTCTCTCCATAGAGAGTCTCGTTGTATGGATTCGTAATTTTCATCTTAACCACCTAAATCATCAGAAGACATTTAATAATAATATGATGTTGGAAAAAGAAGAATATTTTTGTTCTATATATTATTTTTTATGTGAAATAACAATTTTAATTCTAAAATATATATGTGCATTTATTGGGTTCATAATTCCTATTACTAATAGTGCTATTGAACATCGATCCTTGAGAATCTTTGATCTATAATCTCCTCTTGATTCTCTAGGTTAAATTGCTCCAATCTATCCTGCTTAATCATTTCAATAGCATCATCGAAAACCAAACAGATGAGTGCCTTTGTAACATTGAAGTCATTATCTCTAGGCGGTACATAGCTAACTTACATCAAACCATTACCAATAGTCATTGTATCGTTCGACTCCCTCATTCTCATCTTGGATGCAACTTTAGATTTCTCCTTTTATTATGTAACCTCCAAACATGAATTCAACATTTGAATGAACATCAAACTTTTTGAATTGAGCCTTTTGTCTAAGGAATGTGCCTAAACGTTTTTACTCCATCTGGCCCAATGGACCAGCTTGAGATTCATATAACTTAATAAGATATTCTAAACTAATATGAAAATAATTTACCTATAGAATTAACATAAATCTTCTACTCAAAAGCTTCTGACTTTTACATCAAAGACTTAAGAACATTTAAGTTTAAGGAATGTAATACAGTTTCCGAAGCTGCTTTGGCAGTAGTCATGCATTTACCATCTCCTATAAGATTGGAATAAGACAATAGTGATCCCAATCCCTTTTTCAACTAATGAGATCCAACTTCATCAATGACATTTCCTTTTGATACGATGTATATATTTTGACAGGTCATACCTTTCTCATAGATAATTTCATCAAATTGATATCTTTTTTCATAAGTGGACTTAATGATGGTATCTAATTCCTCTTTGGGGACACCAGCAAATACTGGGAATTCCATAGCAAAGGAATGGAAGGTTGGAATTTGCCAATCAAAGACATGATTTTCAAGTTAAACAAGACGAGAATCAATATTACTTTTTAATAGATTGAATTCTTTATCATCTACTAGTCCATTCTTCTAATTTTCTTCAAGATGGTGTCTTTGATGCATAAGAACAGTGTGTGAAGCTCTTTTAGTTTAGATAGCCCTGATGACTTCAGGGAATGTGTCATTCAAAGTGGCCAAATAGAGTTCCGCTTTGTTGATTTCTGTTCTGATTTCTTCCATTATCAATCTAACCGCACTCTTGTTCATAGGCATATGTTCCTGTAATGTGAGTACTTCATTGGCACATGATATGAATGTTGTGGTTACATCATATACAAATCCCAAATGTTTGGTGATATATTACTAAGCGTATCCACCCAGAAAAGTCCATTCTTTGGCTCTGAAAAAGTACTTGATACTGCTAAAACTAGTGAAGCTTTGGAATAATTGTTCCCAAATATTCAAAATTGATCCAGTGTGATCAAGAGCAACATCACTTGATTCCACAAGCAATCTAACAGAATCTTCATCACATTGTCCATGTTCAAATTGTGAGTAATACAATCCCTTGAGAATTCTAAGCACTCTGTATCTAACCTCTCCAAAAGTGTCAGTGTCATCATAAGAAATTCTACTGTAATTTCCACCTTGAATTTATTTGATTTCATTTTCCAATTAGACTACTTCCTATAAAAATTATTGTGATCCTATAAGCGACTTGACTTGATTCCAATCAGCCATAGCAAAGTGTTCATCTCCTTCCAATTCCTTTATTGTGTCTTCTTGATCTACAATCATGTCAGTCAAATATCGTCTATAAACTTTCTTCTTAATCACTGGATTCTCTATCATGTTCAAATAGTTCACCAAAGCCTTACAGGTAGTTCCATTAACAAGATTAGTGAGAGCAGCCATTCCAGCAGTAAAGAACACCGCCAAATGTCTAAATCTTGGGGGTAGATCTTCATCGCATCCAACCATCAATGAAAGTGTCAAACCCAAAGCTCCTCTCAGACCTCCATAAACAAATACTATCAATTCTGGCTACGACATTGGATATCCATATTTCTTCAACAAGGGCCAAAATGAAATAACCATCAAATATCTGCAAATTATCATAAAGAAATAAAACACAATCATTCTGAAGTAATCAGAGGTATAAATGTATCTCTCTTCAATCACCTCTGTGCCAACTATCATACCCACCAACAGAAACACAGTTGTATCACAGAAATATTGAACAAAACTCCAAACTGTATGAACTGCATGTTCACTCTCTGATCTTATTTTGGTCTTACCAAATGCGCTCCAAAACAAACCCAAAGACACAACAGCCAATAAACCACTAGTCTTAAAGAAACAAAATTCAGCCCAATAGAATGTCAGATATGTGAATATGAATGTCAACCAACCTACCTCAACATCATCTCCTACTATTCTTCTTGCCCACAAAGCTCCAAAGAATCCTACCACCACTCCTAACACAGGACCAACAATTGAATTCCTAACGAAATTTAGTAACACTCCTCCAAAAGTAACACCTCCACCAATTCCAGCAGCAGCTTTAGAAAGTTTGTTGAAAAATATAAAAAACACCATGGCTACTCCATCATTTAATAATGCTTCTCCTTCAATCAGATGATTAAATGCTGCACTTGCTCCTAATTCCTTTAACAATGCAACAACTGCTACTGGATCTGTTGCTGATAACACAGAACCTAAAGTGAATGCCTGATACCAATTCATATCTTCATTACTATAGAATAGGAATAATTTAAATACAATTCCTAAAAGAATTGCTCCCTAAGAATAATTAACTCAAAAATACCCAACCGACTCCAGGTCCAGCCAATAGCAGGATATTGACCATTTGGTATTTGAATACGTACCAATCACAATTAAATGCTGATTCAAAAAGCAACACAGGAATAAAGATATAAACAATTAAATGTGGATGCATATGACTCAAGATACTAGCACTTTCTCCCAAATACCCAAGAGTGCTTTATAACAAACCTATCAACAATCCACAAGCTAAGACCATAGGAGAATAAGGAAATCTATTTATTATTTTTTGCTGCATTACTTGGTTTTCTTATTGAATTCCCTTAAGGCCAGACCCAATAAGATGCCAAGAGTTAACAAATATGCCACATTCGCAGATTCTTCCATCTTCTCCTCATCTCTGTACAATGAATCTTAGATCTAGGTGCCTTCAGATGATGTGATGGCTTCACCTTCTTGACCCATAATTTAAATAAATTTATTATTTTTACTAAACCATTATCTAAATGTAAAATCACGTTAATTATATTCATTGAATCTATAATAACTTCTTGATCTCCTCAGCTGAAAGTGTTTCTCTCTTCACTAATTCCGTAGCCAAGTCCTTTAGTTTTGACTCGTTGAGTTTCAACAAATTTTTCACTCTATTATAAGATTCCTATGTAATTGTTGAATATATGATACTTCCAAAATTTTCTTAACTTCCATATCAACCATATAATCGAATTGATCACTAGTTTTCACTCTATCACTTTAAATCGAAATCAAAGATATCTTGTCATCCATTCCCAATTGCTTAACAAACATATAAGCGAGATCAGTAGCTTTGGCTAAATCATTACTACATCCACTAGTGATATCATCTTTTCCCAAGAATAGATCTTCTGCTGCTCTACCACCCATAGCCACATCAATTGATGCAATAATTCCTTTTCTTGTATAATTTAATTGATCCTTCTCTGGAAGCATTGAAGTCTAAGTCAAATGAACATTAATACAAATCCCAAAGCTCCACCCCTTGGAAGAATAGTAACTTTGTGAAGAGGCATCGCTCCTTCAGTCAATAAACTGGTTAAGGCATGTCCACCTTCATGATAAGCAGTCATCAACTTCTCCTTATCGCCAACATGCATATTCTTTCTACCCACTCCCATAGCAATTCTATCTATTGCAAATTCAAAGTCTTCCGTTGTTGCTACCTATCTCTCATATTTTATTGCATTCAAAATTGCTACATTCACCATATTTTAAATATCAGCTCCACTGAAACCACTGGTCTATCTTGCCAAATTGGCTGGCAATACCTTTTAAACATCGTATTTAATCCTTTACAAATAATAGGAAAATATCTATTCCCTACCTTTCACATCTGGCAACGGCACATGAATCATTTTATCAAATCTACCTGGTCTTTTTAATGCTGGATCAAGAACCTATATTATCAATACACTCAACATACCTATTCAAAATTGGTTGCCCCTATTACTATTACACTCTCACTCTATTTAAATCCATCCATCTCTGTCAATATTTAATTGATTGTGTCCCTCGAATAACCTGGATCTTGTGCTCTCCTTCTCCCTCCAATACTGTCTATTTCATCTATAAAAATTATCGATGGAGCCTTTTGTCTTGCTGTCTTAAAGATCTCTCTAACCCGTGATGCTCCCACACCTACAAACATCTCATCAAATTCTGATCCTGACTTATAAAAAAATGCACATCCTGCTTCACCTGCCAAGGCTCTCGCCAAAAGAGTCTTACCTGTTCCTGGAGGTCCTACTAATAAAATGCCTTTTGGCAACTTTGCTCCTGAATCAGTATATTTTTTTGGATTCTTTAAGAATTCCACTATTTCTTCCAATTCTTCTTTGAACTCATCTATTCCTAATACATCATTAAAGCGGGTAGGAATATTTCTTTCCTCTTAAACTGCTTAGTTGCTTCTTAGAATGTTATAAAAACGATCCATTCTACCTGCTCCTTGTTCAGGACCATCTTTCTAATTTTTTTCATTTTTAGACTTTGACTGATTTGGTTAGAAGAAATACACCATCTAATAAAGGATAGCTGCTGTTATCAATAATTAGATCATTCCAGGTAGTATTAGTGATTTGCGCTTGTCACCGTATTAATTAGACTTCAAATTGGTTACTGCAATACCGTATTGTTCCTATAATTATTGATGTTATTTTTCAGTGGCGTTTTCACGAAAGTCATCTACTGTTAATATTCCAATCATACCTGTTGATTTAAATATCCGAAGTGCATCAT